TTTGTCATCATTCCAAGTTTAGAGATGCAATGTGTGTAGCAATACATCCCTATCAGAATGAAATCGTTCAAGGAGGAGAAAGACTTGACTCAGCTTTCTTGAAAAGGTCCTGAAGGCGGTGTTGTTGCCATGACTACAGCGAGGTCCGCAGCACCCACCATCTTATCACCACCAGAGGCTGCCCCCCCCCCCCCCCCAGCGGGCAGGTTTTTATGTCAGAACGCTGACCCGCTGTCTCCGAAGGCCGCCATTGCCCAATCTTTCTCCCTAAGAGCGGTCACTGAAAGCTGTTGCCGGTGATAGATGTGCCTGTTGTTCGGAATCTATTACATGTCTACCCTTTGGAGGCGGCCGCCGAAGTCTCATTAACTCTGGAGGGAGTCGGTGTGTTTGCAGCCGGGAACAGAATTGAGGTCTTTATGTTTGGCCGAGACTGGAAGGTTGGGATCCTTGGAGGTGGGGGCGGCCCTGGGTCAGACCCCTCGTCTTGCCAAGCAGGTCCCTGGCTTCCCCTTTCGTTTTCTGATGGGCTGCTTAGCTGTAAATTGTTTGAGTGTATTTATTTCTAGTGATCCCCCCACCCCGTATTTCCCATGGAATTAAAGAATTTGAAAGTAAGATCCTCTAGCCTGTACTCTTATTTATATATTAAGTGATTTTAGAGAGAGAGTAAGGGAAAGGGAAGGGGGAGAGAGAGAGACAGACAGACAGATTTGTTGTTCCACGTATTTAGACATTCATCGTTTGTTCCCTGACTGGGGATTGAACCTGCAACCTTGGTGTATCAGGACGATGCCCTAACCGACTGACCTGCCTGGCGAGGGCCTAGCCTTGTCCTTTTTAATCTTTACTGCTGATGGCATCTTTGAGAAGGCGAAGTAGGCATGGCCTTCTTCCTAGGAAATTGCATCCATGTGCAGAGCTGTGACACATGGATCATGGGTCCCTGAAGCACATTCATGGGCTCCAGGTCAGAACTTCTGGTCTGGCTACTTTCTCTTCTCTCCTCCCATTTTACAGGTGTGGCCCTGGGGCCCTGAGAAGTAGAGAGTCACCTGGGGTTGTCTCCTGTTGAGTGTTTTTGTTCTCTAGCCTTGTCTCCTTGCCGGACTTCTATTTCCCCAGCTCTGAACCTGCTCTACAGGTAGCGGCAGGAGGAATTTTCTGGGCTTGAGAACTCAGAGCCCATCCTCCGAACACACACCCGGGAGCGTCTCTAACCAGTGTGAACCAGTGTGTATCTGAATCGTCTGCAGGGCTTGTGCAGCCCAGATGGCCGCGCCCTGTCCTAGACCAGGTGTGAGGCCGGAGAGTGTGCGTTTCTAGCAAATGCCCAGGTGAAGCTGCCATGGTCAGTGTGGGGACTTCACGTCGGGGGTCTCAGTCGCAGGGGGAGCTTACACTACCTAAGGAGGAGCTGGTGTCCTTCTGGCTAGAGATTGATTGCGTGGGTGCCGGGCTGCCCCGTGTTCAGCTCAGCAGTAGCATGCTCCTGGGAGTGTTTGGGGGCACATGGACCCTTTTTGCAGGCAGTGTTTGGGAGTACAGATGTCATGGAGTAGGAGGGTGCCGAGGTGGTCCTTGTGATGAGGAAAGCTGTTTCTTCCAAAATCCAGTAGTGAGTGTTCCACTGAGAAACATCAAAATACACTCCTTAACCACCCCCCATCATGACCTAATTTTCCCAGAGACACGTTTTTCCTCATGTACTTTTCTTCCTTCAAAATTACCCTCAGACAGAAAGAGACACACAAAATCAAAACCTTTGCTCAAGTGCGTTCAGTGTTTGCCGGGCCAGGATGCCATTTCTTCTGGGACACATCTAGGTTGTGTCCCCAAAACACCCTTCTTTAACACCTATGTTCTGACACCCGAGCAGAGACACTTGCTTTATTGGATGTGCGTAGGACAGATTCCAAATTTCTTCTTTCCATCAGCCTCAACTTTGTGCAGATGGTGGTGTTTTTTTCCACCCGAGGACATTTTTGCATTTATCTTCAGACAGAGCAGGAGGGAGAGAGGGGGGAAAGAGAGAGAGAGAGAGAGAAACATCGATGTGAGAGCGACATATCACCTGGTTGCCACCCACACAACTCTAGCCGTGGCCGGGGAGAAACTGCAACCGAGGTACATGCCCTTAGCGGGAACCGAACCCGGGCCTCTCTGGTCTGCAGGCCGATGCTCTAACCGCTGAGCCGAACAGGCCAGGGCCGTTTTTTATTCTGAATCAGGCCTTCGTCATCCGCCCATTCCTGGCTTTGGTCTGCACTTGCTGCTTTTGTTGTTTTTAATGTGAAATTGAACCTCCTACATATGTCATTATTTTATTTTGATAAGGTTGTCTAGGCACATGGTAAGTACAGTACACAAGGGTTACCCCGAGAAAAACAATTCCTTTCCCACACTCACGCAGCCTCCCGTCCCCTGAGGCACCCACCAGTCCCCATTTAGATCTCTATCGCATTTTCGTGTTCATCCAGGAATATTCTAGGCTTACGCAAGCAGGGAGACATATACATTACACCTTTTTTGGGGACATGCATGTTGATCTGTTAATGGTGCTAGACGTGTTGCTTTCTTTAACCCGATGCAGAAGCCTTGAGATCGTCAGACATCAGCCCACCTAGAGGTGCTTCATTCTCGATGCTGCACAACAGGCCTGTGTGGCTGGGGCGCGTTACTAGCGCAGTCCCTCTATTCCTGGGCATCGGAGTTGTTCTCCGTCTCCGGTGGAGCACCGAGCGCCGTGGCCGAGTCGTCCTCTGTGCGCTTGGCTTCCCTGCGACTGTGTCGATAGACTGTGTCTCTAGGAGGAGAGATTGTTGGGTCAAAGGCTTTGCGAGAAAGGGAGAGTTCTGATGGTGGAGTGGGGTGAGGAGCCCTGCGGGAAAGGGGACGTTGTCTCCGGGGAACGTGCCGGTCCCAGGCTGCACCTTTGGGGAGCAGTGTTCTCGCTAACTAGCGGCTGTGTGCCCTGGGCCCACTCCTTCGCTCTCCAGGCCTCCACTGTGAGGTCTGTGGGCTGATCCCCTGAACTCCGGGGTCTGTGCTCCCTCAAGGTGCTGGTGGTTAGCATTTAATTTCCTCCCAGGGCTGTGTCGGGTGGGGGGGGGCCTGAACAGGTGCAGGATTTTCCCGAAGCCTGCCTGGTGAGACCGGAGAGTTCCGTCGCGGGGCTGGATCCTGTCGCAGCAGTTCGTTGTCTGGCTTTGTGAGCCTGCCGCAAGGCGCTCCGCCTCCCAGCCCAGAGGAAGCCATCGGGAGGCCTTGCATGTGGCCACATCGGGCCCTGTTAATCTGCCCCTGGCGACTCCTGTCCAGACAGGGACGGTGGGGACACGCGGCGCAGCCTGCGTGCCGGGACTCGCTTGAGAGTTAAAGCTGGAGGAGGGACGTCGCCAGGCGGTCTTTTGGGATAACCATCTTTCCGGATTCCATGTCGCATTCCACCCCGTCACCTGCCCTCTCCGCTTAGCTCCTTCCTCTTCTGGCGCCTGTGGCTTTCATTTCTCAGCTGTAAGGTGCGCCAGGCCGTGCCTTTACATCATCCCGAGGCTAACAGGACAGCTGTCGGGCATGGAATGGATTCCCAGGCTTGCAGGTGAAGATTGGCTGTTGGTGGAACTGTGTCTATGGGTAGATGAGATTCTGGGGCAGTTGACATAGACAGGAGTGGATTGACAAAGGTGGGGTGCCATTTTGCAGGTGAGACTCAGGGAGAAGGTACTTTGTGTCGCTTGCTTCCTCTACAGGAGAGTTGCTAACATAGCTCCCACCGGTGGCTGAGCCGTGAGGACGTTCTGATGGGTGCGTTATAGATATATTTTTTGCCTGGTTACACGTCGTTTGCTTGATAACCATGAATAAATGATGTTGTCTTCCACAAAGAAATATGTTTGCCTTCGTTTTCTTAAATGTGTGGCCTTCCTGGTCTGTCGTGGTTTCCTGCTTTTGCCATCAGCAACGGATGTGGAAAAGAAATATTTCCTGGGGATAAGGACAATACTGGTGCCTATGTGGCAGCTGGTGGCAGCTGGGTGATAGCCTCGTCAGCAGACACAGTAGGGAAGGGTGGGGACTGTGGCAAAGTGGAGGGCACATTTCCACATAGAAATGGCTGGTATTCAGGTCTGTCTGTTGCCATAAGGCCCTGGAAGGCCCCTGATCTGTTGTTTGTTTGTTTTTAAGAGAAGCCAAAAAAAATCTAGGTTATTTTGAGAAGTCTCCCAATTTTTATATTTTGGTAGTGAGTTAATTTTTTTTTTAAATTCTCACCTGAAGATATTTTTTCCATTTATCTTCAGACTCTTCAGATAGAGTGGGAGGGGGGAGAGAGAGAGAAAGAGAGAGAGAAGGGGAAAGGGAGAGAAAGAGAAACATTGATGTGAAAGGGACACATCGAATGGCTGCCTCCTGCATAACCCCAACCAGGGCCGGGGACGAATCGCAACCGAAGTACGTGCCCTTGGCCGGAATCAAACCCGCGACTCATTGGTCCTTGGGCTGACGCTCTAACCATTGAGCAAAACCTGCTGGGGCATGAGTTAAATTTTTTTTTTTTTAAATCCTCACCCGAGGACATTTTCGTCGTTGTTGTTCAGATAGAGTGGGGCGGGGGGTGGGGGGGAGACATCGACCTGAGAGGGACACATCGAGTGGCTGCCTCCTGCACAACTCCGACCAGGGCCGGGGACGAATTGCAACCAAGGCACGTGCCCTTGACCCGAATCGAACCCGCAACTCATTGGTCCGCGGGCCAATGCTCTATCGCTGAGCCAAACCAGCCAGGGCATGAGTTCAGTGTTTTACAAAAATGTTATGTAGGCCAAAGAAAGACCGTCTGACCTCTGAGCAGGCTAACAGCGGAAAGGAAGGCGGGTGGGTGTCTTCGGGGAGACGGAACACTGAAACGAAAAGCGTGGTGTCCTCCACACGCCCTCCCTGGGGGCCTCGGCCTCCCTGACTGCTTTAAATTGTGTGCTCCTGTGTGTCTCTTTCAGATCCTGGCTCCACAGACAGAACAGCCCAGAAAAGAAAGTTCCCCAGCCCTCCGCATTCTTCCAATGGCCACTCGCCACAGGACACATCCACAAGCCCCATTAAAAAGAAAAAGAAACCCGGCTTACTGAACAGTAACAATAAGGAGCAGGTAAAGGGCCGCTGGGAAAGGTGTGCACCCGGCGGGGCGGAGACTGTAGTGGTGAGAGGCACTGCAGCCGCCTGGGTGGCTTTTTTAAAGAGCCAGTGTACTTGGCGTTTGGCAAGCTGCCTGACTCCCACTGGCGTTGGCACAGGACAGGAAAGGGCAGCTCAGAGTGGGCCGGTGTAGACATTTCTGGAGGGTTTGCAGATCTGTGTTGGGGACAGGGCAGTGATCCAGATGAGATGAAGAGATTGTGCTTTAGGGTTTGGGGTTTTTCCTGGGGTTTCTGTTTCACACTTTAGGACTGTTTCCCCCAGGTGGCCGGAGGGTATTTCCCTCCGGGGCCACACCAGCAGGATGGTTGTCACCTCTGCTTGGAGGTGTCTGTGTGGTGAGGCATGCTCTCTTCTGGTCTCAGTTTTCTCATCTGTATAATGGGTTTAGATCTGTGGTGAGAGATCGCTGCTCGCCCCACTATTGCTCATGGTGGACTTTGGTAATTAGTCACCATTCCTTACTGTGCACATGCTGCGGGCTGCAGACACCCCCTCCCTACGCAGCTGGGGCCAGTGAACATCCTTTCGCCATCTTGGATCATGCTAAAGAAACCTTCTAGCTTAAACATTCTCTGATGTGGGCTAGCTATATTTTCAATGAAAAAAAAAGAGAGAGAGAGATGCTTTAGTGGCCTGTGAGGCCAAATCTCCTGGCACCAGAGGAGACAGGATGAACCGAGGTTCTGGTACCACTTAAGCAAGGGTTCCTCGGATGTATGCGTGCATTTTGTGCGTTGCGGGGTGCCGAAGTGGGCTCTAGGGATCCGAGGTCGACTGAACTCAGGTTATTGCTTTCCTGGGAAGAGACCTGGCAGCGGTTAAACGCCCAGAACGGTGAGAGGATACATTTCCGCACACTAATCTATTTTCATCCTCAAATTATAGAGCGAAATGCCTGTTCTGCTTCTGCTCCGTGGCTGTGGGTGCGTTAACCTCTTGGTGCCTCGTGTCCCCATCTCCCGAAATGGGGACAATGACTCTCCTGCTACTGATTTCCTAAGGTTGTGGAGATGAATTGCGCCAAATGACATAGCTAATAATAATAAAATTAAGCCAGGCTCTACACTAAGTGGAATAATCACACCAGCTAGACGTGAAATAATCCAGCAACTGCTTTAGAAATGTCCTAGCCCTGTGCTGTTCAGGATGATAGTCACAACCACGTGCGGCCATTGACCACGCGCAGATGGCAAACGTGACCTAGGAACTGAATTGCTAATTGCATTGAAATGTAAGTGACTGCCTGTGGCTTGTAGCTACCGTGTGAAGATAGTTGGGCAGTTTGAAAACCAGATGTAATATAACAGTGTTGGTAATAGTAAACTAAAAGCAGTCTTACACCCCTGTGCACTTTCCTGTGTAAACCGTTAAACAATTTTTCTTTTACTGAGCTATAAGTGACATATGACATTATATTACAGACTTTTTCTCCCCTCCCCCCATTTTCACATCTCTGTTCGTGTTTATAACAACCCTGTGAGTAAGTAGGGGCTGGGATCGTCTCCATTTTACAGATGAAAACACAGAGGTTCAGAGAGGTTAAGTTGCTTCCTCGAGGCCTCAGAGCGAGGAAGAAGCTGCCTGCCACCCAGGATCTACCACAGCTGTTGGGATTAAAGACTAAGAAAGAAACATGAAGGCCACAGATAATCCCCAGATCTTGATTTAGCCAGTCATTAACTTCCTGGGCAAACACTTTCTCACCAGCTCCCCGTAAGCCACGAAGCAGATGTCTCCTTGCCCCGCCCCCGTGTCTCCACGCACGCGCGCACACCGTGAGTCCCTGCCTGTCCTTTAAGCATCAGCTCACACCCCTCTTTCTGGAAGCTGATCAACACAGACAGTTCATGCATTATTCTCTCCCTTCCCTGTCCATGTGCTGATACCATTTCGAGAACACTTCCACCTCATGCCCACACCGATGTGTTTGCCAGTCTGTGTCCCCTTCTGGACTTGTAGCCCCAGAAAAGGGTCTGACGGCTGCTGTCCGCCCAGTTTGACCCAGGCTGGGAGCTCATGAATGTAGAACGCGCTCGGGAGGTGGGAAATAGCAGAGCATGGGTGACTAGACACAGGACGCGATTACGCTCCTGAGCAATGCGTCATCTTCAGTCCTGGTAGGAGAGCTGACAGGACCGTGGCTCTGGAGGGAAGTGAGGCAGACCTGGAGATGGGCTCATTCTAGCCCCACTGAGTCTGGGAGCTGGCGGTGTGACCTGGGCCGTGTTTCCTGTCTCTGAGCTTCAGTTACATTGTAAAACAAGGGTTTGGACCAGGGACCTTACAAGGTTGATGGTAGGTTTTTCAGATCTCCGACTCCCCGGGGCTGAACAGCCAAGTAACAGCAACGGAGAAGTAGCTAGCTGTAGAGAGGAGAAATGGCTGACCCCCAGACTAATTCATTGTGGCATATGAAGTTTGCGTAGTAGGGACAACCTGTCTCGTGCACCGTCTGCTGTCCTAATCTTTTAAAAAAAAATTCTTCTGGACACTCTCCTTTCCTGTTCCCTCTCTTGGCCTCTTTCTTTCTTTTAGAATTATGGAATTAAAACCAAATCGTAGGTCGCAAATGCTGTGTTTGGCCAACGTAATATAATTCCTCTTAGTCACCACCCACAAGTGAAGATTATGAGGTGTCAGATAATTTATTTTTCTGGGTTCTTCCCCCTCCCCCCCATAAATTCTTTTTTTTTTCTTTTTTGATTTCAGAGAGAGAGGAAGTGAGAGGGAGAGAGAGAGATAGAAACATCGATGAGAGAGGACACTGATTGGCCACCTCCTGCATGTCCCCCACTGGGGATTTGGCCCACAACCTGAGGATGTTCCCTGACCGGGAATCGAACTAGTGACCTCTTGGTGCTTGGGTCAGTGCTCAACCACTGAGCCACACTGGCTGGGTGTATTTCTGGGTTCTTACAAAAACAGAGAACTCCAGCAACAGTTGGAGCTGGGCAGATCCTGCCCCTTTAGACAAAGGGCCTCTGTGCTCTGGTCTTTCGCACTACCCACCCCTCCCTATAGTGGGACACCCGCCTGCTCTGCTCATTCCTTCTGCTTCTGGGACTCTTAGGTGTTTGAGTTCTTTTCATTTTTGGCATATGTCAGGGTTCTCCACCTCCTTACATTTTCTCTTCACTCCAATTTCTCTTCTGTATTCTGGTGTTCTAAAAAGAAAGCCATTCTGGCCTTACAAAAACAAATAACACGTATTTTTTCCATTTTTTGGTAGCAACCTTTTATTTCCAAGTGGAGATACATGGGTTGAGTTTTCAGATTGGGTGCCTGTTTCACCCATTTTTCATGTATTGGGGATTCAATACTTTTAGGGGAGTTTCAGGAAGAGTTTTAAAACATACTTTATTTTTAGGGGAGAAGGATTCTAAGGCTTATAATCAATTTGTAATGCCTTTTGGTCCAGTGGTTTCACCCCTTAGGAAGGGTTTGTCAACATGTAGGTGTTTTTCCTTGGGACTGCTGGAGGGAGCATCCTAAAGTCTGGAGGGTGCTCCTGGCATTTGATGGAGAAGGACCAGGTTGCCAAACGTCCTGCAGTAGATGGGACAAGAAATATCTCGTCCCCAAATCATATAGGGGTCTTGATTGCAAAATGCCACTCTTATCTTTAGTTCTTGGACCATTTGGAAAATCTTCCTCCCTCCCTCCCTCCCTCCCTCCCTCCCCCCTCCCCCTTCCCCTCCCTCCCTCCCCCTTTCCTTTCCTTTCCTTCCTCCCTCCCCCCTCCCCCTCCCCCTCCCTCCCTCCCCCTTTCCTCCCTCCCTCCCTCCCTCCCTCCCTCCCTTCCTTCCTTCCTTCCTTCCTTCCTTCCTTCCTTCCTTCCTTCCTTCCCTCCCCTCCCTCCCCTCCCTCCCCTCAACAAAGGATTGAGAAATAATTGCTAACAGAGTTATACAAAATGGCCTTAGGTATACTTTGTTCAAATGTGGCAAAGAAATCCTGGGTCCCCTCTCTGCCTCTGAGTACATGGTGTATACGTATCATAAATGGGTGGGCTAGGACTTACTTTGTAGGGTCCCTGCATTGTCGTAAAAGCTAGGACGGTTCACAGAAGTCTCTTGTTGGGCAGGGCAGTGTACTAGCGGCTGAGCCCGTTTGGGGGACGGCAGGATTGCAGTGTCGTCCTGAGATCAGCAGCACCGTGGGGTGTGCCAGCTCCGCCGCCGTGGCCACTGGAGCTGAGTGGAAGTGCTCCTGGGGTGGGCATGAGCTCTGCCCCCCCCCCCCCCCGCTGTCTCCCAGTGTCCAGGCAGCGTGCCAGGGCCATCCCTCACATTCCAGGGTCAGGCACTTCATCTTATTTTTGCAAGACCCATGCTTTTAGCCATTGCAGGAGAACAGAAGCTGGAGAGAGGACTACTTCTATTTTACCTATGTAGGCCCTGTAGGAATTTGAAGCTGTGGACCCCCTCTCCCTGTAACCTGTGCTTACACAACAGCCAGAGGACCCAGTCTCTGGCTTAGGCAGGCCAGGTGCTGCAACTATACTTATTACAACTAGAGGCGCAAACTGTGGTTATTACAATATTCTGAGGCTGTTTTTGTAAATAAAGTTTTATTGGTCCACAGCCACATCCATTCATTTACATATTGTAAAATGCTTGTCTGCTCCTGCTGTAGACTAAGGTATGCCAGAAGAGAACGAGCAAGCCTATTGTGAAGCCGACCTGTGGGAGAAGCAGGGAATTAAGAACATTTGCTCTTGCAGAGGTGGCAATTACCCTGTAATAACACAGGTTGCGACCTGTTTGCTTAACCAGCAGGCTGGTAACACACCTTCTACTTTTGGGGGTGAACCTGCACCGATTTGCTTTCCCTGTTTTAAGTGCTCCATGTGGGTTATCAGATGATTCTGATGGAGCAGGAAACATTTACAAGCAGCAGATAAGGCAGGTATCTGATTGACAGGGAGATTACCAGGGAGTAGGTCTCAGCAACGACTTCCCGGCTCCAGGAAAGGACAAAATCTCCTGAAAAGAGAGCGGAGCAGCCTGGTGCTCAATTCCTCAGGACCCCCTCCCCCCCCCAGGTGTGTGTGGGGGGACAAGGACATGGGGAAACAGCTTCGGAAGTGGCAGTCCCCTGGCTTCTATGAGGTAGAAAGGACTTGCGCATTAGGGAGATTAGCTGTCATATTTGAATTTCCCAGGTTTGTTTCGATCTTAATGACTCTTCCTGTCCTATTATTAATGTACTGAAAGGAAGTTGGAACTGAGTTACGGCTTAGAGCCGTCTTGCAAAAGCCACAAAAGCATCCTCGAGGACCCTACTCAGGTTAGAGATAGTCTTCTTGGGTGATATGTACAGTTTATTTATTATTATTATTTTTTTTGTAAATCCTCACCTGAGGACATTTTCCCATTTATCTCCAGACAGAGTGGGGGTGGTGGTGGTGAGAGAGAGATAGAGAAAGAAAGATCCATGTGAGAGACCCACATAGATTGGTTCTTTCCTTTAAAAATATTTTTTTATTGATTTTTTTGGTTTTTTTAGAGATAGAGGAAGGGCGAACAAGAGAGAGAAACATCGATCCCTACTGGGGATTGAGCCTGCAGCCTGGGCATGTGCCCTGATGGAGAATTGAACCGGGATCTCTCAGTCCATGGGATGATGCTCAATCCACTGAGCCACACTGGCAGGCTAAATGCTCCATCTTTTTTTTAAATCCTAACCTGAGGGTGTTTTTTTTTTTTTTAATCTATTTTCAGACAGAGTGGGAGGGAGGGAGAGAGAGACAGACATAGATGTGGGAGAGACACATCGACTGGTTGCCTCCCGTATGACTCCATCTGGGGCTGGGTATGAACCTCAACTGAGGTATGTGTCCTTGTCTGGAATTCAACCCGGGATCCTTGGTCCAAGGGCCAGTGCTCTAACCACTGAACAAAACTGGCTGGGGCTCATTTTATTTTTTGAGTGAACAGTAGCTACATAAGATTTATTAAACCAGTAATGAAAATATGTTACTGGTTTGTCAATAGACAAACAGACAAAAAGAAGTTCAGATGCTAACTCAAATTTAGGGAGCCAGTTTGTTTATTTAATTTTTTTCTTTATTAGAGAGAGAGAGAAACATCCATGAGAGAGAACATCACTTGGCCGCCTCCAGCATGCCCCCCACTGGAGATTGGGCCCATAACCTGGGCATGTGCCCTGACCAGGAATTGAACCGGTGACCTCTTGGTGCATGGTCGAAACTCAACCAGTGAGCCACACCAGCCGGGCTAGGGAGCCATTTTAATCCAAGCAGTTAAAGATAGATTGTTTTGCCTTGTTGGGCCTTTTAACTTTTTCCCATTTCTCTAAAATTTTTAAAATTGATCACAGCGATTAATAATTTTTCCTGTGTGTCTGTCCCCGTGTGGACCATCGTAGAGTCAGGTTTTAAAGCACTAGCTTACCTCTGTCCCCAGGTTAGGTGCCACTTTCTTAAAGTAATAAACCTCCACTTTTCTTGATGCCTCCCACCCCCAACAGCAGTCACCCTTGAAAGTCTTAGTTGTTTTCTTAGTAGAAAGGAGTGTAGGAGCCTTAGAAAGATTGGTTAACGAGAATCTGCTAGTCATCTGTGGGGCTCCTGATCGAGGAGTGGAGAAAGAGTAGGCATTTTGAGATCGTTAAAACCTCACAATAAAAACCAGCAAGCAACAAGTTGCAGGTGTCTAAAACCTTGGCCACTCTTGCCCAGTATCCCGGGCGTCCTAGCTGTTAACATATGAAAAAAACAAAAGTGATGTAAAAATATTAGACACGAACAGACAAAACTGATATTATTCGGGGATAAGATTTTTAATCAATAAACTATTAGAACTGTTTATACATGAGGACAATTAATAAAAAAGCTAACAGCATTTCTATGGATCTAACAATCACTATTTAGAAAACGTAATAGAAAAAGATGCCATTCACAGTATCAACAATATGCAGTCTCTAACCAGTATATGAGCTCTTTTTGGAGGAAACTAATGTTTTACTGAAAGACAGGAAAAAAGCTTGTTATACAAGAAGGTTTATTCAAAAGTAGGTTCAGTAGTACTATGGTTTGACTAAGCTATTGTCCATGGAATCAAGGCTCAAAGTGGGGTGAGGAGCCTTCTTAAGGTCACACAACCAGTTTACCCCAGGTCATTCTGTTGTTTACCACTAGACTTTCTCATCCTTCCTAAACGGGATTTCTTAGTGGTTTCCGATTTGAGATTTCCTGATAAGTTTCATCACAGTGATACCATGTCTTTGGAGTGTGGATTTGCTGGATCTGCAATATATCATTAGGGAAATGTTTCTGGTCATATTTTGGGAGCAGAAGGAGTCTTGCTCCTGTGAATTGGCTGCCCATCTCATCTTTCTGCCACTGTTGGTTCTAAGTAGGTAATATAGCTTCTGATAGGTGCAGACCTACCATGTGTAAGAATCATGGCTTTTTGGAAGCCTCTAGTTGGCTCATAGCACTTTACGCATTCAGGGTAGACTTAAAAAAGAAAAAAAGAAATGGGTGATCATTTTTTGATGACTCAAATCCAGTTGATCTAGTCCCCAAAAGCCTGCTGTTGAAAGAATCCCAGGGCAAATTGACATTATTTTGCTGACTTTATACATTTATACTTCCATATATTGGACTGGAAACTGTATCAACAATGTTAGTAATGGTAGCACTGTGTTACACGCATACATTGTATCATCCCATTTAATCCCAACCACAATACGGTGGAGTTAGCTGTTACCATGCCCATTTTACAGATGAGAAAATTGAAGCTGAGAGATTGAGACTTGCCCAGGGTCATGTAGCTGGTAGAGCTAAAATTTGAACTTAGGTGGGGTGGGGAGCAGGGAGGAGAGGGTGTCAATGGGGGAGAAAAGGGACATCTGTAATTCTTTCAACAATAAAGATAAATTAAAGAAAGAAATGGAACTCGAGTATGCCTGGATTGTAGCCATTATGCTATCCTGCTATAGGGCTAACTGTTAACTTTGAGACACTAGCTTTTTCAGTCTATATCCTCTTAAAATAGAAGAAAGAAAAAAAAAATCTAACATTAATGACCTGTAAGCCCTGTATTTAGTAGAGTACCCCCAAGATGGCTTTTGAATGAACACATGAAATGCTGTAATTGTCTTTTGTTGTTATTGATGTATTTGTACAAATTCCTTTTGAGAATGCACATTTGTTTTGAAACCAAACCTGTCTTTCTTGCCTACATTTCAGTCAGAACTAAGACATGGTCCGTTTTACTATATGAAGCAGCCACTCACCACAGACCCTGTTGATGTTGTACCGCAGGACGGACGAAATGACTTCTATTGCTGGGTTTGTCACCGGGAAGGCCAAGTCCTTTGCTGTGAGCTCTGTCCCCGGGTTTATCACGCTAAGTGTCTGAGACTGACATCGGAACCAGAGGGGGACTGGTTTTGTCCTGAATGTGAGGTTAGTTCCTGATGAATGAATGCATTAACTGCCTCGTGTCTTCTCCTTTCTCTCTCCCTTTTATTTTTAACTCTTCAAATCATCCAGACACAGCGAAAAGGGAGACTTCTTACCTTCCACCTGCTCTTTCCTGGTTGTCTCCTTTTGGGACCAGCATTGTCAGTGTGCCCTCTTGGAAGGACCTTTGCACTGAGTAGTATTTGTGATTCTTCATGGGTCTTTGCATTGCTTTGAGATCTGTAACCTTTTCTCCTTCTTTGGCAATTGAACATTTCAGAAGTTAACTTAAGAGTCTTTCCATATCTTGAAAAGATCTCATGCTCTCTTCTCCCTTCTTGGACGTTGTCTCCTGCTCCATCAGCGACTCATCCGCAGGAGCCCTGCTAGGAAGACCGGTCTTGGTTGTGTGTTCCGGTGGTTGCCATCTGTTGCTTTCATTAGGGCAACAACTACTTCTCTTGTGTGCTAGGGAATCGGCAGTAAACAAAAAGAGGCATGAATCACATTCTTTTTGAGAGGAAGGGGCAAAAAACCCCCAGACAATTATACATACAATTATATATAGTGTGTAGAAGAAGAGTGTTCTGGAGAAAATGAATTGAAGGTGAGGGGTAGGGAGCGAGCAGGGCGCAGGGTGTTCCCACTTTCAGTGACGAGATCCAGGGAGTCTTAGTAAGGTTTGAGAAAGATGTGAAGAAGGGGCGGGCAGAAGCACAGTGAGGGAAGGAAATGTCATATTTCATATGTAGCAGAGTCTGAAGACTCTTCGTTAAAACAGTTATTACGGTTCCCACTATTCTGAGGTGTCTTCTATTCATGGCACCTTCCAACCAGGATGCTTTTTCGAAATGCTGAAAATGAGAATGTCATCCGCAGAATCATTTACTATGGAATGTCACGTGGAGTCACAGGTACACTGGAATTAGGTCTCAAAGCTTTCTGTGTGTGAGGTGGAGAGTTCTCCCAGATGTCATTAGTGGGAAAAAGCAAGCTCTCTGTAGGACAGTGTTTGTGGTTCTGCTTTCGCATAGGAAAAGGAGAAAAATAAGAAATGTAACGAAAGCATTTAGACATCTAGCCAGTAGGATGATGATGTTTTAATGGTGTTCTGCTCCTGAAATTGCATAAGATGGCCCCTGGTTCTCTTGGGGTGACTCTAGACCAGGAGTGGGGAACCTTTTTTTCTGCCAACGGCCATTTGGATATTTATCACATCATTCGCGGGCCCTATAAAATTGTCAACTTAAAAATTAACCCGCCCTATTAGGTCAAACATTTGATTAACTCACCCCTGACGTGATGGGTAGAGCTGCCTCTCTTTGGTGAGGCATGTGATGTGAGCCGGTACTGCCTTCGCGGGCCTTGGGGCGCAGCACGTTCTCCACTCCTGCTCCAGACAGATGTGCAGGACGCGACTTTCTCAGCCACGCCCTCTTGTCCATCACCTTAGTATCCTACCTCTAGTGCGGGAACTGGAGCCTTTATCTCTTTCCTTTGGTCTTGACCAACCCTTCTGTTTCTTAAAATTAGTGTTTAATAATTTTGCACAAAAGATAGCGGCTCAGAGAGGATGCTTTTGCTGCAAATACTAGATCTTGATGGAAGGGGCTGAAACAATAGGGTGTTATTAGCATGTGTTGGAAAAACACAGAGGCAGGGCCGGCCAGAGCTTGCGCAGAGCCAGACCCTTTCCGTCCCGTAGTTGAGGCCATGTGTCCCTGCGTGGCCCTAGGAGGCCACTGGGGATTTTAGCACAGTGGCTAGACAAAAATCCCCTAAGAGGAGTGTCTCTCTCTACATCCCTTTTTATCTAGCAGGAGGACTCTTTGCATCAGCCTCCCGCGGACTTGCCCTTGGGCTCACTGGTCAGGATGAGGTCACTAGTCCTCATGCAGAAAGGCTTGAAAAATGCATGTCTGGCACTTTCCGTCTGTGTTGTGGGAGCCAGGCACCGCCAGGCATGGGGGTGTGGGGGCAGAGGAGGTGAAATGACAGTTGAGCATGCAACCCAAGTGTTCGCTATGGATAAGTTACCTGGAAACGAGCAGGAATCCAAACAAACAGGTGTGCTGTGTCTAAGATTTCAAGCCCCAGTGTTCTTCCGGGGTGACCTGGTAGGGCAGTCAGCTGAGAAGACCAGCTCTTTCGGGCTCGGGGCCAAGGAATCTTGGGGACTTGCATCATGTACTGTTTTTGGCCTCAGAGTCGCTCTTGTGTTGCCTTTTCCTCGACAACCAGATACATCTGAAAGTTCCTTTTGGAGGATCCAGAGATAGGAAGGAGGGACATGAAATCCGAATTCATCGGAGAAAACTCTTCTCAGCTCTCTCAACACACACGCTTCCAGAGTGTTCCCTGACATGGTCAGACTTCACTCTTGTTGTTGTCGTCGCTACAGGAGCATTCTGGAGCTCTGACGCGCAGCACCAGGTTCACAGAGCAGAATCCGGGCTCAGACATGTCCCCGGTCTCTTCTCGGATGGGAGTTTCCCTTACAAAGTGACATTTTTTTTTGCCCCTGGAGGTAGACAGTCAGGCTGTGCTTCTTGTTTGCCAGAATGTCCCAAGCAGGTTCACATCAGTGGTGATAGAGAATGAAGTCCTGTTTATTATTTGTTCACCACCACCCCCTGGATTCTTTCCACCGTGGAGACTGTCCTTTCCCATCAGTGATGCCATTGAGTGAATGCTTGTCTGTGTCCTGACGGCTAGCCCAGAACCTTAAGATCCGGAAAGCATCCGCGGCCTTTCCGCTCATCCCACTCTTGAAACTCAAGATCGTAATAATGACGACTTTCAGGCCGCTGCCTAGCGGCGTCTTCCTCAGGTTCTGTCGTCTTCCTGAGCCCAAAACACTTCTAATAAGGTAATCAGTGGTTCGGTGCGTTTCCGGTTTTTATCCACTGATCCAGTAAATGGGCAAGTAGATTGGAGTCCTTGTCAAGCGAACCAGCTAGTCTCATTTGGAGATTATGAGTATTTTTTTATGTGTGCATTTACTGGAACATTAGGAGGAAAGGTAAATCAGTCTCTGGGTAGTGACTTTTTTCCTAACTGGACGCCCGTGTGACTTTGACTTGTAGAAGATCACAGTCGCAGAATGCATCGAGACCCAGAGCAAAGCCATGACGATGCTCACCATCGAACAGCTGTCCTACCTGCTCAAGTTTGCCATTCAAAAAATGAAACAGCCAGGGGTAAGAAGAAAGTTCCTCTCCATATACGTGTAAATGGACGCAGCGATTTTGTCCTGTTAACCTCTTATTCCACATAGCTGTAGCTTTTCAAACACCTGTGCATGCTCTTTGGGCCTTCTTTGTGCCTAAATTCAAACGTCTGTAAATGACAGACAGTGTGACAGCAACTGGTTCTGCACAATGAGCACTCTGTGTCCTCAAGGACTTTAGTCGGGAAGTGACATGTAGTAGAGAGGGTTGGTGGGGATTTCAAATTCTGATGGGTTATGTAGTGACACTTCCCTCGTACCCCATCAAGGAAGGATAAGGTGACTCCTTCCCTCATGAGTTAGCAAAATTCCATTGCAATGAGAGAGCTGAGCACAGCCCAGTTTATCAATAATCAAGGTCTGATGATGGAACCGTCAAATCAAACAACCAGTCAGATTTCCCGTGAAGGGGTGAGACTTTGGTTAGTTCCTTCGATGTTGAAACGGGATTTGCTGTACAGCCTCTTCCCCTTAAGGAAAATCTTTATTTCATTTCATTTTATTTATTAATTTGAGAGAGAGAGAGAGAGAGAGAGAGAGAGAGAGAGAGAGAGAGATCAGTTTGTTGTTCCACTTATTAATGCATTCATTTGTTGATTCTTGTATGATCTGTGACGGGGGATCGAACCTGCAACCATGGTGTGTTGGGATGATGCTCCTTTCTGGCAGGGAAACTCTGTATGTGAAAGCAGAGCTGCCACACCCAGCTGCCAAATTGTGCACTTCTCGTGGTTTCCCTCCTGAGTGCCAGTCGGACCATGGCCATGGTGGCTTTAGCTCTTTTGTGACCATTTTCAGGAAAATGGCAGTAAAATACCTTGCTTCTAAAAGTAATCAATATGTAATATCAGTATAATCAATATATTAGGACAGCTTTTCCTACAGATACTTGAGGATGGAGTTGTCTTTTTCTGATTTGCACAAAGGCACCATCTGGACCAGTCATGACTCTGCGACTCTTCAGAGTCTGTTTTCTTTTTTTGTTTGTTTGTTTTTTGTTTCATGATATTTTTAGAGAGAAGGGGGGGAGAGAGAGAGAGAGAGAGAGAGAGAGAGAGAGACATTGATGTGAGAGAGCAACTTTGATTGGCTGCCTCCTGCACGCCCCCTACTGGGGGTCAAGCCTGAAACCCCGGCATGTGCCCTGACTGGCAACCAACTGGGACCTCTCAGTCCATGGGTCGACGCTCAGTCCATGGAGCCACATCAGCCAGGCCAGAGATTGCTTTCTAAGTCAAACGAATACATAGAAATGTAGACTCTCAGGGTCTTGAGTAGCCACTGTAGTTTAATTTCTTTAAAAAAGTAAGCTTTAGGTCCTGGCCGGTTTGGCTAAGCCGATAGAGCGTTGGCCTGTGGACCAAAGAGTCGAGGGTTCAGTTCTGGTCAAGGGCACATACCTTGTTGCGGTTTGGTCCCTGGCCCTGGTCAGGGTTGTGAGGGAGGCAGCCAGTCAGTGTGTCTGTCTCACATCAATGTTTCTCTCTCTCTCTCTCTCTCTCTCTCTCTCTGAAGATAAATGGAAAAATATCCTCAGGCAAGGATTAAAAATACAAACCAAAAAACTAAGTTTAAGCTTTGAGATTATACAGTGAAATTTGATATCATGATTGAAAGAGATTTGGAGCATACCAGCTGGACACTGCTAAATTGGGGACCTATTTGTCTCTACAATAAAATGTCCGTGAATGGAAGCAAAATTGTACAGCCTGAGTTTGGTTAAAAAGGCAAACATTTTGCCCGGCCGGTGTGGCTCAGTGGTTGAGCGCTGACCCATGCACCAGGAGGTCACCAGTTCAGTGCCTGGTCGGGGCACATGCCCAGGGTGTGGGCCAAATCCACAGTATGGGGCATGCGGGAGGCAGCCAGTCGATGTTTTCTCTCATCGAAGTGTCTATATTTCTCTCCCTCTCCCTTTCTCTCTCTCAAATCAATAAATAAACAAAAACAACGAAACATTTTTTAAACTATGGAGTTTCATATGTTGAGTGATAAGGAATCACTTCCTGCTTTTTTTTCCCCCTTCAATCCTCACCCGAGGATATTCTTACATTTATCCTCAGATAGAATTTGAGGGAGGGAGGGAGAGAGAGAGATATTGATGTGAGAGAAACACATCACCTGGTTGCCTCCTGCACAACCCCAACCAGGGCTGGGGACCAAACCGCAACCGAGGTACATGCCCCTGACCGGAATCGAACCCATGACTCTGGGCCGCAGGCAGACGCTCTAACTGCTGAGCCAAACTGGCCAAGGCACTTCCTGCTTTTCATAGGCTGAATTATATCTGCCGAGGACTGTTTACAAAAAGAATAGAGTCATGTAGACCCGTCAACACTGTAGTTATAAACCACAAAGAAGAATCGGAGAGGGGGTTCATTTCTCACGTAAACTGTTGGATGTAAAATCAATCAGCACAGAAAGTTGCTGATTTTGTGGTAGCATCTTTTAAACATGCAGTGACCACTCATCCATTCCGCATAAAAGGGCTCTGCTGACTGGAAGTGGTAATCCCTTCAGACGCCTTGCTTGAGTGTATTTTGGTGTTTAATTAAATCTTTTAGACTTTTTTATTGATAAGTAAATACCACCCATCAACAAACCGGGCTTACATTTTCAGCTGGCTCAAGTAGGGCTTAAGAAAAGGGATCAAGATGAAAAACTTTTACACAGTTCCTGTGTTGAAGGTAATTTGGCTTCTCAAGGGAAGAGCAAAGTCTCACTGTTTAAATCCCCTCCCCCCCCCCATGTGTAGAATATGTGTTGGCACTTAGGGAAACTTTGTTTGGTGAGTCATCTCCAGGCGTAGCCAGATTTCGCCATCAGTCATTTTGATTGTGGGCATTTGCAGGGTGTCGATAAGCTTTGTTCAGAGTTCAGGTCTAAAGGAAATGATAGTTGTTCTTGTCCAGCTTCTTACCTGTGGGGCAGAAGTAGGTTTACAGTTGTGAGTATGCGAAACACAAACTTTATTCTTGTGTTATTTAGGAACTTGTATTATTTTCTATATGAACAACGACGCACCTACTTTTGCCCTATTCTGTGTAAGAGGACAGGACCTGTTAGTTGCATCTATCTTGAAAAGGGAACAAATAAAAACAGAACACAACGGGGCCCATGATTATTGATAAACAGGCAGAATTAGAAAGGGAACTGAGTTGGAGCTCCTCAGGGTCATTCTTTGTGAGAACGTTTAGAATCACCTGAGCAGTGTTGCTCAGTGGTTGTGCATCGACTCATGCAGCAAAAGGTCGTTGGTTCGATTCCCGGTCAGGGCACATGCCCAGGTTTTAGGCCAAATCCCCAGTGGGGGGCATACAGGAGTCGGCCAGTCAATGTTCTCTCTCATTGATGTTTCTATCTCTCTCTCTCCCTTCCTCTCGCTCTCAAATCAATTAAGGAAATAAATAAATAAATAAAGTGCTTTGTTGGCATTAATGCTTGGTCTTCCACTGCAGTGATGGGTTTGTGCTGTGTGTTTGAATCTTTTCTTTTACAGACAGACGCATTCCAGAAGCCTGTTCCGTTGGAGCAGCACCCCGACTACGCGGAGTACATCTTCCACCCCATGGACCTCTGTACATTGGAAAAGGTTGGCCTCCCCCAGAGAACCTCACCGCGGTAGCCCACAGTCGCCGAGAGGACTACGGATCCTCCCTCATTTTCCGTGCCCCATCTCAAGTCAGATGGCTTCTCTACATGTCTGTCCTCTGCGCCATCTTTATCGGGACGGGAGGACTTTTATCCCCTAACTTCTTCTGCGACATTCTTCCAAGGATTGCAGTGGAGTGGCGAAGTCCACTGATTAGCTCCAAACATTACTTCTGCTAGTGCTTCTCGTTTTGTACTTGGGAAAGTCATAGCCTCTGAGAATTAGCGATGGGACGGATTTGACCTTCATCTCTTCTTTTCCTTTCGAGAAGCTCATAGAGCAGCAGGAGGGAAGAAGGGGGCGTTAAGTGTCTGGGAAACCTTCACATTAGCCATATGTTTATGGCTTCGTACAACTTACTCTACCGATAAGGGTATTTCTTTAATGCCGGGAGGTGCTTTAAAAGTTCCTGCGAAACCTCTGGGCTAAAGATGACGCTTTTGACCCGTTAGATTGTGCCCAGCATCCTGGAGCTGATTTTCAAATTGTTGGCACCAAAATATGGGTCAAGAAAGCACGGATGAAGGGAAAATATGTTGCGTGCACGGATGACCCCCAGACAGGAAATCCAGCCTGCTTTGGGAAAGTTGCACAGACCCTCGTGGTCTTCCATGAAGAAGGCATTCCAAAAAGCCCGGGTTGGAATTCTGGCTTCAGGAATTCATAGCCTTGACACTCTGGACACCTTCTTTAACAGTCCCATACTTCTGTCCCCCTGTCTGTAACATGGGGACGATAATAACTGCTACACTGAGTTCTCAGTCATGAGGCTTACGGGAGACTATTACAAATAATAATAAATACGTAAATAGAAGTAATGTCCTGGTTCATTGGCATAAGCTGCTTGATAAAAGATAGCGGCTGTAAAATGCGAAAATCCAAGTTAGTGTGATAAATTCAATGAATGCATTTTTTATAGAGTTATAGATCTCAACTATAATAGCACCTGGGGAAATGAGTAAAAGCATTAATTAATTTGGCAAGTGACTGCTAAGAAAATTATGTGGGGGACGCAGGTGTTACGGGCTGTGGCTTGTGTGGACTCGCTGGTGATCACGCTCTGGCTTCTCTCCCCAGAACGCTAAGAAGAAAATGTATGGCTGCACAGAGGCCTTCCTGGCCGATGCCAAGTGGATTTTGCACAACTGCATCATTTATAACGGGGGTGAGTGGCGCAGATGACGCCTAGAGAAGAGAGTGCGCCGCGTGTTGCCCATCCTTCCACTCTTCATAAAACACCAGGCGCAGCTTCTCAGTCCTCTGAAGAGCTTTCCCACGTGACCTAGACCATATCGCCTGCCGTTGTCGGGCTGTCACGGTACCTGCACTTCCCTGTGGCAGCATTTCCTATACTTTCTGGACGGTACTGTTTTTACTTATTTGAGCTGTTCAGCAGGATGTAAGCCCTGTAAGTGCAGACACTGTCTTGTTCCCTGGGTCCCCTTGGGTGGTAACATAAACTGTTCAGTTACGTTGAAGGAAAGATGTACGAAGGGTGGATGTTCGCTTAAAGTGTATGTTTTGCACTGTTAGCTCAGTGGCGGGGTTGGGGTGCAGGAAGGCATTGAGGATGTGTGTAGTGATTGCAAACTCAAACATATAAACAAACGAATGAGGACTGGTGAGAGAAACATTCGCACGAGCCAGGGTAAGCACAGATGGTGGGGAGAGCAGGAGACTGGAGAACAGGGAACCCTGCCTGGTCTGGTGGGGTTGCCACAGGAGCTCCATGGCTTGTTGGATACAAAGTTACCAGATCTGAGCTTTCAAGGCCAGTCAGAAATCTAGGTGTTTGTGTGTGTGTGTGAGAAATCTTTTTGCCAACAAATACACAACATCTGAAAATAAAGTAACATTTGAAGAAAACATGGCTTTTTGACTCTCTTGTCCTCTGGTTTAGGGCAAAGGTAAGGTGTTTAGAGTTAGAGCTGAGGCTTGATTTTTTTTTTTTTAAATTCATTAGCTAAGTGGGCTCATGAAAATAATGACTCCTCTGAGCCTTGGCTTACTCATTAATGAAATGGGGATATTCGTCTCTGCTCCCGATTATGGCTTCTTGAGGCGTTGCCAAGAAAATGTGTTTAGAAGCATTGGGTACACCCGAGCTACGGAAGTAAATGTCTTGTTTCCCCATATTCTTCTTGGGTTGGAATCTCAGACAGTGGGTGGAGCAGGGCTCTTTTTCACTAACGTGAGCCTTTAAAATGTAAAAGTATCTTTCAAACATTGGTCCATGACTTGTAGGGAAACCCCACAAATTGCTCAGTTCCAGCAACGATGACATCAAGGCATTCATGGGAGAAGCCACATAATTTGAGCTGGTATTTGAAGCCAGAACCTTCTGGTTTTTGGCCTTTCAAAGCTTCATCCTGGGGGAAAACAAGTTAAAAGGTGGTCAGGGGAAGTTCAACCCCAGGCCTGGGTGTTAAACATGGTTCCACGGAAATTAACCCTGTTTTCTTGTCCCTTAGGAAATCACAAATTGACGCAAATAGCAAAAGTAGTCATCAAAATCTGTGAGCATGAGGTATGTGTTTCCCACTGTTGTGTTTTAAATGCATCCAGAGTGAGTGTTGGGGTGGCTGGAGTTTCCATGTGCAGAATCTCCCCGTGGATCGCCCAGTGGTTTTAGAATTTGTTTAGGCACAGACAGCTCTCCCTCTCTTTCAGGAAAAGTAAAAGCACCCAGGAGATGACCCTCAATATGTTAGAACTCTCACCTTAGCCATGATCTAAAGGAGATGGAAATGACCATTGAGTTCTTAGCTTTGAGTCATGGCCAGGCACCAGACAGCCTATGTTTTCTTCGTGCATAGATAGAGTTCATAGTTTATTTACCCCCACGGTCTGGGGCATTAAGTCAGGTCCTTTGCAGTCTTCTTGCAGAAGGTGTTTGGATTTTGATGTTATTTGGTGTGAAAGGTCCTGACGCTGTCTTGGCAGCCCAGGTGTCCTGGAGAGTCTGCCCCTGTCGCAAAACCAGTAGGTTTGAATGGGTGGATGAAGCCACCCTCCTGGGTTGCATGTCCCCAGGCTCCAGTGGTTGTGGGATAGGCTTGTGGCAGAAATGGTACGAGGAAGGCTTTCTTTATGAGCTCCCCATTGTAAGAGTGAAAAATTGACAAATGGCCTTCCCTCTGTTTGTGCTCATTCATTCATTCATTCATTCATTCATTCATAAGGAGAACATTTGGATATCTTAGGATATGTTCATGTCTACATATTTACATCCAGTTTTATAATTTACATTTTTCACTTAGTTTGAGTGTTTTCCTAGGTAATTAAACACATAAGGGAGAACAGGATTTTTCATGGCTGCTTTGGTAGCGATTCCTTGGTGAGTTAGAAGTGTACCTGCCATGTCTAAGCTAGTAAACATGGCGAAGGCTTTCAGTAGGTATTTCCCGGCTATCTTGTGGAAAAGCCGTAGGAACTTACACAAGAACCTGACATGGACGAGCGTGGTAGTTTCTCTGTGTTCTTCTCAGTACTGGAAGTTCTAATGAGAAAAAATAACATGCACCTAAGTTTCCCCTCTGTGTGATCAGTAAGAACTGTGATTTTGTTTTGCATTTCCGTAATGACAAGTGATCAGGGGCTGCTTTTGCTATGTTCATTGGTGATTTGGAGACGTGTGTGGTTTTTCAGTTCTCCCCTTGCGGGGAGTCATTTGTTTCCCTGGATTTTAATTGGTGGGGTGCCTCGAGGTGGAATTTACTGAACCCACATACTCTCTTACTCTCTGTCTGGAATTTTGGAGAAAGTTCTCTCTCTCTCTCTCTCTCTCTCTCTCTCTCTCTCTTTTAATTCTCACCCAGGGATATGTTTTTCAAGAGGGGGAGGGGAGCAGGGGGAAAGAAACATTGATCACTTGCCTCCCATTGTGCCCTGACTGGAGATCAAACCTGCAACTGGGTATGTCCCCTGACCAGGAATCGAACCAGCAACCCTTTGGTGCCCAGGACGATGCTCTAACCAACTGAGCCACTCCAGCCAGAGCCTGTCTGGCATTTTTGAATCTACCTGTTGACAGCGCACTGTTGCTTTGTAGGCTCCAAAGCCAGGGCTGTCCTGGACTTTGTTCTACCCAGTACCTTTAGAAGAGTAGACTGGATAGGAAGGTAGTACATTTTGGCATTCGTTTTTCAGTTATAATTCTAAATTATAATTATAAAATTACTAATTAACAATTAGTTGAGCACCTGCTATGTATTTGGCACCTTGCAAAATACAGGAGATAAAAGTAAAGTCTCATGGTGATAGGAAGATATAGCAACTAACAGGGCAGTGGTGAGGAGCATGGGTTTTGGAGCCTGGCTGCCTGGGTTCAAATCCCGGCCCTGCCCTTGGCCGCAGCGAGACCATGGCTATGTTACTTGACTTCTTCTTGGGGCCTCGTGTGTGTCCTCTGAAACAGTGGAGTCTGAATTCAGATCCTTGGCACGATCCTCTGGGGCCCTTGTTTCTCAGGCATGATACTTTAGGGGCATGCACTTCCTCAGGAGGGAGAACGATACTAAGTAATATTATTCTCAGGTTGTTGTCAGTAAAGTAGTGCAACATAGTATTAACTAACATAGTATTAACTAACCGCTCTGGATGCTGTGAGTAGGATGCATAGAAATTGAGCTTGGCAAGTGGAGACCAGAGGGGCAGGAGGGGCCTGCTGAGGTCAGATAGGGGGCCGAGGCCAGATCACACCTGGCCTTGAAGGAACTGATCAGGTGTTTAGATTGAATTGTTAGTCTCTCAGTTTTGGCACTACTTTTGAGGCTGAACAATTCATTCTTGTGGGGACTGTCCCATATATCAAAGATTTGCATTGCAACTATCTATCCTACCCCAAGTTGTGAGAACCAAAAATGTCTCCAGACATTGCCGAATATTGCTGGAGGTGTTAACCTGCCCTGGTAGAGAACCACTGGTGTAAGGGGTGGGACAAGATCAAATATGTGGGTAGAAGGTGGCTCTGGTCGCTGAGTCTCTGTGGGGAGTGAACCATAGTGGAGCTGGGGGACAGCCCCAGAGAGGTGACAGCGGCTTGGGCTGGGTGCAAGCGTTGGGGTTGCTGAGAGGGAGTTCCCGTTGTGTGACTTTGCTAATGTTTTTTGCCAGTATCATCTTGCATTTCTTGAAAGCCTAGAAACATAAGGCCCCTGGGATGCCACATTCTAACTAACTTTTGCTTTGCAGATGAATGAAATCGAAGTCTGTCCTGAGTGTTATCTAGCTGCTTGCCAAAAACGAGATAACTGGTTTTGTGAGCCTTGTGTAAGTTGGATTCCCTTTTCTTCATTTTCTGAACTCTGTGCCTGGAAGCTCCCCAAGACAGCTTTCCCTAGGTGGCTTTTCAACCAAACTTAAGTAATCTCTTTCCTGATAAAGTTATGACAGAGTGAAAGTAATAGACAGGTAGGAGCAATCTCTTCGGCTGTAAGTTCCCGTGCCAGAGGTAGCATGATAACTGGATTTATTAGCCTGGGCAGACCACAGGGTTCAGAGTAAAAGGGAGCTTACCCGAGAGAGCGGGGATTGGCCAGAGCAGTACAGATGATGACACTGTGTTAAGTGTGTCATTGACAAATCTATTTTAAATACATCCCTGGATTAAGTCCGTGGTTTCTCTCCAAATGTGCCGGTGGGGAGTTTGGGGGAGAAAAATCACCCTTGTTGGCCCCATGGATCTGCATTTACGAAACTGGTGTTTTTCAGAGAGAACTGTAGTTTCGGAGTGGGCTGGTGGGGTGGTGGAGTTCCTTAGTGGGCAAGATTGGGCAAGTGAAGTTGAGAATAAAAACACAGTCTGTGTCTCTTCCTGCCTCTGGAGATTAACACCTGCATCGTTAAGGGTGTGAGTAGCCCTCTGTGAAGAGCAGCAGTGGCTGATACTGCCCCTTATTAATTACATGCTAGATGTGATGCACATTTAATCCTCCAACTTAGCAGAGGCCGAAAGTATTACTGTCTCTTTGCACAGAAAGGTGGGGGACTCTCGTTCACAGCCACCCAGGTGATAGCCGCACCCCCAGGACTCAAGCCCAGCTGTCGGTGTTCAGTTCTTGGTTGCATTTAACCCCATACCCGTCTTCCCCCAAGCCTGCTGGCCACGCACCTCCAAGGGAACAGCCTGGGGAGACTGACGGGTCTCTTTCCTTCTGTGGCCTCTGTCACCTCGACGTGGCTTTATCCCCACACACCAAACTTACTGTGTGTATTTTGCTGTCAAATACATTGAGACTCTGGATTTTGTTTTCTTTTCCTAGAGCAATCCACATCCTTTGGTCTGGGCAAAGCTGAAGGGGTTCCCATTCTGGCCTGCCAAAGCTCTGAGGGATAAAGATGGGCAGGTGGATGCCCGTTTCTTTGGACAACATGACAGGTGGGAGTTAAAATTGGGCTATAAATGTGTAGCTTTCACTGAGCCTTGATATGGTCAGTGGGTACGAGAAGGAGCGGACGGTATGGCTGGCATTGTGTTGATTGTCATGGTACCAACCGGTGATCTTGTAGTTTAAAAATACTGTCCTGTGCTGTGTTAAGCCTGATAATAATGCATGGGCTTCAGTTTTTTTTCAGGTATATTAGAAAAGAATCTTGCTTTCGTGCTTGTGTTGATGAAAACAGCACCGGAATAAGGTTCCATGGGTATTTTAAATGCTGCTGTTCTTTTTTATTTTATTCTTTTATTTTTCTGGAGTAAATCAAACCGCTGTGCAAATTGGTTTTCAAAATAATGCTCTCAGGGATCAGAAGCATTTTCCCAGAATACCAGTAAATGGATCTGCGATCATTGTGCTGGGTAGTTTCCCCCCTGTTCCCTTTTCTCTGAAGCTAAAATGGGAAATTACAAGGGGTTGCTGTTTTGACAGGTGTGAGCCCTCCCTCCCAGCCTTTCTGCCTTCCCCTTTCCCATGCTCACAGCACAGTGAATTATTCCAGCGATTAGCAGTTCCCTTTAGAGCACAGCCCCCCGCGTGCTGGAGAACAACAGGTAGACGAGATGAGCAGCAGTTAATATCAGCAAGTTAAGATTAAATAAGGCAAAAGCCGTTTGACAAAGTGTGTGAGTGTGTAGGGGGGAATGTGTAAAAGACACCTTGCTAAGTATTATACTCAGCCATGGAATATGCAGACCATCCAGCCTGTAATTTTACATCACACCGGAATCTGCAGTACCGGTCTGTTTGTGAAAGTTTGCTTGTTACCTTGCAAATCCAAGAAAAGAGTGAATTCCAAAATAATCTACAAAATCATTCACTAGGAACCCAGGCTGCCCAGTGTCAGGAGGTGAATGGAAGTTAGCCGAGATAATCGAGGGTTTTTAAGGAGGTATTACCCTTTATTTGATTTTGACCATTTTTGTTGGAACTCTTAAAAATTCATTTGTTGCCCTGGCCGGTTTGGCTCAGCGGTTAGAGCGTCCGCCTGCGGTCCGGAGGGACCCGGGTTCGGTTCCCGCTAAGGGCATGTACCTTGGTTGCAGTTTGTCCCCGGCCCTGGTTGGTCGTGCGGGTGGCAGCCACTCGATGTGTCCCTTTCGCATCGATGTTTCCCTCTCTCTCTCTTCCTCTCTCTCCCTCCCACACTGTCTGTACAAAAAATGGAAAAATGTCCTCGGATGAGGATTAAAAAAAAAAAAAAAAAAAAAAAAAATTCATTTGTTGTTTCGTTCAAAGAAATACGTATTTGGTGACTGCCGTGGGCCAGGCCGTGTGCTGGATGCTGGGGGTTTAGAGAATGGAGGAGGCAGATGTTGACTCTGTTTGTCCAAAGGCTGACATCTAGTGGGGAAGACAGATGATACACAAGGAAACAGACGGGCATGATGCTCTCAGGTCAACAGGTGATGGCGGGCCCAGTGAATTTCCGGTAGAGGGGCCAGAGAGAGCAGAGACTCAGGCAGGGAAGGGCCAAGCCCACTGTCTCAGGAAAAGCCAGGAGCACAGTGTGGTTTGAGCAGGGGAGGGAGTGGAGGGGTGGTAAGACATGGGGTGAGGGGGTTGGCAGGGCCTGGATCACATGGGCTGTTGTCAGGAGTCTGGCTTTTATTTGAAGAACAAGAAGAATTGGTGGCAGGTTGTACACCTTCCTGCCTCTTCTCTAGAACATGCCAGTGTTGACCATCTTGATGATGTGGGATTATTCTCATTCTACAGTGTAATGTAATGTGGATAGACTGAGGATATGGGCCCATAGGCCCCAAGTGTCCCCAGACCCCGAGTGTCTTTGATTCTGCTTTTAGCTGAGCCACTCCACACAGACCGGCTCCTCCTACCCGCTGCCATCGAAGGTGGCTTAGGGGCGTGAACTTTGTTGGCTGTTTCCACAGGCTGTTTTCCCCGAAGCTAAAAAGACAGCAGCACAAGTCTGACGTCCGTGAGGTTTTCTTTCCTGCCCTTGGGGTCTTCTGTCCCCTTGGAGGGAATGTGCTGGGCTGTTGGGCTCATTTTGGGTGAGGGACGTGCATTGGGCAAGGTGTTCCGGACTCCACAGTGGTGGCGTGACAGTGTGTGGCCCTGTAAGAACCACAGTTGGCCTCGGGCACAGCGTCCCTGGCAGCGGTGGGGGAAGTCAATCCTAAAAGGACGAGCATCCCTCCCGCCCCAAAGGGGTCCTTAAAGTGGAATGGGGCCGGTTTGTCTTAGCCAGCCCTGGGTCAGACCTATTAACACACCAGGGAGACCCCAGGAGGCTGCAAGAGGGGTAGTAACCCGCCGTCCCTTTTGCAGGGAGCTTGCTTTGGGTTGTAGAACCCAAAACGCGAGCCTGGACAGGTGTCAGTGAAAGGGGTCAAGGTGGCAGAATAAGAAATATCACAGACCATTTTATGGTTATCATCAAGTTGATAACTACTGGAGCCCAGAAGGCTTTTCTGCAAGTCAAGGCATGTTCTTAAGTGTCTCATCACATGCCTTTTGTCCTGTAAAATATTTTTATTTTGTGGTGGTATTTCCTAGACACACAATATTAGATGCAAATATAGAGAATATTGATTATATTCCTGCAGAGCTGCCATTAATGGGCCGACTATGCAGCAGGCACGGTTTCAAGTGCTTTTTTGCAGAAGCTGCTTTTATCCCCATTATACTGATGAGAACTCTGAGGCCCAGAGCCAGGAAGTAACTCAGCACTGTGACTCCATGGTCACTCCTAACATTGCCCCCCACAGGCTTTATATATTGTTCAGCAAATCTAATTTTCCTTTAAATATTTCCTGGGCCTGCTTAAAGGAAAAGAAACACTCCCTTTCCTGAAATCACTTGCCAAGCAACTTCATTGAAGGCACTTAAGAACCTGGGAAGAAACAGGTAAGGCGCTGATACCAGATAACAGTGTGGGGGAACGCGGTCACAGTGGCCCTGGCGGAGCAGCTCCTGGCCGTGCCGGGACTGGCCCCCCAGGTTGAGGCACTGCCTCATTTTTACCGAGGATAGCGCTGAGGCTGGCTCAGGGAAGGGGTCGCCTGTCTGCAGACCGCCCTGCAGTCCTGACTGCTCCGCAGATCTGTCCGTCTGGTTCGGATCTTGCTCACCAGCTGTAACGCGTGGAGTCAAGGTTGTGTGCGGCTGCAGATGTGCTGCCTCAGGTCTCGGCAGAAAGGCAGAGTGGGAAGGGATGAGAAGCTGCTCACTTCCAGCACTCGGGGAGCAGATACTGTTGGGTGTTCAGTTTTAGTTGTGTTGCTATCTAGCATCACCAAGAGTTGCCAACAGACAGCCTGTCCCTCGAACTCTGCGCGTGCTTTTTCTTTTAAACATAGGAACGAGATGCCATCCCTTAAGATTTGGATACAATGTAATAGAAGAAGTTCATATTTTGTTTCTCTTGGAAACCTTGGGAGGTTTGAGGTAGTGTTGGGATCAGATTCCTACATGATACTTCTGGTAACTTCTGGTAACACTCAGGTGGATGGCGTTTGCGTTAGACTGGCCGGGAGTTGAATTTACTTCCTACAACGGGACGCCACGCTGGAGCTGATGGTCTGGGAAAAACAAGGCCTCCCTGCAATGCTCGCTCCCACCACACTCCCAGCTGTAAACTGGGCTGAGTTTGGGGGTGACATGTGGCCCCATTACATCTTGGGTGTTTCTGTGCCAGCTCTGGCTTCCCGAGAGCATGGGAGCTGAGTGCCCATCTCCTGCCTGTTGTCATTCGGGTCACTGATCCCTGAAAAGCAGCCATGTTCTCGTGACGTCTCCGCAGGGCACATGGGGTTGGGGTGTTGAAGGTAGGAAGACGCAACCAGCCTGGGAAGTGGAGGGCACAGCCCTGAAGGTGAAGGGGCTTTCACGTTCCTTCCTACGTGAATTATCTCACCTGCAAAACCACGCGCCTCCTGGTGGGGTACGGTTTCCCCACGTCTCCTAGTCCCATGGAGAACTCCAGGGTTCAGAGAAAGCTGTTGATTGAGTGCCACAGAGTGAGAGTGGGAATCATTTTCTCTTCGGAGGTGTGGTCCAGGATGCAGTGACGGTTTTCTTATTCTCTAGCAACCCAAAGCCAACGGGGAGTATGTTTTTAATGGACTAAAATGACCAAGTCTGTTGAACCTTTTAATGTTTTACTTAAGTTCATGTTCTCATTCAATCCTGATGACAGAACATATTTGTTAAGTGAATCACTTATTAACCATTCAAACCAAGTCGTTTTTTAAAAAACGGAATACACATTTAAGAATCTTGGCAAGCATACTGGGCTAGTTTGGTTTGCGTTACGGAAAAACCCGAAAGTTCCATCGACAGATGAATGGATAAGGGCGGGTTGCGTGTATACGCAGTGGGATACTCTTCAGCCTTAAAGAGTACGCCACAGTGTGGCCGAGGCTTGAGGACAACATGCTAAGTGAAACCAGCGAGCGTATAAGGACCAGTACTGCATGATCCCATTTCTAGGAGGAAATCTCTGGCAAGTTCCTAGGATCAGGGTAGAATGGTAGTGAGGGGAGGGCAAATGGGGAATTCCTAGGCACTGGCATAAGGTTTCGGTTAAACGTGAATCCGCTCGAGAGGTCTGCTTGGGGTGCACTTGTGCCTCTGGCCAACGGTGCTGTCTTGTACACGTACGCGTTTGTTACGAGGGTGGAACTCACGTTACGTGTCCTTACCACAATGAAGTAACATTTTAAAAAGTTAAAAAACAAAAATCTTGGAAATGACCAAAGTCGACTTAAACTCCCTTTCTCTTTTGCCCTCCTAGGGCCTGGGTTCCAATAAATAATTGCTACCTCATGTCTAAAGAAATTCCTTTTTCTGTGAAAAAGACTAAAAGCATCTTCAACAGTGCAATGCAAGAGATGGAGGTTTACGTGGAGAACATTCGCAGGAAGTTTGGGGTTTTTAATTACTCTCCGTTCAGGACACCCTACACGCCCAACAGCCAGTACCAAATGCTGCTCGACCCCAGCAACCCCAGCGCCGGTGCCGCCAAGATAGACAAGCAGGAGAAGGTCAAGCTCAACTTCGACATGACGGCGTCCCCCAAGATCCTGATGAGCAAGCCCATGCTGAGCGGGGGCACCAGCCGCCGGATCTCCCTGTCGGATATGCCTCGCTCCCCGATGAGTACAAACTCTTCCGTGCACACGGGCTCCGACGTGGAGCAGGACCCCGAGAAGAAGGCCATGTCGAGCCACTTCAGCGCAAGCGAGGAGTCCATGGACTTCCTGGACAAGAGCACAGGTCAGCCCCGGGCAGGAGAGGGTGGAGGAGGCCTCCGGACTCTGGCCCCAGCTGGCCGGTGTCCCAGAACCAAAGGGGAACCTCGTGGGGTTTCACCCCAGTGGAGCAAATTTTGAATTTTAAATGAGTAATGCAGCTGGATTCTTGCTGTTAGGGACCCGAAAAGTGACAAATGTGCCCCCAACAGGCATCTTGCAGGTCATTCCTAACTGTGGGCAGAGGCGACTAGAAACCCTTCAGAGCTCAGCTCAGATGGTTCTTGGATTAATCACAACAACGTTCCGTAACAGGTTTTTTTTTTCTCAATAATTTTTTTTTAATTGAAACATTTTTCTATGAAAACCAGGCATTCACAACATTTAATGCTTAAACGTCAGAGAAACACGCAAGGTAAACAAAAGCCCTCTTCCCGGACGAACTGTCCCTCAAGGTGACCTTGTTCAGAGGTTGGCTTCCGCTTTTGAGACTTGCTTTATAGAGAATGAGGACGCTGGTCTCAGATTCCAGTCCCGCCACGCCTCCCTGTGTGGCTTTAGTCAAGGCACCTGACCGCTGAGCCCTGGTTTCCTCACCTGTAACGTGATGGTAATAGGACCTGCCTCATAGGGTCTTGTAAAGATTCAATGACTCATTTATACACGGAGGGCTTAGTACAGTGTCTCAGACAGGAAGTGCTACAAAAATGTTGGTAACTATATTATTAACGTTTTAAATATGTTTTTATTGATTTTTTTTTTTAGAGAGGAAGGGAGAGAGAGAGAGAGAAACATCCATCGGCTGCCTCCTGCACGCCCCCTACTGGGGATCGAGCCTACACCGCGGGCATGTGCCCTGACCGGGCATCTAACCAGGACCTCTCAGTCCACGGGATGACGCTCAGTCCACTGAGCCAGACCAACCAGACGGCTATGTTATTTTCTGTGGTTGCTAATCAAATGCCTGTGTGGATTCAGAGAGGTGATGCAAATGAGGGACGCTGGCTGAGTGTACAGAAAATCACGGTGACTTGAATTCTTTCTACTCAGACATCATTTGGTTGTACTGTCGAATCTGGGTTCTCAAGCATCTCCCATCTCGAACAGTCCTGTTTTGGACCAAGTTGTTCACCGAAACAGTGTCTCCCTGGTTGAACCAAATTTGAGTTCTCATTAACCTTTTTGTGTCGGTACGTCAGCATGACCAAAGCGTCTCGGGCCACACGCACGAGAGAGAATGCCAGTCAGTTTGCCCTTCAACCTCGCTTGTTAACATCTCAGGACATGGTGGATATTTTCGTTGATTTTTTTTCTTTTGTTGCTGGCAAAAGGGATGATTAGCACAATTTTAAAGCATAAAGAGGCCATCAAGAGTGCTAGGCTGGCTAAGTGTGAAAGAAACTGATTGCAGGCCATTGGACAGGAGGAAAACTGTTGTTGAATTAGATATAGCAATGATCATAGGCAATTGAAGAGGTAGAAAAAGAGTTGATGAAGATGCCCAGTGCCGACTTCCTGAAAGACACCCCTGGAACGAGCTCTGGGAGTTCAAGGCCAGTAGGGGGTGGTTTGAGAAATTTAAGAGAAGTGTTTGTTTATAGTGTAAACAGTACATTAGACACGCACTGTATATGAGAAAGGAGAAAACAGAATCATTTAGGGGTCTGGAACGAATGGATTTAATTTACATGATTTCTAATGGTAAAAAATGGTTCGGTTTTCGAACACATCGCTTCTCCAACAGCCTTCTGGAACTATTACGTTTGAGACTGAGGTTCCATTGTATGCGAAATACTGAGACCTTGATTACTTCCGCAAGGAAATGGGTTTGCAAGGAAATGGGTTTGCGGTCATTTTTCTTGAAACATGGCCTTCACTGTTTGTTCTTCTACCTTGTACGCACAAGAGAGCTTCCCCACTACGGGGAGACTGTTGCGGGGACGGGGACTGGGGAACCCCAGGGCACACGCCCATGGTTGCCGTGCAGGGATGTGAACCCCTGGTTTTCAGATCTTAGCATTCTTCCAGAGACCTGGGGAATCCGCATTTATTACATAAACATTTTTATGTAAAATGTCCAGTTATTAAATGTCAACGCAAAGTATATCTCAGAATATTTTCCGGAATGAATGAAGCACATCCACGGCTTGGACCATGGGTATTAGGCTTCCTGCTGAAGCGTTCACTTTGGATAGCTTTTCAGACTCCCTCTCTCCCTCCTCCCTCCTCCCTCCCTTCACTCTCAGGAGCAGGCATCGCTCTTCAAGAGCCCGTGGAAGTCCCCAGGAGATAAAATGATAGGGGCTTTATCACGTGTGAACTCATTCTCACCCATTTGGGCTGTGTTGCTGCTTGGTTCTGGTTGGTTGGCTATTTTTGGGTCCTGCTTGTAACAGTTCCCCAAATGGCTATAGACGGGCTAGAGAGTTAAGCACCAGCGACATCGGGGCCTGGGCAGTGAAGGCTGCGATCTCTTTCTCAGCTCGAGCGTAGCCACGAGGTCCTGGGCACTTACTCCCAGTCGAGTTTCAGAGGTTGGTTCTTGGACGCCTTAACGTGTGTCGGCACAGTTTCAGAAAACACGTCCCTTTTGCCCTCTAGTTTCTGACCAGAGTCCTTAAAGCTCACTTTCATCCCATGACGTGACTCCATGTGAGCCCAGTTAACAGAACGTGGTACATAATCACACAGACTCCTCAGCCTGTTAGTTCCCACGCAGAGTCGATTTTGAGAAAGTTTTGGTCTCGGCAGCAATCCTGGGAAGAATCACTGTTCCTGAACTTCCATTGGCTTGCTTTTTGCCACCTTCTGGGACCACCAGTGTTATTACAATCCTAAGGATTAAACCTCCATTTAGCTTCATCCTACGCTAAATAAAATGTAGAAACTCATGTGTTTTAAATTGCTTGTTGCATTTCTTTTTTTTCCTGAAATACATGAAATGAAGACAGAATTTGTAAAATAGCACCTGTTGGTCCCGGAACCCACAGTCGGTTCTCTTGCACCATATTTCAGAAAACATAGTTTTGTGGGAATCTGAGAACACATGTAGTGTATTGAATTTACCTTCTTCCCTTCAGAGGTACAGAGGTTGAAATGACTTCAAAAGTCCTGACAAAATTCCTTGTCATTACAGGAGTTTTTTAGGTGCTAAGTTAGTAGTACACTTTAAAGTCCCTCTCCCAAAATATCATCCCCTTGCTGGGATGTGCTTGGGTCAGTCTGCTAATCCTGAGTTGTACAGCCAATGAGTAGAGAGGAGAAGATGATACTCAAAATTGTTTTAATCTTACAATTTCTCTATAAGGAACCAGATAGTCACAACTATGTATCTATTCAACACTGTTGTTACTAAAACAACCATAGACAGTAGGTGACTGTGACACTGAAATGTGAATTTCATACAGTTTGTATGTTTTGTGAACTATGAAACCTTTTGACCCCCCTCCAATAATTTATTTCCCCTTTATTGATTTTAGAGAGAGAGACAGAAACCTCCTGCATGGTCCCCACTGGGATTTGGCCCACAACCTGGGCATGTGCCCTGACCGAGAATCGAACCGGTGATCTCGGTGCATGGGTCGATGCTCAACCACTGAGCCACACCGGCCGGACTTCCCCCAATAATATAAAAATGGTAAAATACCCTTCTTAGCTTGCAGGCCATGCAAGAACAGGTGGTATGCTCAATTTGGCCCATGGGTCGGTTTTCAACCTCTAATATAGACTAAGAGAAACTGAGTTAGTCTCCCCATTTTATAGAAGGCAGGTTAAGGTCCCTGTGGAGAGAGAAGGAAGGTGCCCAGTTCCCACCCAGACATCATAAATCTAATCCAGTGTTCATTTCACTGCCTTCTACTGCCCTCTGCTGTTTGCAGTGAGAATAGCCTTTTTTGGAAGAAGTGGAATATTTATTGAAATGCTCCCACAATCAGACAAGACTGATTTATCCAAAACTGTAAAAGAAGAAAAAAAAAAAAAGATTGTCATAGGAACAGAAAAACCATACAGTTACAGCAGCGGAAATTTTGTAACCAGCAACATTAAATTGGAATAAGTTATTAAGTAAAACTTTTTTTTTTATCCTCACCTGAGGTCTTTTTTTTTTTTGCACTTATCTTCAGATAGAGCAGGAGGGAGAGAGGAGTAGTGGGGTGGGGGAGACATCGAGTGGTCGCCCCCCACACGACCCCAACCAGGGCCGGGGTCAAACTGCAACTGAGGTACATGCCCTTAGCGGAACCCATCCCAGGCCTCTCTGGTCCGTGGGCCGACGCTCTAACCACTGAGAAAACCGGCCAGGGCTTAAATAAAACTTTTATGAGAGTGCAGAAACCCTTCATTCTTGCGGGGGATTGAGGAGCTCAGAATGATGTGCCTGCACCTTAGAAGTGGACGTAGCGTTCTGAGAGGCGCTTGGCTCGGCCACAAGCCTTTTGCTCTTGGTGTCCTGTTAGTGTCCTGTTACCATGTTGCCTTAATGGCCAAAGTGGTTTGTACTCTCAGTGATTTTTTCTGCTTCCCCTTTTATCTAGACCTCCTGGCCAGAATCGATGCCTTCATCAATATTTGCTTGTGGGATCCCCATTTAAGTCATTAGTATGTGTTAGGGTAAGAGTCCTGTGGCCTGGCTGCTGCCACCCTAGGAGCTAATGGTCCTTGTAGCTCCATATGGGTTACTGCTTAGGGAGAAGGGAAAACATTCTCATGAAAACCTTTTTATTGCGCAATCAATATGTATTTGTTGTAAGATAATTGTTATTTACAACGACTAGAGTCGCAAAGGATACCACCTCCCACAGTTAGCCCTTAGATAATTTCCAGAACTTTTTCTATGTTGGTGTATGTCATGCTATTAAGTTGAAAGCGCAGATGTGTCCAGAGGTCAGGCAGGTGTGGGACTGAGCGGGGCTGGGAAGTGGTAGGGCCTGGGGTGTGCTTGCCCGAGTACTTGCAACCCGGCCCGCGATGCTCGGAGCGATGCCTTTTCCTCCTCCTGCTTGTAGCCAAGTGGGAATGGGGCTCAGTTGCGCCATTTCTGGTTGTTTCAGAGAAGTTTCAAACAGTTACAGTTTTTTTTTTTGTTTTGTTTTTTATCCTCACCCGAGGACATTTTTCCACTTTTTGTTCAGATAGAGTGAGGGGGGAGGGGGGAGAGAGAGAGAGAGAGAGAGAGAGAGATCGACGTGAAAGGGACACATCAAGTGCTTTCCTCCCGCACGACCAACCAGGGCCGGGGACAAACTGTAACCGAGGTACCCACGGGAACCGAACCCAGGTCTCTCTGGACCGCAGGGTGATGCTCTAACCGCTGAGCCAAACCGGCCAGGACTCAAAACAGTTTTTGAAATGCAAACTACCCTGATTTTATATATTGGCTCAAGTGAAAAACACAATAGCCCTGGTTGATTTACCTCCGTGGTCAGAGCGTTGGCGTGAAGAGCAAAGGGTCGTCGTGGGTTCGACTCCTGGCCTTTGTTGGAGTGGTGTGGGAGGCAACCAATCGATGTGTCTCATTCAGTGTTTTTCTCTCTCTCCCTTCCTTTCACTGTCTCTATAAACCAGTGGAAAAATGGCCTCGGGTGAGGATTAACAAAAAATAAATGGATAAAAAGGAAGAAAAACACCCCGCTATATGCTACGTCAAATGTATCTGTGCCCCACTTGGTTCATAGATCACCTGTCTGCAGTGTCTGGTGCAGACGGTTTAGAGTTTTTTGTTTTAACCTTGTGTGCTGAATACTTATGTTAGTAAATAACCCCTCAAGATAGCATTTCTGTCCCATGGTAGGCTGTCCAGGGACGATCTGCTCTGCAGCCCTTGTGTTGCCACCAAGGCTTGGTAAGACGCGGCGCTGGGAACACAGCTTGTTCCCCAGGTTCTACAAGTAGAGGACATTTAGCATGAATCAGTGTTTCCTCTCCCCCACCCGCCCAGAGGCTGGGGTGCAAGGGTGGGAAGGGACATTTTTTTCTAATTTGATTCTGAAACTCATGTTTCATGTCCTCAGAACAGCACTTAGCCCAGGCTAGGATTTTGTAAATGCAGATAATAAATGCTGTGTTCTAGCTCTCACACTCGTGAATTGCACATCAAAGTGTAAAATCTCATTAAGTTATTGGTGACTTCAAAGGCTATTAGTTCTTCCTCTGGGCCAGATTTATGGCTTTATAAAAGGATTGGCATCTGTTTCAAAGCTTAATTGAAACGAGCATTTCCCAATGTCATTTTGCTTTTGAAATGCCTCAAGTGATTTAAAACGGGGTTTCTCAATCTTGGCACTGTTGACACCTTGGACGGACAACTCCCTGTGTGGGACCGTCCTGTGCACTGTAGGTTGCTTAATGGCGTCCTGGTCCCTGTCCATGAGATGCTGAGAGTACGCCCTGTGCACAGTTGAGACAGCCAAAATGACAGCATTGTCACATGCCTCTGGAGGGCACAGTCACCCCTGCAGTCCCTGTTGAGAACTTCTGATGTGATGTACCATACTGTTGAATTTTAGCTCTGACAAAATTCTGATCACTTTACATTTATCTCGGAAGTTCTTTAATATTTACATTTAATCTTGTCTCATTTTTTTCCCCTTAGAAAGGTTTTTATTGATTTTAGAAAGAGAGTAAGGGGGAGGGGCAGAAAAAGAGAGAAACACCCTCCTGCACGCCCCCTACTGGGGATTGAGCCCAAAACCTGGGCATGTGCCCTGACCGGGAATTGAACCAGCGACCTCCTGGTACATGGGATGACGCACAACCACCGAGCCACACTGGCTGGGCTCTTTCTTACCTTTTTTTTTTTTTTATCCTCACCCAAGGACATTATTGTATTTATCCTCAGATAGAGCAGAAGGGAGAGAGAGAAACATCGATGTGAGAGAGACACATCGAGTGGTTGCCACCCACACAATCCCAACCGGGGCCAGAGACAAACTGCAACCAAGGTTTGTGCCCTTAGCAGGAACCGAACCCTGGACTCTCCAGGCCATGGGCTGACGCTCTAACAGCTGAGCCAAATCGGGCAGGGCTCCGTCTTACTTTTTTAACTTGATCTGTTAAGCAGGGAACCGTGGACTCACACGGCTGACATCTCTTGTGATAGTGCCTTTGCGTGTTCTTTTGTTCCCTTTAAGATTACGCTTCCTTATCCAAGTTCCCCCAGGCCCCAGCAGTGCTTAGGTGGCATGCTCAATGAGACCCTCTGCGCTGGATCTGCTCCTTAGTTTGTTTTAGAGCATATAATTAGAAAAGCCTGGTCTCTCGTCCCCCTGGGGAGTCCATTATACTGACCTTTTCAGCCACTGCAGATCTCTTGGAAGCAGGTAGAACATATGTGGATGGCTTATTTTTACAAAGAACCACACACAAAACCAAACACCCTAACACCAAAGCATTTATTGGAAGTATTTAAATCTGTTAAAACGCCTTTAACTTCATTGACTCTTGTACTGTTGTGTGACGAGCACTTTAGTTCTGTTTGTTATCACACTAGCGGTTGTAGTACCAAGAATGACAGCCCGCAGTTGAGCGAGCGTTGTCTGCTGGGCCAGGCATTCACTAGTCCTTACAGTAAAGCTGATTTAATTTAGTGTTTAAAAAGGCTGAATTCTCAAAGTAATTTTGGATGTTTCTTGAGCACTTGCCAAGCGCCAGTGGGCATGGATGACCTAATCCGGTCCTCACCTCCTGTCCTGGTTCCCAGGTGAAGGATTTCCAGAGACACCGCTGCTTTGTCCCACGTGGGCTGATCCGTCTTGGCACTGGGGCCGAAGATAATTCTTCCTTCTGGGGGCTGTGCACTGTAGGATGTTAGCAGCATCCCTGGTCCCCTAAGATGCCAGTAGCACCCTGTCCAACAACCAAACACGTGTGCAGACATTGTCTTGTGTGTCCAGGGGGCAAAATCCCTCCTGGATGAGAACCGCTGGTATTAGATGATTGAAACCAAACCCTAGAGGTTAATGGGAAATAGAAAATAACATGACACTAAGAGCAGATTATACTATAGTACTTACTAGGTGGCAGGCACTATTCAGATGATTAACTTGTTTGATCCTGACACAGGAGGGTAGGGACTTTTATCTTCCCTTTGTATTATATTGTTAGCATCCCTCTTTGCTGCTGCCCAGAGAGGAAGTTCAGAGCTATCCGGTAACTAACCCAGGGTCACACAGCAAGTCAGCAGCAGAGCTGGGATTTGTGCCCAGTCTGGCTTCCCATCTGTGCCTGAGTCCACGTCTCTGTGTCTAGACGTTCAATGCAGTGTTGGCAGGTCCTGGCCCTGGGGGGGAGGTTACCTCGTGTATATCGAGTAGCTGAGCTGGTGGACAAGTTTAACGCACTGAGTCCTCACTCTGAGCATCCCTAGTTGATAGGTGAGGGAACCAGGCAAGTGCCCACCCACGTGGCTGAGCACTTTTGAAGTCCCCCCAATGTCTTGATGCCTGATGCCTGCGCCCTCAGCAGCTTCCTCTGAAGGACCCGATCCGTGTTTCCTGCGCATCCGTGGAGAGCTGGATGCTTTACCACCTGTTACACATTCAGTGACAGACCAGTCCCAGTCATGTCCAGGGGCAGGAGCTCAAGGAGCCCTAGGGGGCTCTGGTTGGACTGTCTGAACCACCCCATTTTGTTCAATGGTTTGGTTTCTGCCCTTCCTCCCCCACCCAGTGGATGAGGGTCCGGGGAGCAGGGTGTAGGTAGTTCTAAGGGATGTTCGAAAGCCTTGGGCATAGGAACGGCTCTGCCCCCTCCCGTCCAAGTTGGAAACACAGTGAAACGGAGATAATTCACCAACATCTCGTTACTCCATCTGGGCTGAGTTTAGCTTCCTTCAGCAGTGTGGAGCCTTTGCAACGGGAATCCCAAGCCCTCTGGGGGGTCACGGTGGCCCAGGCAGGTGCAGTACCGACCCCCGTGTGTCCCGCAGACCGATGCCATGCCCGCCACTTGTGAGCCTGGCTCTGGTCTCTGCATCTGGACTGTGGTGGGGCTACTTTAATCGCTGTTTATTTTGAGATTTTACACCCCTGAGTGGGCCAAACCAATTTCAGTGGCAGCTTAGCCGATTTGTCTTAGAGCTTTGTGTTTCATAGACAAACCGGGAGGCCTCCTTCCCACGTGGCTTTAAGGGTTTAACGTTGGGAGAAAGCCCTTCGCTTGGAAATACAGGGCCAGCCCGGCGCGTCCCACCCCAGCTGTGGGGCTCTGTGCCCTGGTGAAATCACAGTGTCCCTGCTCTCCCTCACCCCACACCTGCAAGTTTGATTTGTTGATTTCTTCGTAAATCTGTCTTTTAACAAGTGCCATACCTTTTCAGCGTCGCCGGCCCCCATGAAGACGGGACAAGCAGGGAGTTTGTCCGGCAGCCCGAAACCTTTCTCCCCTCAAGCGTCCACGCCAATCACCACGAAAACGGACAAAACGCCCACCACCGGCAGCATCCTGAATCTTAACCTGGGTCAGTTGGAATCTTTGGACGTCTCTTTCTGGGGCGGCTGTGGATATTTTTGCAGGTTGCGATGGCCTCTTTTGCGTGTGGTTGTTGAGCTCGGAACTCTTTGTGCAAACTATTTAAAAGGTGCAGTGGAGGAACATGAAGAGAGGTCGAGAATACAGGAGGGATGTCCTGGGCTTGCTGACCTGCAAAGCCGTTTTATCTTGAGTACCTTAGGCCAATGTTTACAGCCTTACTTGCCCTTGACCTAGTAACCCAGTTCTCATATATGTAAATATACGTATTTAAAGCTTTATATGTGTGTGTACGTGTGTGTGTATATACTTGATGTATATCAAGTGTTATGAGTCACTATTAATCTTTTCTGTGTGCAGTATGTTCTGATCCACTGTTTCCTCAATTCTCTTCTAATATTTTTTTAAAAAGCCCTGTCTTTGGCCAAAGTCTTCAGCAGAAATTGGACTGGGATTGCTGATTACCTGACTTTATGAAGTTATTATTTCTCTGGTTCAGTCCACCACGCTTCCCGGTTTTTATTGAGCGTCTGTTATGTGCTGTGTGCCGCTTTAGGCGCGGGGCAGAGTGGTGAGCAAAGGCCCTGTTCTTCCCGCGCGGGTTCTAGGAGGGGACAGAGTAATCGAGGTGGATACACAGGATCGCTCGTGCCGGAAGGTAAAGTGTGATAATGTGCTACTGTGATAGGGAGAGAGCTGGGCGGGAAGGGGGTGGGAGAAGAGACAGAGGTTCACTGGGCAGTAGGGTTAGGACAGGCTTATCTGAGAGGAGATCTGCATGACAGGAAAACCCAACCATGTCAGGACCAGGAGGAAGAATGTTCTAGAAGGAACAAGAAAATGACAGGCCCTAGGGTAAGGATGGACTTCATGTTTACAGGAGTGGCAAGGAGGCCCAGGTGGTGTTATCCCAGTGGGTGAGGGGGGAGGGGAAGGAGGTGGGGGCAGGGAGCACAGGGTCCCTGAGGGCATGGCTTGGGCAGTGGAGGGAGGTGAACTGACTGAGCATTCTGGAAGGACCTCCTAGCTGCTGGGACACTAGCCTGTGTCTGCCATTCCCAAACTGGACACTTCCTCCCTTCCCCCACGGGACACTTCAGTGTCTGGAGACATTTCTGGTTGTCACACCTGGGGCTGCTGGCATGTTGTGGTAGAAGCCAGGGTTGCCGTTGCACACCCTGCAGTGCCTAGAGGTGGCCCCCCACCGGGATTCCTGGGTTGTGGCAGGAGAAATCGGGTCCCAGAGTTCAGTGTTAGATTCTGTTTGGTGCCCTGAGGCCAGGTCAAGACCAAGAGGTGTAATTCTGGAAATAGTGATTCATACACAGGCTTGGGTTAAAGCAGTAGTTCATTTTTTAAAAATACACGTTAACGCCCTGGCTGGTTTGGCTCAGTGGTTGGAGCGTCGGCCTGCGGTACAGAGAGACCCGGGTTCGGTTCCCACTAAGGGCATGTACATCGGTTGCAGTTTGTCCCCGGCCCTGGTTGGGTCGTGTGGGTGGCAGCCACTCGATGTGTCCCTTTCACGTCGATGTTTCTGTCTCTCTCTCTCTTCCTCTCTCTCCCTCCCACTCTATCTGAACAAAATGTGCAAAAATGTCCTCGGGTGAGGATAAAAAAGCAAAACAAAACATTTTTATTGATTTTATGGATTTTAGAGAGAGAGGGAGAGGGAGGTAGCAACTTTTCGGTGCGTGGACCGATGCTCAACCAGCGGAGCCACACCGGCCAGACCAGAGCCGTAGATCTCAGAGCTGGGCAGGGGTGCCTGCTGCTGGCATTTAGTGACAGTGGTCGCAGGGCAGGGGTGCTGTTACACTCTGTGGTGCCCAGGACGGCCCCTCCCTCCCCCCAGCAGGGAAGTGTCCGGTCCCAGTGGCAGTGGTGCTGAGATTAGGACCCTGGTCGAAGGCACAAAGGAAGAGCGAGGGCTCTGGGGCATGAGCAAGGAGGCCTCAAGAGGAGGGGACGTCAGAGGGGCTGGAGAGGAGCAGTGGACCAGGAGTGTGTGTGTGTGCGCGCGTGTGCAAGCACATGCACGGTCCTGGAGGCCTCTGGTCGTGGTTCTAGGAAGGATGCTCCAGCCCTGGGTGGTCAGTGCTCTCTGGGCTCATGGTTTCCTGCGCGTCCTGTTCAGGTGGAGAGGCAGGTCTGGAGGAGCGGCTGCCGGTGCCCGGGTCGCGGGGCCTGAAGGAGGTGGGGCTGGAGCAGGGCTGCATCTCCAGCGGAGGCCAGTGCTTTGTTCTCCCGGGTCCCCCGTCCCAGGTGTGATCGAGCAGTCAGGTGGTGGACTTGGGGCTCCCGTTCAGATTCATCGTTGGGAATTGCTCAGTTGAACAAAAGGAGACCTGCTTGCTGCCCTGGGAACGGTCTCCGTTGAACCGTTCTCAGCAGTGGTCTGCTTTCTCACACCCTCCTCCCAGCTCCCCACCCCGCAAAGACATGCCGCGTGGAGACGTTCTCACGGGCACACTTCCTCTTCGCCAGGCATGTGTGGCAAGAACGGCCCGCCCCTAACCCAGGCGGTCCTCGGGCATCCTCGCCACGTTGTGGTCTTTCCGTTTGCGTGACCCATGTGGGGGTGCGTGGCTTCTTCCTGTCTGTTTGGGTGGGTGGGCCCAACGGAACCGGGCCTCCTGGGCAGAAGCACCCCGCTTGCTCTCCCCGTTCTGGGACACGAAGCTTTGGGAATGTGGGCATTATAGGGCTGCGGTTCCAGTTACCCCCTGGAAAGAGGATCAGATAGGGACCAGTGAAAAGTGTCAGGGACAGGTGGGAAAATGGGGACGTGGGGGGAAGGCTGGACCTTCTCAACATCCCAGGGACGGGGCAAGTGCTTATGGGTCCTGAGGATGTCTTCCGTCTGCGTGACTCCTCTGAGCAGAGACAGTGCCAGGGATAATGATGGCATGATATCTAACAAAATATTTAATGTGAAACATTACACTGGAGAAGGCCACATTAGAGAGATGGTAACAGATCCGTGTTTGCTGGGGGCTGGCGCGGGGGACGTTGACCACAGGTCACAGGGATTCTGTGGCGGCGGGTGTCCTGCATGTCTGTGGTGGGTACTCAGATCTCTGCAGGTGTTAGAACGCAGGACCATATACCCCCACACGTGAATCTTACTCTTTGCAAATGAAAACTGCTCAGATAATACCAGTAACCTTCCAGGTAGGCAATGGCCCCATTTCATGGAAGTGGGAACTGAGGCCCAGAGAAGGAGAATTACCCACCCAGGGTCACACGCGGTCTGAGGTAAAGTTTGGCCTGTTTTGCTGTATAGTTTGGGCTGTTAACTGGGATACATGAACCGAAATGCTTCAAGACAGACCCTGGGTGTGCCCTTGGACAAGTTGGCCAGCTTTGGGGGTTGTAAGGTTATGATTCGGAATGGGCGATCACACAGATGACAGAGTGTTTTTTTGTTTTGTTTTTTATCCTCACCTGAGGACATTTTTCCATTTTGTTGTTCAAATAGAGTGGAAGGGAGAGAGAGAGAGAGAAAAAAAAAACATCGACGTGAAAGGGACACATCGAGTGGCTGCCACCCACATGACCAACCAAGGCCAGGGACAAACTGCAACCGAGGTACAAGCCCTTAGCAGGAACCGAACCCAGGTCTCTCTGGACCACAGGCCGACGCTCCAACCGCTGAGCCAAACCGGCCAGGGCCAGAGTGCTTTTTTAAAGGAAGCAGCTCCCACCACGTGAACCTGTGTTGTGATTCAGATTTTGAATTTTCAAGGAAAACAGAAATCCATATTTTTATGTGAATTCTCCTAGTTTTTAAAAGTTTGCATCAATTTCAGCCAAAAATACAAAACTCTATTTGGGCCCAACAAATACAAGTGAGCGCACAGAAAGCAGCCCGTGTGTCATCCGTTGGTCTCTTAACCGCTCTCGTAGTTAGTTATCGTGAGTCTCGGGGTGTGGACGAGGGCAGGGCGTCTGCTCACCGTCCTCACCCTGCGGCTGACGCTCGGCCTCTTCTCTCCGCTCCGAACAGGAGCGAACCCCCGAGGACTGTCCGGCTCCTCCTGTCACTCTGCGGTGACGATAAGTAAGTCATAAAGGAGAGTGAGTTGCTGAGACTGAGGAGAGGCGCCCCGATTCTTCTCTCCTACATTCCGGTTTGTGTTCTCTGTGCGCTCTCACCTCCTCGGGTCTCACCGAGGGCGTCTGCTGCAGACCGAAACGCCTTCGGTGGTCCTGGTAGTGACAAATGTGCCCTGCCGCCTTGCCTGACGCCCCGACAGCAACGGGAAGTCGTCAGAACGGCGACGCTGCTTGTCTGTTCCCGCGGCGGCTGCGGGAGGCCTTTCTCCGCACAGAGCAGGGTTTTCTTGGAGAGCCCGGTGCCGAGCAGGGGCCCGGGTTTCCCAGAGGGGGTCTTGATTTTTGATTTTTACGGGGAGTGAAGTGAGGAAGATCCCTGCCTGGCTCTGATGGCCACGCCAGCATCCGCCGGCGTCTCTTGTCTGAACGTTGTTCCCTTGGAGGGGCTGCCATTTCGTGGCTCCTGGAAGTCCACCCCTCAGTCTGCCGACAGCTTCTGAACAAAGGGGTTTTTTTTTTTAACACCGAAAAAGAAGTGGTTTATTTCTTTTTTAAAAAGTTTGGTTTTTAATAAGTAATGAGTGCCAAAAGAAATTTCAAAGTACAGAAAGATGTTCAATGGAAAGCCATCCTGGATGTAACCTCTGATCACCTGCCTCTGTACCCACTCCCCACAGGTGACTGCTGTTACCTGCTCAGTCTCTGGGGAGCGCTGTCCTAGAGACATACCAGTGGTTCTCAAACTGGGTGATTTTTGTCCCCCAGGAGACACGGGGCGATATCTGGAGACATTTTTAAAAAATATGTATCTTTTATGGATTTCCTTTGAGAGAGAGAGAAACATTGGTGTGAGAGAGAAACATTGATTGACTGCCTCCTGCACACGTCCCCCTGGGGATCGAGCCCACAACCTGGGCATGTGCCCAGACAGGGAATCCAACTGGCACCTCAGTCCATGGGATGAGGCCCAATCCACTGAGCCACACCGGCCGGCTGGTGACATCGTTACTGCCACAACTGGAATATGGGTGCTCCTGGCATCTAGTGAGTGGAGGCCGGGTTGCTGCTGTACAGGAGAGCCCGCCATTCCACGGCCACCACAGAGACCTCTAAGTGCCTGCTCCGAGAAGCCCCGAAACACACACGTGTTCGAGTCTGCATTCTGCTCCTCTCTCTTCTGCCCCACACCAGTGCTCCGGTGTTCTGCCGGTTGGTCCCTTGTCGTTAGGCAGGGAGGCTGTGCGGATCTGCACGCAGAGATGCCACTGTTGCCTTTCAGCAGCTGCGTGTTAGTCCATGGCAAGGTGAACTGGAACTTACGTATCCAGGCGCCTTGTTTAAGGACGCGAGGTTTTCCATTTTTTGCTGTTGAAAACAGCTGCGATAAACACCCTTTCACCCACAGGGGAGTGTGTGCCCGCAGGATAAATCCCCCGAAGCGGAACCCCAGGTCAGAGGCCGTGGGCAGCTGACGTTTGCAGATGCTGCCAGACGGCCCTCTCTGGGGCTCTCGTGCTCCCTCCCCAGATGGACGAGCGGGCCTCTCTTTCTAGCGTGGGTCTGGTGTAATTCCTGGGTTCCATCTGTAGTCCGAGCTGTCTGCACATCAGCTGAAAAGCTCAAAATGTTGGCGGCAGGGGTGGATTCTGAAGATGTTCGCGATAGAGAAGGGCAGGGTGGACAGAGCTGTGGGGAGCTGCCGGGAGCCGAAGGAGCCCGCAGTGTCCCTGTGGAGGGGGGAGTCGGGCCGCCGGAAGTTTCAGAGAGAGAATCACCTTCGGCTAAGCTGCAGCTCTGCTCCCAGGGACCCCTCTCAGCCCCCTGGCCTTTGGTTTCTTGTTAGAATAAACGTCACAGTAGCTTATTGACTGGAGTAACCTTATTCTGCAAAATGAGGTGCTTTATCTTTTCATTTCTTCTTGACGAGGTGTAGGTTTCTTTCTGTGAACCCTAAGGGTTAGGGCAGTGGCTCTGGTCACACAGATCCACCCGGGTTCAGGCACATGGTGAGTTCTCTTTCCCCGCATTGGTCTGATACAGGTTCTCAACCTCAGCTGCCATTAGTCACCCAGGAACTTGCAAAACGCCAGTGCGCAGGGCCAACCTCGGGCCGGTTTACCCACAGTCTTTGGGGTGGTGGCCCAGGCACTAGGAAGATTTTAAAGCTCTACAGGTAATTTCCCTGTGCAGCCAGGTTAGCAGTCACTGGGACTCACAGGGGATGGCAGATTTTACAGCCTGCAGACCAAGTCTGGCCCCCCACCTGTTTTTGTAAATAAAGTTTTATTGGGACACAGCCAGACCCATTTGTTTAGATATCATGTCTTTTCACTGTTGCACCAGAGCCTGTGTGGTCCACAGGGCCTAGTTTACTCTCCAGCCTTTTATAGAAAAAGTTTGCTGAGCCCTGGAACGTAGTGAGCATGTTTCTCAATAACTGCTGTATGGGATCTATTAACCATACGGGAACATTACTGAGGACATGGATGAGCCTATCACTAGGGTAGCAATCCACACCCCCCTCCCCCCCCATGGAACGTATTTTTATTGAGATACTTCTTTTCTAACTGACGCCTAAAAGTCTGCCAGTCTGCCTTTTTCCTCCGGAATCTAATATGCTTCCTCTTTTTTTTTCTTAATTTAAATTTATTGATTTTAGAGCCAGAGAAACATTGATTTGTTGTTTCACTTATTTATGTATTCATTGGTTGCCTCTTGTATGTTCCCTGACCCAGGGGTCGAACCTGCACCTTGGTGTATCGGGACGACGCTCTAACCAACTGAGCCCCCGGCCAGGGCTGTTTCTTCATTTCTGAGAGCAGACGCGACCAGACCGACCTGAGTCTTCCTTTTGCTGTCACATTGGCAGCTTAACTGTTGAAGTCCACGAGTCTCCTTTGTCCTGTGTTTACTTGGGTCCTTGTTTGTTTCCCTGGTCCCCCTCGTCCTCGTCCTGGCTGTTACCACCGCTTCCCTGTCTTCCCTGTGCAAGGTGCTTCTCTAGTAAATTTGAACAAACATCCGTCCCTGTCCAAGGTGGCTTCACACCTGTGAGCATCTTCCGGCCTGGTGCTGACGGGCTCTCTGCAGAGCCCCCAGTTGGCATGTGTTTGTGTGCGTGTACACACGTGCGAACGCATGCACATATATGCACACGCACGCATATTTTTTAGAGCCTTTTAAAAACATTTTTTAAATTTTTAGAGAGAGGGGTAGAAAGAGGGGAGAGAGAGAAACATCGATGAGAGAGAACATCGACTGGCTGCCTCCTGCATGTCCCCCACTGGGGATCAGGCCTACAACCTGGGCATGTGCCCTGACTGGGAATCGAACCGGTGACCTTTGGTGCAGGGGTCAACGCCCAACCACTGAGCCACACCGGCCGGGCTAGAGCCTTTCCTCGCGTCGCAAGGATGCCGTCTGCTTCCTCGGGGCACTGCTGGCCCCTTCCTGACAGTGTGTGTTTTTGGGAAAAGGCCCTTCCTGGTCTTCACCTTAGTGGAGGCCTCATCGTGGTGATAAAATCAAGTCTGAGCAACTTGTTGCTCCGGTCACCTGTGAGTGTGTTGGGTGGAGCATTTGGGAGGCCGCCCGTGGTGGCTGGAAAGGGACAGGCCCGGGCGTGCAGCTCAGGGAAGCGCCCCGTTCTGGGCGAAGGAGAAGGTGCGTGAGTCGTGTCGGAACAGAATCGGAGGGAGAGAGGAAGGCTTTGAACAGCCCTCGTGGTCCAGCTCTCAGTCTGTGTCCTGGGCCTCGAGCAGCCCGGGGATGGAGGCGTTCGGGTGGGTGTTGGGGAGAGGGGGAGAGTCGGGGCCTGAGCTCTGAGCGGGTGCCCACAGGCTCAGGTAGCTTCTCTGTATCCTTGATTTGATGCCGCATGCTTTCTGGCTGATTTTCTGGGGCCAGTCTGCCTAGGGCACCTGCCACGTTCTCTGCTCTGGCTGATCAGAGGGGATGCCCGAGGGTGGTGAGCAGGCACGAGAGCGCCCCCTGCCTGCAGACCTCTCGTGGCTTTTCTGGGCCGTGGTAGCCACTTTCATTTTGTCCCCTTCTGTTTCCGGGACACTAGAGCAGGGAACTGAGGAGGCGGTGAAGGAATTCAAGAAATGCAGACTCACGGAGTCTGGTCCAGTTGCTCATGTAATGTGCCCAGGGCAGAAACGGGGTGGGCGGCGGCACCTTGGCCTGAGCCCTTGGCATTCGGAGGCCTTTGCCTGGGACTAGGGTTAGGAGCTTGGACTCTCACCTGAGTGAGAAGGCGCAGGTTAAATGCCCAGGGTTAGTCCGTTCACCTTTCCTCAGATGCTGTGAACCAAAGGGAGGCGGGTGGAAGGAAGGTCTCCCTTTTTTTTGAGTTCCCTTCCTTTCTAATTTGTAGCTCCAGACTAGGTTGAGTCTGAACCATGAAGGCTCCGGGGTAAATGAGGAGCCGAGACCCCAGTTATCAGGGTGTTCTTGGAGGGGCTTGGCATCTCTCTTGGGTACAAGCTCTCTCTGATCTGGGCCTGGAGTTCAAAGCAGTCTGGCCAGACTTAGTGTCTCTCTATCTGCTAATATTGAGATGGCGCATATTTCTGTAACCTTTGGTGTTTGAAATTCCCTAATGATGCTGAGTTCCACAGGCAACCATCTGGCCGGGATGGTGCCTTTTAAATACTGAATAAACCTGCCAAATGTTTTCTCAGGCTATTATCTCCAAGTCAGCCCGTGTCACCGAGCAGATGATAGTGCTGGGACACATGACAAAGATGTTGTAGAACGTTCCCTTCCGTGTTCTAAAATGTGCGTTTGCGAGAAGGAAGCGGAGTCGCGAGCATTGTGTGTTCACCGCTCCAATGCCGGGTCTTACGAGGGTGTCACGATGTCTTCCAGATCGGAGCAAGGCCGAGATGGACCTGAAGGAGCTGAGCGAGTCTGTCCAGCAGCAGTCGGCCCCTGTGCCGCTCATCTCTCCCAAGCGGCAGATCCGCAGCAGGTTCCAGCTAAATCTCGACAAGACGATAGAAAGTTGCAAAGCACAATTAGGTATGTCTTTTGTTTTGCTGCTGCTTCTTTATCATCATTGTCGTCGTCATCATCACCATCACCATCATCATCATCATGTGTAGGGTTACCACCCAGGTGAAATCAGAGTTGGATCCTGTCTGCTTTGTTCAGTTCAAGTATACTTCCACTCCTGGCAGAACGTTTCAGATTTGCTAGTTAATGATTCAGACCGGCTCTCTGAATTCCTCCGAGTTTATGCTTTGGCTGTGGCGGCCTGCAGACACGAGGTGCAGCTTGTGCAATGCTTGAGAAGCAGAAAGGCCCTCCTGCGTCTGCCTCTGCGCCACCTTTCAGTACATGTTAGTGTCCTAGCCTCAGGATGAAGTATGTCCCACAAGGATCCAACACAACTCTTCCCCTCCAGACTGGGCCATCCCCACCTGGCCAGCCCATCCTGCTTCTGTACCTGTTGCCTCCTTCCCTCTTCCCCCATGCCGCCTGCCCTCATGCTGCCTACCTGAATCCTGTTCCTAAGGCTGAGCTCGGTGTCACCTTCTCCAGGAAGTCTCCTCTGACTGCTCTCCCCATCTGCCCACCTCTTGTGATACTGTGTTGCTCAGAAGCAACAGTGGTCCCTGTGTGTGAGGCTGTCCCTTCCGATCTAGGCTGGGCGCTCATTGAGGGCAGGGAAATTGTCCTATAAGGATTTGCCTTCTCCAAGGTACTTGGTTTGGTGCACACAGTAATGATCTGGAGTATTGGTTGAATAAGTCAGTAAAGATGAGGGAATTTAGAAAGAAATGGAGATGGCTGGGCGTCAGGAGAGAGAGCCACTCCATGGCGAGGTGTATGTCAGTGGGAGCCCTGCATCTTTGAGAAAGGGACTGTGGTTTGGAGTCATCCGGGCTGTCAGAGGAGAACATCCCTTGTTGGGCTGCCTGTTTGGTTAGGACACTGACTGGCAAGGATGGGGTCTCACAATCCATTTAAACATCTCTCTTGGGCCCTGGCCAGTTTGGCTCAGCAGTTAGAGTGTCGGCCCGCGGATCAGAGAGACCCGGGTTTGGTTCCCACTAAGAGCATATACCTCGGTTGCAGTTTGTCCCAGGCCCAGATTGGGGTCGTTTGGGTGGCAACCAGTCAATGTGTCTCTCTCGCTTCGATGTTTCTCTCTCTCTCTTCCCCCCTCTCCTTCCCACTCTATCTGAAAATAAATGCAAAAAAAAAAAAAAAAAAATTAAAGAAAATAACCTCTTTAAAAAATATATATATATGTGTGTACATATATATATTTTTATTTCTCTTGGGTGCTTCCACACAATTGGTCTAAGTCCTTGATTTATTACTATTGTTAACAAAAATCGTAGTATTTCCATTTCCTGAGTGCTTCCCGTGTGCCCCGCACTGTGCTGAGTAAGCTGCACACAGGTTGCCCGGGCAGATGGGTACTATTGTCAGTCCCATTTTGCAGATGAAGAAACTGAGGCTCAGAGAGGCAGGCCACTTGTTCAGGGTTACACAGCTAATACAACCAGTGGAGCAGGATCTGAGTTCCTTCCTTCGGGCTCCTGTAAGCTTTTCTTTTTCTCCCATATACGGTCATACAGTCCTGCTTGCCACACCTCCTCACGTCTGATCACTCGCTACAGTAGCCTACGCCCGAGGATCCAGAAATTCTACCAGTCTGGGTTTTTGTATTTTCACTTCTGCCTTCGACTGAGCCCTGGTGGAGGCAGATGTCATTCACCAGTGATTCTGCTGTGGTCCAGTGCCCTGGGCTGTTCCTGGCTCTGTCCTTCTGTGAGTTTGTCTGGGCCAGGTCAGTGACCCCACTCTTGGTGTCATGGCTCGAGCTCGAAGACAATACAAAGAGTTGACTGGCATTTCCTCGTTTCAGAATTTGAGGATATAGTATTACCTACTGCTGATGCCGCTCATTACAGGGAGCAGGAGACAAATGGATTAAATGGAACTACTGTTACAAATGTGCTTTTGCCCATTATCATTTATATGTGTGAGAAACACCTATTATTTTGTCTGCTTCCTTTTTGCTGGGGTCATGGACATGTGTGTCTTTCCCGTTGGCTCCATTATAGGGGACACACATGGCCAACACAGTGGCCATCCACATGACATCAGTGCAGACAGCGAGAGGGGTGCGGCCAGCTGGGCCACCTGGAGACTGTGCTCCCCCACCAAAGGGGCCAGTGGCTTCTCAGCCCAGCCCGCTGTTCCCTGGTTGTCCTGTTAACCAGAGTTGCCAGGTCTGCTCTTTCTGCAGAAACCTGCCATCTTGATTTCTACGTGAAATTTCCTGATTTGTGAATTGGACGAGTTCCAAATGAAAAAACGAGAGCAAACAGCAAACTCCTCTGTGGGCCCAGCCATTGCTTCCCAAATGAAGTGTGTCGGCTGGTCAGATGTGGCTGTGGGCTCTGGCTTATGTTTCGCACCCTGAACGCAAAGGGTGAAGGGCTTTAATACTTTGGGAAGATGTGGGAACAGCATGGTGGGGTCAGGAGCCCAGGGTTTCAGCCTTGCCTCTGTCTTGGTCTTCTCTGTGTCCTAGGACAAGTGATTGCTCTGGGCCTCTATTGTCTACTCTGTAAATTGGAGCAGCTTTCAGTTTGTCTTCGGTGTTCCCTTCTATCCCCCCTATTTTCTATACTGCAATTAGTTATCAATATTGTAAAGCTTGAGCTCCAGATAAATTCAAAATGTATGTTGTTTGGTCCCTCATCGTCTCTGGGACCCTCTCCAAACTCCAGTTCTATTTGTCAGCAGACCTCAGGGGCAACTAGTTCACTGCTGACCCCACCAGGCTCGCGGGATGCGATTTGAAATGTTTTTTGTTTTTGTTTTCATTTCTAGCATTTGGCATGGAAAAATGTTTGCGTTTTGGTCCTGCTCTTTATTTTGTGACTACGCCACAAAACTACGCTGGGTTTTCTTTTTTAATTTAGGCATAAATGAAATCTCAGAAGACGTTTATACGGCCGTAGAGCACAGTGATTCGGAGGATTCTGAGAAGTCAGATAGTAGCGATAGTGAGTACATCAGTGATGATGAGCAGAAGTCCAAGAATGAGCCAGAAGACACCGAAGACAAGGAGGGCAGTCGGATGGACAAAGAGCTCTCTGCTGTCAAAAAAAAGCCCAAGATGGCCAACCCCGTGGAGGTCAAGGAGGAGCTGAAGAGCCCATCACCACCCAGCGAGAAGGCAGACCCGGGCTCCGTGAAGGACAAGGCAAGTCCCCAGCCCGAGAAGGACTTTTCAGAGAAAGCCAAACCCTCACCTCATCCCACAAAGGATAAACTGAAGGGAAAAGATGAGACGGATTCCCCAACAGTTCATTTGGGCCTGGACTCCGATTCAGAGAGCGAACTTGTCATAGATTTAGGAGAAGACCATTCTGGGCGGGAGGGTCGGAAAAATAAGAAGGAATCCAAAGAACCATCTCCCAAGCAGGATGGTAAGTGACTGCACCGTTTTCAGTGTCTTGATTTGGTTTTGAATTCCACCTTTCATTTGTATGATCAAAAGCCATGTGACCCTCTAGGATCTCCAGAGGAGGCATAGCAGAGCTTTGATTGGCTCACGGTCACCCAGCTGGTTATCTGATAGGACCGAGACTTAAACTGAGCCCGCCCACCTCTTTCCTGCTCAATACTCAGCGTGGCTGATGTTGAGCGTAGAAGAATAAGTCTTAGAAAGTAGTAGTTGCTCAAAGAGGTCACGTCATTTTTAGCCTGAGCAACTTCTTTACTGATATGTTCTTTTATTTTCCTGAAATGTTTGTCAACATTTAGACATTTGACAAGGCTGAAATTGTTAGACGTTTTTAATTTGAAGATGATGAGTTTAGCTTCCCTTTCTTCCCCTCATGCTGCCCAGGCATCCCAAAGTGCATTTTCTCACCAGAATCTGAGAGCGTTTGGGAGGTGGTACCAGAATGGTGAGCGTTTCTTGAGGCACTAGGAACCCACGGGGCATTGCTGGCTGCGCACCTGAGTTGGTATCCCACTGTATTTGCATGTAGTGCACCTGATTCCAGGGGTCTGCAGCACGGGCACTCCTGACATTTTGTGCCGGGTAATTCTTTGTCTTGTGCATTGGAGGGTGTTTAGCAGCATCCCTGGCCTCTCCCCACTGGATGCCAGTGGCAGTGCCCCGTTGTGGCCATGAAAAGGGTCTTGACATTGGCAGGGCTCCCTGGGAGGCACAGTCGGCCCCAGTTGAGAACGTTGTATGAGTCTCAGAGCTCGCGTTGCTGCTCAGACAGGTTGGGCCAGCGAGGCCCCCTCAGGCCCGCCGTAGCCCAGGCGTGCTGGCAAAACCCTGGAAGGAACGAGTGAACATGAAGGGTATCCTTCTCCCGGACAGAGCAGGCAGCACATTTTCCAGTTGGTTTGGCACCTGGGTAGTGAGGGGATTCCAACACGCCCCAGAAAGGTCATGAAGAATTCATCGAGGGCCCAGGAGAAACATTGCCTAAGGAGGGAATTAGAGGTCGTAGCCGGAAGACCTTACGGACTTTGTGAGTAGCTGGAGGGATCACCAGGTTGAAGCTCTGACTGCCTGATTTCTGATAGGACCTACCTTCTGACCCAAACCCTGGAGTAAGGTGTGGTTCTACGCCCCTGGGCATTTCTTAGTCTGACTGTGTGAAAGGCAAGTCAGGGCTGGGCCTGGAGAATTTCCCCTGAGGTCAGCCTGCGCTGCTCTGGGTCCTCCGAGCTGCAGGTCATCAGAAGAGGTCCAAACGTCTGTGGGTGGTGCGATGGAGGGAGAGAGAGCGATTGAGGGGGCCAGGAAGGACAGACCACCATTCCATCCCAGAGTCTTCTCTTAGATTTATGGGTGGTCTCCGAAAATTTCCATCATGGAACGGGGTTTGAGGGTCTCCTCTGTTTCAGGGAACGGTAGGGGTAGCACTGAGCATTTGTTCCATTTGTGGGACTATTTAGGGACAGATGGCAGTGCCCCTGTGAATGATATATTTATACCGTTCTTTTCTTTCTGGAACAACTCTCTCAGTTGATTGGTTTTATGCCCCTCCTTCTTCCAGAAAGGATTTGTGACAGATTGACAAGAATACATAATCCTGGGACAAAATGCAAGTGAAATCGGTGTAAAAGATGGTGGTAGGATAGTGAGAGGTTTGGGGGACATTTATACACAGAAATACATACTGTTTCAGCCTCCAGAATTAGCAAAGTTGGGCTTCCACTTTTGGCTGCGGGCTCTCCATCAGTCAAAGCAAGAAGGGGGGAAACACAGCCCCTTCGAAGATGTCATATTTCCCCCCAAAATAAAAAACATTCAGTTGATTAAGTTAAGTACAGAGCTCTTCCTTGCACTGATATCTGGGGGAAATTTCTCCAGGAGACCCCAAGGGTGTGGTGGATTAAGCTAAAGATGATTCTAAAACATAATTCAGTTAGAACAGGTGGCTAGGGCTTGGGGCAAAATGGACCAGTCTTTTTTTTTTTTTGTTCAGGTAGAGTGGGAGGGAGAGAGAGAGAGAGAAACATCGATGTGAAAGGAACACATCGAGTGGCTGCCACCCGCACGACCGACCAGGGCCAGGGACAAATTGCAACCGAGGTACGCGCCCTTAGCAGGAACCGAACCTGGGTCTCTCAGGACCGCAGGTCGACGCTCTAACCGCTGAGCCAAACCGGCCAGGGCAAAAATGGACCAGTCTTAAATGCAGAGCCCTCTGCTGGTGGTTTGGGTCGTGAAGAGTTGGTTTCAGGTCTTAGCTCTGCAGTAGACAGTGTTTTTTCAACGATGTGCTTTTACTCCAAGTTTATTCAAATGAAGGGCATTTTGGAGCGTGGTGTGGTGACCTCCACCCTACCTTCAGCTAGGGATGCAGCTTACGTATAGAATGTGAATCCTCAGATAGTAAAACACTTTTATAGCCAGCGATTGCAAAGGGAGCTTGCTCAGAGACCTTTGCTGCCTGGAACAGCAGTAATTTCCAAAAGGTTCTCCTTATGGACAAGACAGTGACCGGACTTTGGAATAAGTAGATTAATTAGATGGCGCAGTTTCTGGTGTGCTGGCCTTTAAGAGGTTCACTCTTCGTTGGGCTATCTGATTAATCAGACACTGAATTTGTAGGACAAACGGACTTTTTTATAGGTTTTTATTTTCTTCTCCATAAACCATCAGAATCCCCCTAGAAATTAAAATATTGTCTGAGTGATAACCCCAAAGAGCACTTGGAGCCTGAAATCTTTTCGGATTACTCACCCCGTTTTCTTGTTTGGGAAGTGGGCCAGACCTGACCCTTGCAGAGCTGCAACCATCTGCAAAGCCGTGTTTGCTTTTGTCAATCAGGAGAGAGAAGGACCTTTCTGCCGTTGCCCTTTGTGCCAGTGGGGATCAGGCTGGCTAATCAACAATAACAATGTCTTTTTTGGTCACGTGGCAGAAAAGGGGGAGGCACCCAGGTACTCCTAGCAGGTTAGAAGTCCTGCTGGTCGACTGCCCTGCGTGGGCGTAGAAGGGCCAGGTTCAAAGCCACCTGTGGCTGTCCACTGTCTGCGAGGTCGTCCCGGGAAAGGACTGGGCCCCTCCCTGCAAGAAGAGCTGGCCTTCCAGCCCTACCCCGAGCTCCTGTCCTTGAACTTGGCTGCCCTCTCCAGAGGATCAGGGGGCCAGCTGGATGTGATTACCACCAGGAAAGCCCCCTAGTCAGAAGAGTCAGCTTGTCTTTCCTTCTCACTTTCCTTGACGATCCTAAACCCTCAGCTCCCTGAACATCTTCCCCAGAGGAATCAAGCGCCTGTCTTTTCCAGGTGATACCAATCTAAAACGACAGGCAGAGTCCTCATGAAAAGGAATGAGATGTTCAGGCACACTGTCTAAGATCGGGGTGCTGACTTGCACCCGTGTTTTGTGTGTGATCCTCGGGGCCTCCTCTCTGGTGGCGGCTCCCTCACCGGTGGCTGGGACCTCTGCAGTGACAACCAACACATGTTCCCTTTTACACATGTCCCCTCACGTGGCCATTTCCTCCCACAGTGCTCAGTGCTTCTGGCTCTAACCCGCCTCGTGGCCACTTCTCACTGCCTACCCCCACTTCCCGAAATGCACTGCTCCCTGTTCCTAAATACATCTTGGCCAATGCGGTTCCCCTCTAGACTCACCTCTGCCTGTTGAAATCCTACCCTTACCCACAGCCCAGCTCCTCCCAGCAGACATTCTCCGTAATCAGTCTTTTCCAAGTGGGCGGTGTTCAGGTTTGTTGTTGCCGTCATTCCCAAGTCCTGCTTGTATCATTACTGACTTACTATTTCATTGGAAGCATCCTACTCTTTTAAAACAAATTAAAGCCATTTTAGACTTAAGCTTGACCACACACACTGGGTGAACCAGCAGGAATGAATACAGGCAAAACAAAGGCAGGCTCCCACATTCTAGATCCATCCCATTGTGCTGGGAAGGTTCTGCCCTGGGGGCGGACTTCCCTCTGCTGTTAGGTGTTGCGGTTCCCCCAGGCTCTGACTTTGTCCTGGAGGGACTCGGAAGAGGAAGAGGTGGAGAGGATTCTTTTGTTTCTGAAGGATTTGATGTTACCAGGTGCCTCCTTGACCCTAGGGTCTTCCTGGCACCTGCTGTTTCTAGCCAAGGGGTTTCTCTTAATCTCTGGGTTAATGTTGGCTGGGTCTTTGTCAAACTGCCTCCCTGGATTTAATTTGGGAAAATAAGACACTTGCAGGGTGATTCTGTTTATCCACTGTCTCTCCGTGAATTGATGAGCAGCTCGAGGGGCCGGGTCTCGTTTGCCCTGTTTCCCCCAGGGCCTTCCCGGGCATCTCAGGTGTGAGGTGCGGAGTAAGGTGAGAATGTGCTCTTTGGGCAGCCTTGGGGAGCTGACTGTGCTGGGCCTTCCCGGCCTTAGGTCCTTGCCCCTAGAACTGCTGGCATGGGGACCCCGCAGGCAAACCCAGCTCAAATCCGCTCCGTGCCCGTTTTCTCCACGCCTTGGCTCTAGTTGCTGCTAAAGCTCCACCACTGTCCTCGACGGCAGGCAGCCAGGCTCCCCCCGAAACGCCGGTCCTCACCCGCTCGTCCTCCCAAACTCCCACGGCCGGCGTCACGGCCACCACCAGCACCACGTCCACGGTCACGGCCCCGGCCACCGCCGCCACGGGAAGCCCGGTGAAAAAGCAGAGGCCGCTCTTACCGAAGGAGACTGCGCCGGCCGTGCAGCGGGCCGTGTGGAGCTCACCAAGTAAGTTTCAAACGTCCTCCCAAAAGTGGCACATGCAGAGGATGCAGCGCCAGCCGCCGCCGCCGAGCCAGCCGCAGCCTCAGTCTTCCCAGGGGACGCGCTATCAGACCAGACAGGCCGTGAAAGGTACCGAGCCCCCCCTGCCCTCCGTGGCGCCGGTCCCTCCGTGCCCCAGCGGCAGGAGGCAAAACCACCACTTTTATTTTTCTCAGTTCCGTGTGTTTCCTGGCCGCTGAGGCCCGAAAGGCCATGCGCATTCCACGTGGCATTGTTTTCAAAAGTTGTTGCGAAACTCGAATTTTTATTTTTGTTTCCTTTTTTTTTTTTTTTTCATTTTGCAAACGATACATGTGTATATGCTCCTTAGAAAGGGGGGCGAGATATTTACACCAGTGTCTGTTGTCCCGATCGACTGACCTTTCGTTTTATGCTTCTCCCTTTCTCAGCGGCCACGGTGACCCCTCGAACCTTTTTTATGCATGTATGCATATATATCTATATATATATATGACTCCATAAAAATACTACTTTTTTTTCCCCCTTTTTTCTTTTTTACAACATAAAAATGGTACCATTCCCCCCCACCCATCAGCATGTTTTGGAGGTCCGTCCATGTCAGGACATGGCTCTACCTTAATCCCTTAGACTGCTGCGTGGCGTTTCGTAGTGCATTAAAAGCACACCCGATGGGCGTTTAGGGTCGTTACTGTTGTAACTCGTGCTGCGACGCATACCTTTGTGTGAGTTTCCTGTGCGCCCCAAGACCCTCTTGGCATTCTTTTGGAAAAGGGGACAGGGAGACATTGGCAACAAACCTGCCTTAATGGCGGGGAATTGGCTCCATGTACCAGAAGAGCCAGCCTTGGAGCTAGCTGCCGAAGTTGCAGAACCAAAATCTCCAGCCGTGCAGGGGGCTCCACCTGGAGCCGAGGGGCGAACAAAGCGCTCACTGGATGGGTCCCGGTTTGCCCAGCTTCTGTGAGCTTTGGCGTAGCTCTCATTCCACGGGGGCCTGCGTCCAGAGCCTTGAAGGTTGGGCTCCTTGACTGAAACTCTCGGGTAGTGAGTGCACCCTAGTGAGTGGGACTCCTTTTGTAAAAAAAAAGCTTCTCTCTCTCTTTTAAAAAAATTGATCTTGGAGCGAGAGACATAGAGACATAGATGTTAGAGAAACATCGATCAGTTGCCTCCTGCATGTGCCCCGTGTGGGGATCGAACCCGCAACCTGGGTGGGTATGTGCCCTGACTGGGAGTCGAAGCCACCACCTTTTGGTGTGTAGGTTAACGCTCCAACCAACTGAGCCTCCCCGGCCAGGGCTAGTAGGACTCTTAAGAGTAGCATCAGGACAGGAGGTCGAAAGGCAGCCAGATCTCGCAATGGGCCTTGCAGTGAAACCCTTCAAAGGTTGGGGAGCTGGAAGATTGGACAGGCACAGTTGGGGTACAGCTGGGTTGATCGCACTGTTTAAAGAGTTGGCGGAGCAGGAGTGAACCTAGGGATCTGAGATGGGGGTGACCGGGCCCGGGCTTGTTTTCATGCCATGTAAGCGTCCTGAGTGTCCCCAGGGGAATTTAGGCAAGAGGTTCGTGGATGGGCTGGTTCTCAGTTCCCACACTGTCCAGGATCAGCTAAGCTGGACCTGAGTTAAAGTGACCGGTGTCACACTGTTGCAATAGGGAAAGAAGTCCCTTGTGAACGGAAGTCACTTGGGTACAGAAGTGACTGGGCCTTTTAAAGGCAGGATGAGGGAATGGCACGGGGATGGGGGGGTGGCGGGGGGGGAGGCAACAGAGTGAGGGAGTGAACTCTTACAAAAAGTGGGAGGTGGGCGTCGGCCCATGTGACAGCCACCTGGGTTTGCTACCTGACACCTATGGACGTTGGGCCCCTACCTTCCCACGGAGGTGGGGAGACGGGGGCCTTATCTTTAGGTAGTGGCTGGCACAGGCAGTTATTTGGGTGGCCTTGAGTCTTCTCAGGCAGGTACTTTAGGGGGGCTGGGGTCATGCTAGGGATGTGGCCTTGAGCCGTTGGAAGCCAGGTTGGTGTTCGTTCAGGTTGTTACAGGCCAAGGTAGAGGATTAGTCAAGGGCCCAGAGGAGCCAGGCTGGAGTTGGGGTAAGGAGAGGGTCTCAGGCCCGGGAAAGCAGTGTTTATTGGGTGTCACCCTCTCCACAGCTGCGTGTCGGGACGGGTGCTTCCCGCAGCAGTGGGGTGACCCGGACCCTTTGTTTCCCTAGCTGTCCAGCAGAAGGAGATCACGCAGAGCCCGTCCACCTCCACCATCACCCTGGTGACCAGCACTCAGTCGTCGCCCCTGGTCACCAGCTCGGGGGCCACCAGCACTCTTGCGTCTTCAGTCAACGCAGACCTTCCGATCGCCACCGCCTCCGCCGATGTCGCCGCGGACATCGCCAAGTACACTAGCAAAGTGAGTGCCGGCAGCGCCTGGCGGGGCCAGGGCATCAGCTCTCTGCCGGGAACTGCCCGGGTCATGCTCGGGTCATGACCTCACAGGTTCCGGAGCTTGTTTAGGAAGGAAGACCCTGTTACGGAGGCGCTCCAACACTGAACCCTTCCGCTTGGGTCTGAAGTTGGATCTAAGCAGAGGTGTAGACTGAGTCCCGTTCCGGGAGGGCTCAGATTCTGAAGTCGGTACCTGACGGGAGATGCATGGCGCAGAGTCGCAATTACCCTTCAGAACTGAGTCACCCGTAAGGCCCGGTTTCCTCGCAGAGCTGCGACGCGTGTCTGCTCCTTCGGTTAACAACAGACCTAGGCGTTGGTTGGCTTTGCATTTACAGGCCACATGTAGCCAGAGTGACAGAGGCTCGATAGTATGATGCCTGCACCTAGATTTTTCCAGGAACCCGGATGGACGGGGGAGGAATGGGCTCCCTGCCCCCACCGGTCCATCGGGGGCACAGTCCGTGTTGAGGGGTGTGGTAGGTAGGATTCCCACCGTGTGTTCACCTGCGGGTATTCAAAGCCCAGTTCTTTCTCTCTGTCTCTTGATTGTTGCCAAATGCGGGCAAATAAAACTTGCAGGTCTCAGTGACGTGTGAGTGTGCTCTGGCGCAGTGCACGGGTATGTGTCAGCCGACCACCCTGCAGTGAGAGTAACCATCAGAGTGTCAGCCCCCCAAGGACAGGTTGTCTCTGCCACAGCCGCAGCGCTGTTGAATGAAAGCCTGCTCCTAACTTCTCTTCGTGGGCATGTTACTGTCAGTAACTATTAATAGTGGCTACTTTGTATTAATCTAAGTGTCTAGTAAATTACTAAGCAGGTAGTAATAATTTACCCCTTCAGAGTAAGTTAATAAGTAAACCATTAAATTTGTAGAGAGAATGGGTGAAAATCGTTGTTTCTTGAGTTCTTGAAGTCTTTATGATAAAGAGTTGCTATTCCATTGTATGAAGGTAGAATCATTTTTAGTTCTGATGGTGGGAGACAGCCATTTTTTTTACTAGTGAGTTTTTTGTCATTTAAAAAAATGACTACAAATTGTGGCAACTTAACCCAGGCTTCTTACTTGACAGTTTCTGTGGGTCAGGCTCAGCCGGGCCCCCTGCTTCAGGACCTCCGGCTGAGTGCGGTCCTGGTGTCTCCTAGGGTCTGGTTTTGCCTGCGGATTTGACAGGGAGGGGATCCACTTTCTCCCCTGGTCCCAGCTGTCTGTTGCCTGGAGGGCCATCCTCATTCCTTGCTGTGTCAGCCCTCCCAGCCCGGCAGTTTGCTTCATCAAAGCCACTGATGGACGTTACCATCTTATGTAGCACAGTCACATATGTGATGCCCATGGCCTCTGCCATATTCCGTTGGTTAGAAGCAGGTCACCAGACCCGTCACGCGAGCTAATACCAGCAATAGCTTATGTTTGCATGGCCCTCACTCTGGGCTACACGCAGTGCTGAGTGCTTTTTGTATGTTGCTTACTCAGTCTTAATGATACATTGATGTTATCACCCCCCATTTTATAGATGCGTAAACTGAGGCCCAGCAAGGTTATGCAACTGGCCTAGGGTCATACAGTTAGTGACTGGTGGGGCTGGGATTTGAATGGTAGCAGCCAGATCTAGACCGCGGCTTTGAAGTGGTGTGTGAATGAATCCCCATGCAGCCTGCTGACCACAGATGTCCAGTGTCCACACACGGACTATTCTTACATATGCTTTTGTTTTTGTTTTTTGGTACGTGCCCCTAGCAGGAATCGAACCCGGGACTCTCTGGTCTGCAGGCCAATGCTCCAACCGCTGAGCCAAACTGGCCAGGGCTGTGTTTTTTTTTTAATCCTCACCAAGGATATTTTTTTATTTATCTTCAGAGAGAGTGGGAGGGAGAGAGAAACATCGATGTGAGAGGGACACACCGACTGGTTGCCTCTGGCCCATCTGGCATGACCCCAGCCAGGGCCAGGGACGAACTGCAACTGAAGTATGTGCCCTTGGCCATAATTGAACCTGTGACTTATTGGTCTGTGGGCTAATGCTCTAACCACTGAGAAAACCGGCCAGGGCGTGCATATGACTTTTGTAAGCAATCTGCTTAAGGGGCAGTGTGGCTAAATTGGAACCTAGTCTTGGGGATGAGTTTGTCTCTTCTTTAGTATGTCTGCCCTCCTTTGAATAACATGCATGAATCATTATAGAGTCTCCCAGTTTCAGTATAGGAAGATTCAAATGTCATTTATTTTTGGCCATTTTCAAGGGTTTTGTCTTAACCCACTCACCCCCTGAACTAGTATTTGACTTAATATTTTTGCTTAAATTTTATTTAAGTTAACTTAAAAGTTGAGTTTAACCTCACCAGATACTGTTCCTTGTCCATGCCCTTTGTTTAAAGGAGAGACTGTCATCAGATTGTTAGACACATCACGCACCACACTGGGACTTTCTCCCTGACCCCATCTGTAGGATTTGCAGAGACTTGAAAGGGGAGTCGCTGTTTCGGGACCGAGTTAAGACACTGTCTGGACTTGCCTCAGTGGTCTCTGTTCTGCTTGCAGTGGGCCCTGTATCGCCTTCCATCTGGTCCAAGCTGTCCGTTTACAGACGGGAAAACCGGGCCGGGATCTGGCAGGTGGTTCTCACCCAGCCAGTTTCCATGCTTCACGCCACCCACAGCTGCTTTGATCTTTATTACTGTTATTTTTGGAGTCCTCACCTGAGGATGTTTTTCCATTTGTATTCAGATAGAGTGTGAGGGGAAGGGGTGGAGAGAGAGAGAGAGAGAAACATTGATGCGAGAGAGACACATCAATTGCTCGCCTCCCACACGACCCCGACCAGGGCCAGGGACCAAACCGCAACTAAGGTATGCGCCCTTGGGCAGAATCGAACCTGAGACTCTTTGGTCCCTGGGCCGACACTCTAACCACTGAGGAAACCAGCCAGGGCAGCTGTGTTTTTTTGTTTTGTTTTTTTAATCCTCACCCGAGGACATTTTTGCGTTTTTTTTTTTTTATTCAGACAGAACGGGAGGGAGAGAGAGAGAGAGAGAGAGAGAGAAACATCAACGTGAAAGGGACAGATCGAGTGGCTGCCACCCTCACAACCAACCAGGGCCGGGGACAAACTGCGGCACGTGCCCCTAGTGGGAACCGAACCCGGGTCTCTCTGGACCGCAGGCCGACACTCTAACCACTGAGCCAAAACGTCCAGGGCAGGACAGCTGTGTTTCTTTTTTTTTTTTTTAATCCTCTCCTGAGGACATTTTTGCATTTATCTTCAGATAGAGCGGGGGGGGGTGGGGGGTGGGGAGAGAGAGAAACATCGATGTGAGAGAGACACATCGAGTGGCTGCCACCCACACAACCCCAACCAGGGCTGAGGACAAACTGCAACCGAGGTACGTGCCCTTAGCGGGAACCGAACCCAGGACTCTCTGGACCGTGGGCCAACACTCTACCGCTGAGCCAAACTGGCCAGGGCAGGACAGCTGTTATTATTACTATCTTCTGCTTCTCCCTTTACTCTTACAGCAAAATTAAGAAATGAACTTTTTTGTTAATCCTTACCCAAGGATATTTTTCCCTTTTAATTTTAAAAGAGCGAGTGGAAGGGCGGGAGGGGAGAGAAATGATGTGAGAGAGAGACACACACACATAGATCCGTTGCCTCCTGCACACCCCCTGACGGGGGCCGGGGATCGAACCTGCAATCCAGCTTCATGATCTTGACCAGGAATTGAACCCGAGACCCTTCAGTGCTTGGGTCTGCGCTCTAACCATCGAACCACGTGGCCAGGGCAGGGAATGAACTTGTTGCCAGCCATTTTCTTTGCCGGTGAGAAAATGAACACGGTGACACATTTTTGGAGCCAGTGAACTTTCCTGTCTCCGGCGTGACCCCGAACCGAAGACCCAGGTTGCGTGTTTTGGCAGAAGGAACCCTTGACGAACGTGGAGCTCTTGGCTGTATTTGGAGGGAAAAGTGAGAGTCATTCCAGAGATTCATGATTTCTGTAGAATGGAATGCAACCATGGTGTTAGGAACGGATCGAATTTCATCCATTTTCTGAAGTTTTCACGTAAAGCAGTTTCGTTTTCATCCTTGAAATCGGCGCGGGGGGTGCCGGGGGTGCCTGGGGTGAGGGCTCGTGAGGAGGGATGGGCCGCAGGCTGTGTGTAGCGGTGTGTTTGCTGCAGGTCCCTGTGTGTCCTGCAGCACGTGGGGAGCGGATATCGCAACAGAGATTGTATTTACACCACCCCACTTTGGGACGAAGTTGGGGTTACTGTTTTGGGGGTTGGCAGCATTTCCCCAGTAACATGCTCATGTGACTTGATTTTTCTGTAAAAATCTGATGAGCAGGTACTTCTTTATCAACACCTCCTCTGGGGCAGGTACCGGACCACAGTCTGCACCTGGTTTTCTCGGTTAATCCTCGTGCACACCCTGCAAGGGGGCGCTGTTGTTGTCCTTGTTTTCTACGAGGGGAACCGAGGCTTCGAGAGAGCGTGGGTGGCCAGAGGTGGTGGTGGGGACAGATCTCGGGTATCAGACGTAAGGGTGCTGTTTGTCTTGCCTCCAGCTGTAAATAGGGAAGTCTGGGCAGCGGCCAGGCCCGGCCTGAGACCTAGTTTGTTCTCCTGCCTTCTCCTCTTTGTCCTGGGGTGCGGGAGGGCTCAGCCGGCAAGGGGGAGTAGGAGAGCAATTCATCTTGTAAACACACTTGGTCCTCAGCTCTCTGAGCACCTGCCGTGTGGGCCCGAGCGGATGCCTCCACGGATCATGGATAAACAGACTGGAGAGGCACCCCCCTAATCAAAGTCACTGAAGTAACAACCAGCTACATCCACACAGTGGACTGTATCATTGGTTTATACAAAGGGATGCAGTACTGATGCACCCTTGAGACTGTGCTGAGTCCAAGAAGCCAGACCCTGAGGACCGTACAGTGAATGATTCCATGTACACGAACCCTCTGGATGAAGCTAATCTGCACAGATAGAAGGCAGATTAATGGTTGTTGGGAGCTAGGGGGTGATGGGGATCTTGGGGGGTGGTGTGAAGGCTAAGGGGGAGTGCAGTTTCTTTTTGGGATCATGAAAGGGTGCTGAAGTTGATTGTGGTGAATATGCTGATCCATTGAATTGTACACTGTAAATGGGTGAATTGTAGGGGTAGCAATAAAACTTTTTTTTTGAAGGGGAAAGAATTGAAAAACAACAGCAATAAAACAAAACAATCCCCCCCTTGAATCCACTGTGCTGGCCACTCCAAACGCAACAGGGGTCCAAGTTCGGCCTCTCCCGCTCAGCCTGTGGCCGCAGAAACTGGCTTTATGGTTCTGAACTTGTCCAGGATATGAGACGGAACTTGTGGGTGTTCCCGGCCCTGGTTTATCTTAGGGTTTCTCACTGAGGCAATAGTGGCATTTTGGACTGGGTCATTCTGTCATGGGGGCTGTTCTGTGTGGATGTGTAGGGCATCTCTGGATTCTACCCACTAGATGCCAGTGGCACGCCCCCCCCCCCCCCCCCCCCCAGTCACGAGTCCCCAGGTGAGACCCGCTGCTTCCCACAGGTAGAGTCTAGAGGTGTGTCATCCACAGAAGCCTCAGGGAAGTGATCGTCTGAATTGTTTCTCTTTTTATCTTTCAGATGATGGATGCAATAAAAGGAACGATGACAGAAATATATAACGACCTTTCTAAAAACACTACCGGAAGCACAATAGCGGAGGTCAGAGCCGGGGTTAACTCGCTGTTTGCTGTGTAGGGGGGCGCCGTGGGGAGGCGTCTTTGGAAATCCCTCCAGGGTCCTGGCTTCTGGGGCCAGGCTTGCTCAGCTGATTGGGGTTGTTGGGGCGCAGATTTCTTCCACGGGCCAGAAGACTGATGCTGTGGGACACACCTTACTGTGTGTGATCAGTTTGCTTTTCCTTTAAAAATATTTTTTCTTTATTGATTTTAGAGAGAGGAAAAGAGAGAGAGAGCTAGAAACATCAGTGAGAGAGAACATCGAGTGGCCGCCTCCTGCATGCCCCTCACTGGAGATCGGGCTCACAACCTGGGCATGTGCCCTGACCGGGAATCGAACCAGTGACCTCTTGGTGCCTGGGGTGACGCTCAACCACTGAGCCACACCGGCCGGGCTCTCAGTTTGTTTTTCATAAAACAGCCCAGACCAGAGCCTGACTTATTCCACTGGTGAAACTAGAAACCAGATCTTTTAGCTTCATGTAATATTGGCTCCATGGGGTTTGTAAGATGGGACTTGTTTATGCAAGAGATCCTTGTTGTCTAAGAATTTGTGTCCCGAGCCTCTGCAATTCACGTGACGGCCCGGGGCGTCGAGTGGTGAAATGCTGCCATGTCCACAGACACATAGCCACTTGCAGAGCGAGGCCTCCCTGGACCTCTCTCTCGGGCTAGTTCACTGCGAGCCAGAGGCCGAAAGGACAGCAGGTGGCATGACAGGTGGCAGGATTTCCTGAGGGCACTGAAAGCGGCGTTGGAGACGTGCGGGAATCCTGTGCGCAGCCGCGGACTGTGAGGGCCCGGCAGGGTTAGGCTGGCACTTGGGGGAAGAGAGAATCTTCGAGAAGGGGTCCTGAGAGGCCTTCAACAGAGAGCGCTGTGACTATAAGGGCTTCCGAGAGGCCCCACGAGAAGCCAGGGAATCCCCTTGATATTTTTGCGATTATGACCCTCTTGCTTCTGATTATGCTGAGGGCATCCAGCAAGGCGGGAAGATGTTGCTTTCTTTTATTTACTTAATTTTTTAATAGTTCATTGATGTTTAGTGAGAGGAAGGGCAAAGGAGAGAGAGAAACATAGATGTGAGAGCGGAACAGCGATGGGCTGCCTCCTGCGTGCCCGCCCGGGGAGCAAGCCTGCAGCCTGGGCCTGCGTCCCCCCCCCCCCCCTGGGAGCAAGCCTGCAGCCTGGGCCTGCGCCCCCCCCCCCCCCCCCCCCCGGGGAGCAAGCCTGCAGCCTGCAGCCTGGGCCTGCGCCCCGCCCGGCGGACTGCGGTGCACGGGGTGCGCCTGCCGATGAGACGCACCAGCCAGGCCATTGCCGTGGCTTCTGGTTTAACCCCTGTTGTAGAACTTCCATTCAGCCAGGTGGTTCTGAACAGTGGTGGTTCTGTGCTTCAGTTGTGATTTTTTTTTTTTTTTTTTATCCTCACCCGAGGACATTTTTCCATTTTTTGTTCAGGTAGAGCGGGAGGGAGAGAGAGGAAGAGAGAGAGAGAGAAACATCGATGTGAAGGGACACATCGAGTGGCTGCCACCCACACGACCAACCAGGGCCGGGGACAAACTGCAACCGAGGTACGTGCCCTTAGCGGGAACCGAACCCGGGTCTCTCTGGACCGCAGGCTGACGCTCCAACCGCTGAGCCAAACCGGCCAGGGCTTCCGTTGTGATTTTTATGTAGTTGTGGGAAGATGTGATTGCACATATACTCACGCTGCTGTCTTGACCTGCAGCCTCTTGTTTGTTCATTTAGAAAACAGGCCTGTAGTTGAAAGTGTGGGCCCATAAAGTTTCCCTGGAAATCTTGGGTCTTGTGAGATGTGTCCCAGAATTGTCAGATTTTGAGAGAGGTTGTGTGTGGTTCTCACTAGATGCCAGAACACCCCCCCCACACACACACACACAGAGTCCTGACAACCGAAAATGTCTCCAAGCATTGCAGCATGGGGTTAGGGGAGCAAAGTCTTCCTGATTGAGAACATTGTGATTATTAAGACACTGTACAAACAACAGCTCATTATCACTTCAGATTGAGTTTCTATTTTTCCCTCCTTTCAGTAATTTTGGCCCCAAACTAATCCCTCTCCCCCGCAACTCCCCTTGGTTTTGAGATATTAGGCTTTGGAGTTTCTGGTGAGCGTAAGTAAGAGATAAAATAAAGCTATCTTTATTTTGTTTCATTTTTGTAGACCCAAAGCCTAGTTTTCCTTATTATTCATTATGAAAATCTGGTCCTTGTTTTCATTTTAAGTGGCTTCTCCTGGTGCCCCATTTCTTGGGAAAGATGGACCCCGTCTTTGTTTGCTCATACAGTTTCTTGTGAATTGGGGTTAACGCGCCAGCCTGTCTCTGGCCTGGAGCTGCGTGACGGTCAGCCCGGCCCGGCCGCCTGCTCCCCCCACCGCGGGGCGCTGACCCTGGCGGCGAGGGCTCCAGCTCCTGGGCTCCTGGTGAACCGCACCCAGCCCCGCGGTGGACTCTCTCTCCTTGCAGATCCGCAGGCTGAGGATCGAGATAGAGAAGCTGCAGTGGCTGCACCAGCAGGAGCTGTCGGAGATGAAACACAACCTGGGTGAGGCTCGTGCGGGGCCCGCCCGGAGCACGGCCGGGGGGAGCCTCCGCGCCCCTGCAGTCAGCCCGGGTGTGAGCCGAGTCCCCTGTGGGCTGGGGGTGGTGCCGCTCCCGAGAGGCCAGCCTGGAGAAACCAGGTGTAAGAGCACCTCCTGTCCTCTCTGCAAAACGCCAGCCCCAGCAGCAGCGCAGTGGCTGCCGCAGCACCCGCGGCTCCTACTTCGTCCCCTCCTAATTGCCAGGAGCCGTTGGAAGTGCTTCTTCATGCATTACCCAGTTGGATTCTTGCAGAAACCCTTATGATAACGGGCTCTCTGGTCCCAGTTTTCAGGCACAGACATGTTAAGGAAACTGAGGCACAGACATGTTAAGGAATGTGTAGAAAGTTATCATTCAGGTCCAGACTTTGCCCCTCGACCATTATCGGGTGTTTTTTTTTTTTTTAATTTTATTGATTTTTAGGGAGAAGGGAAGGGAGAGAGAAACATCGATGAGAGAGAACATCGATTGGCCGCCTCCTGCATGCCCCCCACCGGGGATCTGGCCCACAACCTGGGCATGTGCCCTGACCGGGAATTGAACTGGCGACCTCTTGGTGCATGGGTCAGTGCTCAACCACTGAGTGACACCGGCCGGACAGAGGAACTCTTTATTTCAGTGTGCAGGTTGCTCCCAGGTGAACTGAGAGGTAGTGTGCCTCAGTTTCCCTGTCTGTGAAAAAGGTATCGTAGCCGTACTTAGCACTGGATCGGGGTTGGGGTGAAGTGAGTTAGCGTCTCTGAAGCGCGCAGCAGAGTCGCCTGGAGCAGGTGCTGTATTCGGTAGAGAAGAAGGCTGGTTCCAGTGACGGGGTTCAGGGGCAGTTGAGAGGTGTTTGGAGGGCTTGTTTCAAGCCTTCCCACAGGACCTCGGTGGGGCTGTCATTACCGAGCTGTATCCGGTCACCTCCTAGTGATGAGGCAGCTCTGTTGTCAGGGTGACGATTGCCCATTTCACAGATGAAGACTTTGGGGCTTGGTGGGGCATCTCCGAGCCGGGGTTCGCATCCGATCTGGTCTGAACAAGCCACGCCCGGGCCCGGGGATGGGTGATGAGGCCAGTGTCCTCTCCCCTCCCCCGCCAGAGCTGACCATGGCGGAGATGCGGCAGAGCCTCGAGCAGGAGCGGGACCGGCTCATCGCCGAGGTGAAGAAGCAGCTGGAGCTGGAAAAGCAGCAGGCAGTGGACGAGACCAAGAAGAAGCAGTGGTGTGCCAACTGCAAGAAAGAGGCCATCTTCTACTGCTGCTGGAACACCAGCTACTGCGACTACCCCTGCCAGCAGGCCCACTGGCCCGAGCACATGAAGTCCTGCACCCAGTCAGGTACTGCCGCGCAGCGTGTCCGGCCTAGCCCCTCGGCGCACACTCACGCGCTGTCTCCGCACACCGCAGACCCGATGTCAGGTGTTTGCCCAGGTGTAGGGTTTGTGGTGCCAGCCCAGATGGTTTTAGGTTCATGTGAGTTGCAGCGGTTCTCCGTGGGGGCACTTTCTGTGTCCCATCCCCCAAGGCTGGCAGTGGCTGCAGATACATGTGGCGGTTATAGCCAAGGGGGTGCTGCTGGCATCAGAAAGTAGAGGCCAGGGGGTTGGCCCAGCACGGGTTGCCCACAGCAGAGAATGATCTGGCCCAGTGTGTTAGTGGGTCCAGGGTGGAGAAAACCTGCTCTTGAGGGGATCCCGGACTTGGCGTTTAAATAAGCACCCCCAGTTCGGATGTGACGGGAGAGGTCTTGGAATGGGCCTGATCCAGCCTTGTAATCTCTCTGACACAGAGTGAGCAGGTCTCAGGCCGGGAGGCCCCAGCAGGAGACACTGTCCCATTAGAACTGAGGAGTTATGTTTTGAAAATAATTTTTACAGCTAGCTTTTACTTATGGCAAATAATATTAGCTTTATGTGCTTCGAGTTAAAAGTCTCCAGTTTAAAGAATTTATTTAAATAAAAGTAACAATATGACAAGGTAGTATGTCTGTAGGTTGGCAGAATTTTCGAAGGTGATGTCTAAAAGACCAAGTTTGAGAAGCACTCTTAATAATTTTGTTATTTTGAAAAACAACTTTATTTTGTTATTTTTTAAAGTATGTTTTTATTGATTTTTAGAGAGAGGGGAAGGGAGAGGAAGGGAGAGGGAGAGAGAAACATTTATCGGCTGCCTCCTGCACGACCCCTACTGGGGATGGAGCCCACCAGCTGGGCATGTGCCCTGACCGGGAATCGAACCGGTGACCTTTTGGTGCACGGGATGATGCTCAACTGAGCCACACTGACTAGGGCTTAAAAAGGCAACTTGAAACCATACATGGCTGTGCTCGTTAACTTTCCTTAGGGAGATGGCTTCTTAACTGCGACTTGAATCTCTTCCTGTGGTGGAGTTAAATCCCCTAAATACTAGAATGTGTCCAAAGACCCTTTTGCGTTGTTACGAGACGGCCAGAATGCCCTTCAACTTTCCTTTCTTTGTGGAGTCCTAATGTCCATCCTTCCAAAATTCCTCAAGTGCCCTACTTTTCCGGGTGTCCGAGCATTTCCATTCCTGAGGCTCCGTGCCTCTGAGCATCATGTTGCTTTCCACGTGGTTCCCCCACCTTCTCAGGAGGCCATTCCACGGGGCTAAAGTAGGTCTAAGACGAGAAGCTAGGACATTTGTCCTCCTAGCTGAGCAGTCGGTGGCTCCTGATTCTGGCCTTCATTTGTTCTGCGGACATGCCTTCGTCTCCAGGATCATTCAGTAAACCATGAGTTACTATAACAGGGAACCTGTTCTCACGTGGGGTCTGGCCCCCTGGGGTGGTTGGCTCAGAGCTGGCTGAGCCGTGGTGCTGCCACGTGATGGCCACGACCCCTGCAGGTCCGGAAGCCGCTGCCCGCGGCTCACACGTGGCCTCTTTCCCTTCACCCCCAGCCACCGCCCCTCAGCAGGAAGCGGACACCGAGGTGAACACAGAAACACTAAACAAGTCATCCCAGGGCGCGTCCTCCAGCGCCCAGGCAGCCCCGTCTGAGCCAGCTGGCGCCTCGAAAGAGAAGGAGCCGTCCGGGGAGAAGAGCAAGGACAGCAGCTCCGTGAGTATTTGCGCCACTGGCCCGTGACACCGGTCCTCTGGGCCAGGCAGTCTCAGGACCTGTCCCCACGCCTGTCACCCCCGAAGGGCGCCCGTTGCAGGTTTGTCTGTCTTCGAGGTGGGGCTGAGTCTTAGCAGGTGGCCTTTTCACTGGCGGGCACGGGGGCAGGGGCCGTGTGTCTTCCCCGCTGCCCCCCGGCGACTGGAGGTTTAGAACAGTGTTGTCTAGTAGAACCTTCTGTGATGACGGGCGTGTTCTGTGTCTGCTCGGCCAAGTCTGTAGCCACGAGCCACGCAGGACCGCTGGAGCCCTTGAGCTGTGGCCGGCGTGGCCAGGTAACGGCATATTCACAGTTGTGTGGCTCGTGGCTGCGCACTGGGCGGGGAGGCTGCATCTCTTCCTTTCCCAGCGTGTGGAGTACGTCATACGATTGTCTTGTCAACATGCTTTTAGGTGGCACGTGGATAATTTTTTACATTTTTAGTCAGTAGGAGTTTATTTCAGTGTGTATTAGGAGAAAAACAAGTCATTATCCCACCAGTCAGAACCCTTTGATTTTATCGATACTGTTGCCTCGCTAGAGGTCAGTGTGAAATAAAAGGGAACTCATGTAATGTTGGAGTAACTTACTTCCTTTTTGGATATGGCCAAACTCTGGAGGACAGGCAGGTCAGAGGGGAAGTGGAGGAAACGGCGAATGTTCTGGGCGCTGAGGCTGCAGGGTTGAGTAAGGGGCCCCCTGTGCTGCGCTCCAGCCTGTGCAGTCTGGAGACGGCACGTAGGTAGAGGGCCACCCGGCTGACCTGGCCTCCCCTGCCTGCACATGCCAGGCAGAGGGCACAAAGGTGCCTTGGGGGCAGAAATGAGCACCCCCAAGGATCCCTGGACTTCCCTGGGGGCTACATTGGCCCCAGTGCCTTGAGTCCATCTCTCTCTCTTTGTATTTCTAGACCCTCGACCTTTCTGGCTCCAGGGAGACGCCCTCCTCCATTCTCTTAGGCTCCAACCAAGGCTCTGGTACGTTGCCCCCTGGTGGGTGAATGGTGCTCGCATCCGGGCAGAGGGGAAGCCGTTTTCTTAGAGAGAACTTGAAGGGTTAAGGGCAGTGGTTTTCAAACTACCGTGGATCCTTAGGGATCCTTGGGGGTGCCCTGGGCGGGTCAGTGGGCACGAGGGAGTGGCTGGGCAAGGCAGCGTTCAGGTACCTCTAAACTGATCATACCTGTTTACCTGTTCAGTAAGTCCTCACTTCATGTTGTCAGTAAGTTTTGCAACTTTAAGCAAAACGATGTGTAACGGAACCAGTTTTACTGTAGGCTAATTGGTATAAACAGGAGTTAAGTTCCTACGGCATCTCATCAACGTTATAACGAAAGATGTTGAACGAAAAGACGTTATTTGAGGACCTGCTGTTTGTGTATTGGGGATCCACTTCAGACTTCATCCGCACAGAGGGTTCTGCTGCTGGCCTGGGGTGGGGTAGGGCATGTGCTTCTGGGTTGGGTAGTTCTTCGGCCTCAGGGAAATGACCACAACACATGAAACCGAGTGACGCTTTATTCCTGAGGTCCCAATGCACCTGCATTTGGTGGATGAGGAGCCTTTAGGGAAATGAAGAGAAATTTTAGGGGGATTCTCTTTCTGTTAAAAACTTTCCTCGTAGGGACTAGATAACCTGGTAGGCTGTATTGGAAGATTTTCTGAGACTAAATTTTGGGTTTTCTCTCCTGTGAGAATTTGAGCTGTGCCCCTTTCTCGCCCAATGGGTCTTTCCCCTGTACCCTTCGACACTTGTTTTGGGCCATTCCAGGGGGTTCGAAGCAGGTGTCGTCATTGAGGCCAGTTTTGCTTAATTCAAGGTTTCTCAGCTCTAAGATCTTTCCCTCTGCTGGATCGTTAAAAACAAATGATTTCACTTTTGCATATTCAGTACGTGGAGGAAGCAGGGATGCTCATGGTGAGTGTGGCATGAACTGCTGTTAGGGAGAAAATGGACTTGGCATTGCATGCAATGGAACTGCCCGTTGAGAAACAGACTCCCTCCCCGCTATGCTTCGGTTCCTGGTCGAGTCTCAGATAACGGGTGCTAAGACGGCTTCTGCTTTTCTTTGCTATTTTGTAGTTTCTCTTTCTGACAAAGAGCAGACTTGAGGCCTGAGCAGTGGGGTGCCTACCTAAGAAATTAGTGCTACCCTTTGCTTTTCCGGCTGTTTATTTCTAGGGATGCCTTCTCTGCATGGGCAAGTATTAATGATTTTCTGCTTAGGGTGGTGATATAAAAGCTTCTGTTTTATTTAAGTGTAAAAACGAGTTTGAAATAAAAACCACCAACTAAGTAATACGTAGTTGGGTTGCCGCTGTGTCAAAAGTGCCTGGGTGGTGTGAGAAAGGCCGGAGAAGCACTGTTTCCGACAGGGGGCGCCGTGGAGGCTGTAGGGCAGCAATGCGGGGGGATCCACGTGGCACTGGGAAGTGACTGATGCCACGGTGTGTGGAACCTGTTGGAATAGGGACGTAGACAGGGACGTGGTTGGGAGCTGCATCATATTCCCCTGTGGAGGTGGAGGAGTGTCACCCGGCCCGGGGTCCAGCTTCAGGGGCCACACGGGCTGTCGTAGCCGCTCAGCTCTGCCACTAGGTGAAAAGCGTAGACGGTTCGCACGCAGACACGTGGGTGGGGCCATGCTTTACTGAAACTGGAAAAGCAGGCGTTGGCTGGATTTGAGCCATAGTTGGCCGACTCTGACCTAAAGCACACAGGTGTCCGGGGGGTGGAAAGAAGGGTCTGTTTTATATGAGTTTAAAATGATAACGTGAACCTAAGTAACGTAGGAGCGAGGGAGGGGGCAAGAAGTTCTGGTAGGTGCTGGTGATCAGATGCTAGGTGGGTTGTGGGGAGAACATGATCCCCGGGAGTCTGTTGACTGGGTGGGGTAGTGGGAGAGGTAGGAGAGGAGGAGGAGGAGGGAAAGCCCCCCGATTGTACTTTAGCATCCTGGAGGGTGGGTGGCACTGGACTTTTTGCAGAAGGTTGAGGTACACAAGGGTTTGTGTGTCTCTGGGGCCAGGCGCTGTGCTAGGACTGGGGTTAGTGGTGAACAAGGCAGACAGTTCCCCAAATTCCTTGTATGTCTCACTTAACTTCTGGCTCTTGCTTTTGGTGACAGTGGAGGTGAAATCTCGTGGACTGTAGACTATAAGACAGTGAGTTTCTGAGTCTCCAGGCAGCTGGTGCTAGGATGGTAGGAGGAGTCTAGTTGGAAGGAGAAAGGTTCGGTAGGGGTATAAGCTTCCTTGGGGTGGGCCTGGGTCTGTTGCTTGTCTCTTAATTGAAAGCTCTGAGTAAAGCATCCCATGCATGTAGGTAGAGGAAACAAAATCGTAGGGGAAATGAAGGCCCAGGCCCAGTCTCACTGCTGCGGGTGGTGCGTCTGGAACTTACCTCCGTACTTGTAAGTAATGTTCTTCCCTGAACTTCTGTTTCTGGACTCCACAGAAATGGCTTATTGACTTCCAGCTTTAGAAGATGAGAGTGAGAGTCACGGATGGCCTCTCCCGCTTTGCCCCGAGCCACTCTGTCGCCGTTTGTGTGCCCTTGGGTTCCCTGGTCCGATACGGCTCTTTCCTTTAGTTCTTACCTGTCAGCCAGAGGCGGTGCCTCTGGTCCCCCGGTGGCCCATCTCCTCCCTCACTTCCACCTGTGCCGTCCGGACTCTCCGTCTTCTCCGCACTGACGGTCCTTCCTCGGGGTGGAGAATGTGTGTTCTGTTCTGTGACTGCAGTTGGTGTGGAGGCTGTGAGCCGAGTCTGTGTCTCCGTCCGGAGTCAGGGAGCTGGGGCTGCGTTCCGTTCTTGTGCGGCCTGGCTTTTCCCTGGAGTACCTGGTTCCCCCTTGAGGGTGTCCTCCATCATTTCCTAGCAGACTCTTCCCCGTGAGCAGTTATTTTATGGAGACACTTTTCACATCTCTCCTTTGACTCTTCAGTCTCCGATGTGACGTGTGGGTGTCCCCTTCCTCACCCCGCCTCCCGCGCGCACCTCATCGCCCCCCCTCCCCGCTCTGCGTCCACCCTGGGCCGTGGATCAGTCCCCGTGCGCCCTCAGTAATCTGAATCTCCTGGGTGCTGCCTCCCGCCTCACTGCGGTTCTGGTCCCTCTGTTTCCCCGGCTGAGGTGGGCTGGTAGCTGGGTTCATGGTTCTGAGGGCTTTGCTTTCGTCATTGGAGCACCTGTGGCTCACAGAGTTGCTCTGATGTCATGTATTCCTTATTTCCTGGGAGGCTGTGCTGGGCCCAGCGACCCTGTTTCTGGCCCAGCGTGCACGTGTGAAAGGCCGTGGTCCCAGGAACGCACGGAGTGCACAGTGATGCCGTAGACCAAGCAGTCCTCAGAGCAGCAGCCTGTTGATGACCAGGAATAGTGAGCGCTCGGGGGGTGCGGGCTCAGCTGCAGACTCTGAGGATGCCTGTGCTGTCTCTTCAGTTAGCAACAACCTGCCTATGTCCCAACCGCCACAGACCACCAGCTGCACCCCAGCTGCCCAGCCCAGAAGTGTAAGTATGACCTGTCTCACGGCAGCTGTCCGGGAAGGACTCCTGGCAGCCCAAGGCCCGTTGTGTGTGCTTCCCCGCGGGTGTCCTGTCCTGTTCCTCCGAGTGGTGGGTCTTGCTTTGGCTTGTGTTTCTCCTTAGCTGGGCCTCTGGTGGCCATCAAAACCGCCAGAGAGTGTGGTTTGGCTTTTTGAGGGGACGTCCTCACTCTTTTCCCGAAGGGTCCTAGAGGAACCGATCCTGCCCCGCAGCGACTGGCTACACCAGCCCGTGTCCATGTGAGGGCGCAGGCCCGACAGCCGCCGGACTGGGCTGCGCCCTGCTCCCATTTCTTCTCTGCTCTCTGCAGAGCCGGGGGACCTGAAGTGGCTTGGCTGCCCTGTTGCAGGATTTTGTCACGTATGGTCCCCACCAGCGACAGCACTCCCCAAGGTCCTCTGGAAGACCTGGCAGCGTAGCCATCACCAGTCAGGCAGAACACTAGGACATGGACTCAGGGTTGTTAACGTGGAGCCGGCCCTTGGAGTACAGATTGAAGTTACAAAATAGCCCCGAGGACGTGAAGTAAGGCATAGGAATTATAGTCAGTAACATTGTAATGACTGAGGTGCTAGGTGGGTGCTGAAATATCAGGGGGAGCACTCCTAAAGTAGATGATTGTCTAACCACTGCGATGCATACCTGAAATTAACACAACATAATACTGAATGTAGATTAATTGGGGAAAAAATTTTTTTTAACCTGCCCTGGACCCTAGCTCTGCAGAATACTGCCCCCTGCTGGTGATCGAAGCAAGTGACTAAGCAGAGTTCCTACATCACTGTGGGGACCCTTCTCACCCTCTTCCCTGTGGTCTTCCAGAAGCAGTGCATAGCTAGCCAGGCAGTAAGAAGTGTCCCCCCCCCCGGCGATGATGGGCCCCTTTCTCACTCATTTCCATTCTGTCTCTGATCTTGACTTCTTTCAGTCAACTAGCATCATCCCACCTCAAGAAATTTTACAAAGTTTTGTCTCCGTCTGTCTGAGCTTGGGGACTCGTCTCAGAGATGATGGGTCTTACGGGTTTGCCGCGAGCGCTCGTAGTGGGCTGTCCGGGAGCTCGCCCGCCTGGCTCTCCAGCCTCCTCACTTCCCACGGGACCACTCCTTAGCCCCTGTGGTCTTTGAGGCTCTTGGGTCTCACTCTGGTTCTGCATCTTCGGTGACCCTCAAGCTTGTCCTCACTGGGAGCCGGTGGGTCTGTGTTCTGTCGGACTTGACCCTTCCGGTCCACATTCCTCCTCCTTTCTAATCTGCTCCTTTGGGTGGTTTGGTATAAGTCTGTTTTTCAGATTTTCTATACATTGATTAAAGAACCTTTGTTACTATAAGTAAGTAGATCACATGCCAAATGGGTGCCTTTTCCTGTGCCCGAGGTTGGCCACAGGTGCATGGGGTGCTCGGGGTCACGTGATCGAGATCACAGGCTGCACCAGGACCGCCTTCCTCGGCGGTTTTCTCTGTTCCCTGTGAGCATGACACCTGCTGATTTTCGGAGGAAGTTGTCGTTCTGCCTTCGTACTCTGCACACCCGCACATCTCAGGAGTCGGTGGCGGTGCTGAGCCATCGGCGCGGGGGGCAGGGCCCGCCAGCAGGTGCAGGCAGGTCCGGGCTGGCGGCGGCAGGAGCTGACTCTCTCCGTGCGTTTCCTCCGCAGACCACTCCCGGGGCAGTAAGTCCGGCGGCTGGAGCGGCGGCGATGAGAAGCGAGGGGCGTCGCGGTCTGAGCACAGCAGCGGCTCCAGTTCGAAGAGCCTCCTCCCGAAAGAGTCTCGGCTGGACACCTTCTGGGACTAGGGACAAGCTGCGACACAAGCCATCCGCCCCACGCAGGAAAAAAAAACCAGACTCCAGGAAAACGGGAAATGGCAGAGACACGTGAGGCGGGGGAACCACCACCTTCAGACTGAGACCCCCAGACACTCAGACAGGCCTTTCGGCGGAGGGTCCCCACACTACACAACGTCCACCCTTCGCTCCGAGGACCGTCCCGCCCACACGGACTTCGCTCTAGATGTAAATAATGTACAATTTGTGGATGTCACTGAACCTAGAGTACCTTCCCCTTTTTATATTTGTATTGACTTTAACTTATAAAAAAAAAAAAAAGAAAAGCAATTAAAAAACACACACACAAATCCAACAACAAAAAGAATGTTTTGCTGTTGGAACGGGCTGATCGGTCAGCCCATCTTGTCACTCAGCGGGATGGGGACAGGGCCCGGCGAGGTCGCACCCGGGTCCTCCTCCTGGGGTGCCCAGGGCGACGGGAGCTGTTGTCATTGGTGCGTCTGGACGCAGCGCACCGGGACCGTGAGTTCTGTGCTGTCCTGCGCACACCTCAAGCCATCGGCCCCTTTCCGGTACTGCGTTACCAGGTTATCAAATGCAAGCTCTCTGGACCGGGACGACCCGCGCAGAAGAAGCTGGTATCTTTTATCTGACTTCAGTGATCACTCCTAAGAGGGAAAACCTAACGTCCTTGTTTACAGAAGAGAAACAGAAACAAGCCGCTCTCAGCTCCGTGGCAGAAGAACATCCAACGTTTCGGGTCCCAAGGTCTGCAACAGAGAGAAATCTTTTTCTTCGCATTGTGGTTCCTTTCAACACACTCACACCCACTTGGAAAGAGAGGCTGTGTTTTTCGGAAGCAAGGACTCCAGAGGCAGGACGCACGCAGAGGACATTCGAGTCTGGGATGAAGCATGTCTAGTATTTATACGACGGGATTTTGCGTTTTTATGGAAGCATGAAACCAAGGCAGTGTGAGAGAGAGCGCCCGCCATGCTGTCTGTTACACTACGTATACTGTAGTTCCATTTTGTATGTTGTGTAAAACAAAAAGCATCGAACACGCAGAGGGTGATGTGTGTATATGAGAAAATTAATTGTACGATATCATTCCAGTACATTTTGTTGTACATTTTAGTCTCGTTTACTTTCTCTTCGTTGTCGATAAGAGGATGCGAGTTACCCACCTTAGAGGAGAAATAAAGCGTATCGGAAGAAAACAGGAGAGAAAGAACATTTGTGAATCGCAGTTGTCAACGAAACAAAACTAGCCTAGCGGGCCTTATTTGTGAAGCATAATTGCTTTTAGCATATGGAAGTATTTTTTCACATTTTCTTTGTATAAAATTTGTATTAAACTTAAATATCTTTTTTGATGCTGGTGTTTCTTTGTGACTGAGCCAGTGGACTCGCACGGTATGCTCTTTTGGGTTTCTCCCCCCGCCCCCCCCAATTTTTTTCAGACTCTTCACCTTTTTTTAATTAAACTGTTTTTGGAAAAACAGCTTGGTCGTCCTCGAACGTGCAGTTTTCCATTCGGTCGAGATGGCCACGTCGGGTTCCCAGGCCCGCAAGCAGGGGGCCAGGCCGTGAGGGGTCGAGCTGGCTCTGCGGGGGGGCACGTAAACAGGGTCCCCCCCCCCCCCGTCCAGTTCCTTCAATGTTTTTGACAGATGTGAGACGGGAAAGCCCTGAGTCTGTCCCAGAAAAGCAGTGGGGAGGGAGGGAGTCGCCTGTCCTGGCCGAGGTGCAGGCCTGAGCTCAGCCAAGTGGGCGGCGTGTGGCCGGCACTGCCCGGACGCACCCGTCATTTCTTCATGTGTCCCATTTGGTGTGTGTTTTTTTTCAATCGTTTAAAAATATAAGCACTGTTTACAGCTCACAGGCCGTACGGAAGCAGGGAGCGGGCTGCTTTCGGCCTTCAGGCCACTTGCTGACCGGAGTCCGGCCCCATGCTGACCAGTGCTGTGTAAGTGACAGAATGGGGATTCAAAACCGCTCTTAGTCGCAGAGCCTATGCACTGTTACCAGGTCCAGGTGTAAGCATGGTGGTTAGACACTGACGAGGAGGTCACCTGCTAAGTCTCGTACAGGATGAGGGTGTTTCAGAGCAGGACCAAGGGGTGAAGGTGGCTTCTCTGGCTGCTGCCGTGCAGGGACTTCTCAGCAGGGGACATTTGACCTGAGACCTACCTGAATGAAGAGCTGGCAGTGGGAAGATCAAGTGGATGAGCATCCCTGACAGTGAGTGGCGAGTACAAAGGGCCTGGGGCACGTGTGCACTTGACATGCTTAACGAGCAGCAAGGAGCCCGGTGCGGCTTAGAGAACTGAGCGAGCAGGGAGGGATCCCACCAGGGAGGCGTCCCACCGGCTGAGTTTCCCCTTCGTCCTTGGTCATGAGCCAAACCAAAAGGGCTGTTGGCCTCTCTGCTGTGACCTCCCACTGGCCCTTGTAGACAGAGACCTAATAAGTGAGTGGCTCAAGGCTCCAGAGTTAGTGAAAGTCCAAATGGACTCCTATTGAACTGCTCTTTCTGGTAGATGGGTCTTTGTCTTCTTTAATCTTCACCTGAGGATATTTTCCCATTGATTTTAGATAGAGTGGAAGGAAGGTAGGGAGAGAGAAACATTGATGTGAGAGAGACACATCTATTGGTTGCCTCCTGAAAGATCCTCCCCCCTCCCCGCTTCCACAGGGCTGGGGATCCAACCTGCAACCCAGGTACCAGCCCTAGACCAGGAAACAAACATGAGACCCAACAGTCCTCAGGCCGATTGATGCTCTAATCGCTGAACCCGGGCTGTCATTTTTTCAAGTTAAAAAAATGCCCTTGCCCTGGTCGGTTTGGCTCAGCGGCTAGAGCGTCGGCCTGCAGTCCGGAGAGACCCGGGTTCGGTTCCCGCTAAGGGCATGTACCTCGGTTGCAGTTTGTCCCCGGCCCTGGTTGGTCGTGCGGGTGGCAGCCACTTGATGTGTCCCTTTCACATCGATGTTTCTCTCTCTCTCTTCCTCTCCCTCTCTCCCGCTCTATCTGAGCAGAATAAAAATAAATAAATAAATAAATAAATAAAATAAAAATAAAAAATGCCCTGGCTGGTTTGGTTCAGAAGTAAGAGTGTTGCCCACAGATCAGAGTCCCGGGTTTGATTCCAGCCAAGGGCACGTACCTCAGTTGCGGTTCGTCCCCGACCCCGGTTGGGGTTGTGCGGGTGGCAACCAATCCATGTGTCTCTCACGTCAATGTTTCTCTCTCCCTCCCTGTCTCCCTCCAGCTCTATCTGAAGATTAATGTAAAAAAATACCCTCAGGTGAGGATTAAAAAAACAAATGTTTATTTTCCTTCTATTGTGCATGGATGTGCACCTTCCCTGTATTATCTCATTTCACCCCGAAAACCACAGAGTAGGTGGCACAACCCCATTTTAGGGAAAGAGGCCGAGGCTGCGAGAAGGAAGGCACAGTCACCCCACTGTCACCTTTTAGCTCCAACAAGCCAGGTCCTTATCTCTGGGCCCTTGCACCTGCTGTTCCCTGGTCCTGGCACACCTGTCTGGCACTTTATCCACATTCTTTCGGATGTCACCTCTGTAGCCACCGCCCCCCGCCAGCCCCTTACCCTCTGTCTCAGCCTCTTGGCCCCGAGCAAAGTTGACTGTCTCCCCTCACTGCTCTGTCCCTAACCCCCACCGACCCCGGCCCGCCCCACCCCAGCTCAGCTTCCAGTAGAAGGAAGGACATGGAGGAAGAAGTGGCTTATGGTGGTAGAGAAATGGTTACTTTTTAAAAACATGTTGCATTTCACTTTCACTGTTTCAATAGGCAACATAGCCACAGGCGGCAAGTGTGGGAAGTGGCCGTGAGCAGGCCCGCCAGCCGCCCTGCCCCTTCCTGCGCACCCGAGTCTGCATTTACAGACCAACGCAGAGGACGCTTTCTCCCCGTTTCTGCGCCTGAATGGCAGCATGTGAGACACGCTCTTCTGCCCGGTCCCCTTCTTACGTAACCTAGAGCTTGGGCTGCTGGTGTGTGTTGGTACTGGTCCAGTGCAGGCCTGGAATGTGGAAGAGGACAGGCCCGTCAGCCCGCAGCCGGTGGATTAGCCGACTGTCACACTGGCAGGGCACACAGACGGCTCCATGCTGGCCGCGAGCCGCGTGAGGGGCGTGGACTCACCCCGAGGGGCTGCACGGGAGGGTCTAAGTGGCCAGGTAAGACGGGGGGGACTTGGACGGTCCGGACAGGGCTCTGGGCCTTCTCCCTCTGATTTTAGTCATCCAGTGTTTTCAGATGCCCAGTGTCTCTGAACCTGTGAATGAGGGAAAGAGGGAGGGTACGATGGGGTCGCCCGGGTCCTTGCTCATTTCTCAGGAATAACCAGGCAGGGGACTGGTCCAAGATGGTCTTGAATGCAATTGGGCACTCTCGCCCCCTGATGGCTCCTCGCAGAACTGCAGCCCAGAGACAGCTGGACAGGCAGGTGGGCAAGTCTCTCACTGTGAGTCAAGCACTGCAGACACAGCGTTGAACAGAAAGGTGTGGCCTCTGTCCTCCCGCTCCCAACATTCTCACTGGGAAGCAGTCAAATGCGCCTATAATACAGTCTAGGCGGGAGGACGGTGTTGAAGGTAAATAAGCAGGGTACGGAGGGGAGGGAGACGCCTCTCCCAGAAGCTGCCCTGTGAGCAAAAGCCTGAAGAGAGGGGACAGCCGTGACGTCTAGGGCAGCGACGCTAAACTCCAGCTGAGCATTGGAAGCACCTGGAGAAACAGAAAACAAGCCAATAATGCCAAGATGCTGCCCCCTTCCCTGAATAATGGCCTCGGGCCTCGGGCCTCGGGGGCTTGGCCCTCAGTACTTGAACAGCTCCTCAGGTGGCCCTACCGGGCAGCCAGAAAGGAGAGCTCACCTGGACGGAAGACCGTCCCAGGTAGAAGGAAGAGCACGGGCGACGCTCCCACCAACCAAGCCACCCGGCCAGGGCCTTGTGAGTTTTCTGAAGGTGGAAGCAGCAGCTCTCCTCTTGCAAGGCCACTGTGGCTGGACATGGCTGGACGTGGCAAGGCCACTGTGGCTGGACGTGGCGACAGAGGCAGACGGCTCCATCTGGCCCTTGCTGTCCTCCGGGCTGCGTCAGGTCTTCCTGACTCCTGGACATCAGCGCCTGGGCCACCCCTGGACGCCTGGCTGCGGAGGCGATGGTCCCCATTGGTTTCTCTACCAGGCCCCTGTGCAGACTCCCCGGGTGGCTGGTGTGCCTCACGGCTTCTCAGATGGCCTGGTTGGTGACTCCTGATGCCCCTTTTCAGACCTTCACTTCCCCAGCTCCTCCCACGACTGTAAAAGGTCCAATTCCCGTCATAAATTACTCACCCCGCACTCCTGGGCCAGATCTGGCTGCTTCCCTGATTGGATCTGATTGAAATGTTTGGAGTATTTACAGAATCACAAGGAAGACTGAGGACACCACACTGAGTCACCGGTGGGGGGTGGGGGTGGGGCTGGGGTGCCGCTTCTGCAGGATGGTCAGCACCGGCCGGCTGGATGCCCGGTGCGCAGCCGCCTTCCCCCAATGAACTCAGTGCCTAATATGGTCTCGGTGGACGCAGCTGACCGCTGGGCCCTTACATGCTCCAGACCCCGGCTGCAAGGGAGTCTGGGAAACAGTTTCCAGCTTCCTCAGTTCAGGAAGGTACAGCGGAATGAGGAGGGATGGTTGGATGTGAAACAAGCCAGAGATGTGGCCAGGGATTGAACCCTTGGCTTTGCCATCTGGTCCAGGGCTCATCATGCCCAGGGCTCGCTTTTCAAGACATGGTGTTAATGGGAAACCGTTGTCTCCCTGGCCCAACAGATAGTCCAAGGCCAGGCCAGTTGGGTAACAGACAGCTTGTGGAGACGATCAAGCACTGACCATGGTTCACCCTGATGAACGGAAGAAGAACGAAACATCATTCACAGCACCTACATTCCAGGCAACTTACAGACACTGCACGGTACCCACCTGCGTTTTGCAGCTGAGGACGTCAGGCCCAGAGAGATTGAGAAAGCTGCCTGAGGTCACACAGCTAGTTAGTGGCAGAAGCTGGGCTTGACCCCAGTCTGATGACACCCAAAAATTGTCTGCTCTTAACCATTACTATATCTTTGTCACTATCAGAGAAGCGTTGTATAAAAGCCATTTGTTCATCCATTCATTCTTAGTTAGGTGCTCATTCTTGGCTGGGCAGTTTCAGGTGCTGGGGACAAAGTGGTGGACAAGACAGACAGAGGAAGATATAGGGTAGCGATGATTTCAAACTGCTCCCAGGACCAGGCAGAGGATAGAAACTCATGGGACAGGCTGGGGAGGGAAGTAGACTTTGACATGTTTTCTTTGTAAATTAAACATGTTAGAATAGATTCGTGCATCAATTTTTCTCCTCGTAACATGTAGGTCCTTGTTAGTTTCTGTTTTTCCACTTTTGATTTTTTTTTTTATCCTCACCCGAGGGCATTTTTTGCATTTATCTTCAGACAGAGCAGGAGGGAGAGAGAGGGAAGAAGAGAGAGAAACATAAAGTGAGAGAGACGCACTGACTGGTTGCCACCCACACAACCCCAAAAGGGCTGGGGAACAAACTGCAACTGAGAACGTGCCCTTAGTGGGAACCGAACTCAGGTCTCTCTGGTCCGCGGGCCAACACTAACCTCTGAGCCAAACTGGCCAGGGCTGTTTTTCCACTTTTGATAGAAAAATATTTCTCCACTATGGGAAACACAGCCAGCATGTGTGATGCTGCTGATATGGCCTCAGTGTGTCGGGGAGACAATAGGGTATGGTGGGGACTGTGGCAAACGGGCAAGCCTGCAAGGCACCAGCAGCAGCTAAGAGGGGGCCACTGAGGTGCGGCTCCAGCTGATCATGTGCAAATGCAGGTCCTATGTCGCCAGATGGTCCACTTTCTTTTTCCAAGAAACATTGAAAATTTAGATTTTGAGTTATATCTCCTAAATTTTCAGTAGTTGGGTCAAAGTTTGAAAACATGCAAGAGCAATAAAACGGATCTGTGGGCCAGATCTGGTCTGTGAGCCACTAGATTGCAACCTTGGGCTGAAGAGCACTAATTTAGGAGTCAAAGATGCTGAGTTGGGGTCTAGGCTCTGCCACCTTTTCCCTGGGAGGTGGTGGGCGAGACACACCACCTCACTGGGCCTCAGTTTGCCCCTTTGTGGAATGGGACTTATCAACAGCATTGTTTGCCAAGCCTTTTTCTCAACTAGTATTTTCCAAACAATGGCCTGTGACATTGATTTAGTAGATTTTTGACCTGCACCATTTAAAAACAAAATAGAACAGGATGGCAAAAAGGATGCATCGTGGTAATATGGGAGGCACTGCTCTGTGACACACAGTTTAGTTCAGATGCATGTGACACACACACGACAGACACTCAACAGCATTCACACACACACACACAAGCATCTGTCACGCGGGTCTTGATGTAATCCATGTGTGTTTCTTATTGGGCAGTGTGGTCCAATAGTCAGGAAGCCACTGTTCTGTGTTGCTCATGACTGAACACAGTGCTGAGGCTGGTTCTATTGTTACCCCTATTTCACAGCTGAAAAGCTGGGGGTCACAGAGGTGACCTCCTCAGAGACCTGGGATTTGACCCAATGTCCACATCTTAACCATCACGCTATCCTTCCTCTCCAGACAGGGCCATGGTGGTTGTCGGGATGAGCTAGTGCAGGTCAAGGGCTTAGCCCAGGGCCTGGGGCACACGCAGTAGGTGCTCAGTAAATGTTAGAAGCTGGGCTTGTAATGGCAGCTTTTCGTTCCCTCACACCAGGTGGCCAGAAGGATCCCAGGGCTGAGGGAGAGGGAGAGGGATGGAGAGAAGGGAGGGTCTCTGCGGGCCCAGACACCCCTGGAGTGGGGGGTGGGCTGTAAGACCAAGGCGACCCCCTCCTTACCTACAGCCAGAGTTCCTTTCTTGCCAAATACTTAACAATGGAATTTAAAAAGCAGTGTTTAGCTCTAGTCGGCTTATCAGCATCTTTAAATGAGCTGGATATAAAAGTAAATCTCCAATTTTTCCAAACAACTTCAACTATTATTACAATCACATTCTTAAAAATCAGAGCAGGCAACTTCTGATGCTGCGCGGAGCAGAGGGAAAGCCACCGCGGTGCCGTGTGCCTCCCAGCGCACACACTGCCCTCTACCGGGATCTCCCGGTGGCTGCAAGTCAGCGCATCACGGCGGCCTGGGCGGGGCCTGAAGGAGATGCTGGGCATCCTCTCAAGGGCGTTGTTTGCAGGCCGACTTCAGGTGGCCCGTGAAGGACTCAGGCCGGCTGCGGGGTCGCACTGCCCTCTGGTGGTCACCGGGAAGCACGGCTCCGCCTGCGCGGATGTGGCACCCCCAGGGGCTGAAAGGTCCCACTCCTCAAACAGGTTCTCCTCTACCCAGAGCGAATGAAGATCTACGCAGCAACCTGGCCGCATCTCGAAAGCATCATGAGTGAACGAAGCCAGGCACAGAGGGGGACGTTCTGTCTGGGTCTGTTTATATGAACGAGGTCCCCAAACTAGGGGACAGAAATCGGGAGCGTGGTGATATGTGGGCAGAGGCTGGGCAGGGCCACGGGGAAGCGGTCTGGGGCCTGGAAATGTCTTCCGTCTTGATCCGGCTGGCGGGCACCCAGGTGTAATCACAGGTAAAAATACATCAAGATGCAGGCTTGTGCTTTGTGCAATACACTGTGTGTAGATTATAAAGTAAAGTTCCCGGGCTGTCCCGTGACGGGGGCCCTGCCTCCACCCTTCCCACTCCAAGTCATTCCCCCACCTGGCCAGCGGGGTTTGAAAAATGTAAATCACACCAGGCCACTCTCCTGCTTAAAACTCTCTGGAATCTTTTCACTGGGTTTAGAATAAAATCCCTACTCCAATGCAATCCAAAATCCATCACCAGAAGGGTCCAACCGCATCGAGCCTGGCCTTGCCGGCTGGCCCTGGCCTCTGCCCGGTCTCCGGCCTCTCGGCCTCCTTGCTTTCCCAGCAGCCGCCTGGAGACGCTCCACCCCCGCGTCTCTCCCTGGGATGATTTCTCCGGCTTTTCTCATCCTTGGGGTCTGACCTCAGCTGTCGCCTCTAGAGATGACCAGCACCGCACCCCTGGCTGCGGCCTCCATCACCGACGGGACAGCGCCTTGCTGTGCACTCTGAAGTCCAGGTCCCAGCCAGCGAGAGGACCCGCCATGAATACTCTGGGGCAAGCACAGGGCCACTTGGTGGACCCTGAGTGTTTCACAGGACAGACACTGGGACACTCTCAGGACCGCTTTCAATGGATTTTTTTTTTTTTTTAATCCTCACTCTAGGATATTTTTCCATTTATCTTCAGATAGAGTGGGAGGAAGAGAGAGTGAGAGAGAGAAGCATCGATGTGAGAGAGACCCATGGACTGGCTGCCTCCCACACAACCCCAACTGGGGCCGGGGACAAACTGCAACTGAGGTACGTGCCCTTGGCCGGAACTGAACCTGGGACTCTTTGGTCCGCGGGCTGATGCTCTAACCGCTGAGCCAAACCAGCCAGGGTTCAATGGGTCTTTTTGATGTGGGCTGACTTCAGCCTCCAGATCCACCTTTTCTTCCCCACCGGGGGTCCCGTGGCCCGCTCTCCTCCGGACCTCAGGGGGTTCTTGGAAGGGGACCGAGGTGTGACTCAGCAGAGGAACGGGTGCGCGTGCTGGTCCCTGCCCTGGCCCGCCCTCTCCCCTTTCTCACAGGACAAGGCTGGGTCTCACAGCTCATGTGCCGCCCTCTGGCGGGTTCCCTGCACCGGAATCAGCTCCACGAGGTGGAAACGACCTCTGCACCTTTGCCTCCAGCAGTCGAGAGGAGCACCTGGTAAACGGTTGACCCTCTTGACTGGGTGGGATGGATGACTGGCTGCGGCACAGCCACCCCGAGACCTGCCGGGGCTTCCCCGGTGTCCTGGCCCAGACGCTGACCTACACGCTGACACCCCCTGCCGGCTCTGTCAGCGGCGGCTCGGTGCGGGAGGCTTCCCGGGATGGGGCAAGGTCGTCTGATTCACAGAACTGGTCTCCTCGGCCCTCACCTGTACCGTGGGGACCACGGGCAAAGGGCTGGTGTTGTCATCTGAGGGAAACGGGCTAGAAACAAGCCCCATCTACCCATCAAACATCTGTCCACTCAGTTATCCACTCACCCACCCATCTTTCCAAAACACCACACAATCACCCACTCATCCAAACAGCCACCCACCCGTTCACCTCACCACACAAGCACACAATCATCTGTCCACCATCATCTCTCTCTATAAAACCACCCACCCAGTCACCCCAGTGTAGTCATCCATCCAGCTGGCCATGCACCTTCCAATTCTCCACCATCCAACCACCTGACCAAACCACCCATCCACCACCCAACTGTTTAACCTCGTAGTCGTCCATTTGTCCACATGTCCATCTGACTAGGATTCCAATTATACTTCCTTCCTTCATCTCATCTATAATGGGGTTCGTTTGTGTCGGCATCCACTGTGTGGACGGATTCCAAGCACATCACTCTGTGACTGATTCTGGGGATACAGTGATGAAACCAACAGAACCTGCCCCCAGGGACCTCGGCATCTAGTGGGGAAGTCTACCTCGCCCTTTGTGGTGGCTTTCTGGCCACCAGAGATTCTGGCTCAGAGACTCTGATTACCGGGTCACCTCCCATCTCCACCGATGCGGGTACACCAGCCAACTGGTAACCCTGGATTTCACCAACACGGAGAGGGCAGAGCCTATACTTATATTCAGCATCTAAGCAGGTGGACCCAGGCCCTGCTTGGAACTCTACGAGCAGCAAAAGTACTCAGGATGTCCTCGGAACGTCTCACGTGCCCCTCCCTGCCCATCCTCTGGGTCTTTGGCTTACCCACTGGAGAGTAAAGTCTTCTCATTGGACGGGAAGTTGTTTGTATTTTTCAGCCCAACCCTGATTTCCCCCAATTCTTTTAGTAATAGCCCACTGACTTTTCCTTTGGGAGACCACCTCTCCCCAGCTTTATGTTCATGAGGGATCAAACCCCAAATCCGGCTCCATGGAGCCCATGACTCTCTCTGCCAGTGTGCTTTTGCTAGAAGATCCTCAGAGCCATCTGTGCCACCTAGGGAAGGGCCTGCCGGGGAAGTAAGACCACACAGGAGAAAATGATTTGATCCCCTGGATCCAGCTAGGCCTGAAGACAGCTATCACCTAAAGTTTTGGAAGACTTTTTTTTTTTTTTTTGGCTCAAGCTAGTTTGAATGGGATTTTATTCCTTTGCAACTGAAAAGGTTGTGGAAAGACCAACAGATTCCGATGTCTCGGGAGTGGTAATGGAACAGTGACACATTACCCCGTTCAAAATGTAAACGTGGTTTTATTTAATGCCTTTTCTCCGTCACAAAGTACTACCTCCTTCCCAGCGTCCCCTCTTCCCAGAACAAGATGGCAGCATAAGGCACGTGCACCGTCCACATGACATTAGGTTAGGTCCTTAACCACAAAAATAAGCAACAGTCTTCCCCGCAGCCCCAGTCGCCTCCCTCACCATGGTTCCAAGATGATTGTTCCCCCAAAGCACAACTTGGAGCGGAGTGCCTGAATCAGAACCGTGTACCCACCCACATGCCAGCTGAAAAAACCAGACCAGACCAATGACTAAGGAAACCCACAACACAGGTATGAGAGCATAATACCGGAGTAATGCGATTAGTCCATAAATTAAAAGGAAGAAGAAAAACCGAGCCTGTCCCCTCCTCATCACCAGCCCTCCCCCGGATCAGCAATCCCTTGCTTTAGTTCCGTGAGACTCGTCGAAAAGTCTGGACTGTCAGCCCTTTGCCCCAAAGGTCCATGTTCCCAAGCCACTGCTGGGCACTCAGGACCCGCGTGCGGACGGAAAGGACAGCTTCTGAGATGGTCGCCGGACTCGTCCTCTTGGCTGTAGGGACCCTGCCCAGTGTCCAGCATCTGGCGGGAGGGGGAAGGCAGGGGCCCGGGCGGGGTGCACCTGTGAGGCGGCGGTGATGCGTGGGCGCTGCTATAAATACTCCAGCTCCAGGGCGTGCCTCAGCGCCTCCAGGTCGGCGTGGCAGGACACCCGCCAGAACGGCATGTTGTGCTGGAACACAGAACACCAGCAGGTTAGGGCCCTGCGTCCCTGCACCCCGGAGCCCCCTGCGCCCCCTGCGCCCCTGTGCGCTGCACCCAGAGCAGAGCCCGGGAGATGTCAACTGACTCAGCAGAGCGGTGGGCATTTCCCCAGCGGGGAGGCGAACCCCTACCTGGCTGGTACCCACCGGTCTGGCCACACCATTTGTCCCCTCCCAGCCTGTTCTGACGGGCTCGCCCTGCGCTGCCTGGCCTGTGGGCCACGCTCTCCTCCGGGACCGCGTGGAATCAACCACGCAGTGAGAAAGCATTGCTCATACAATGTGTTCTCAATCCTGGGCCTTCAAGACGAACATCTCAGCCGGGTGCTGTTAACCACCCCCAACGCTGGCTCAGCTGAACAGAGTGTGGACAGGCGTGGTGGGGGGGTCATCTCTGTCGCCTCTGTTTCTGTCTTTCCCTTTCTCTACAGCGAGTGGCGCTGGCTCTGAGTTAGTCATGGGTGAGCTGAGGGAGGCGCACATGACCTGGGCAGGTAGGTGCATGCAGGCAGGTCAGGAGTGGTGGCCGGTCCTCTTGGCGTCGAGTTCATGTTTAAGTCCCTCACGTGAGAGGCAAGTTTGTGAACTATTTCCGCAGCATGAGGGTCACAAGCAGAGTGTCCTGCCCAAAGCTCCGCTCGACTGTCATTAGCTGGGTGACCTTAAGCAATTTACTCTGCTGTCTGTAAGATGGGGACAGCACTTGCTGTATACATCACTGTGGCTATCTGGCACATATACTAAGTTCCTGATAAATATTAGCTGCTATTACGATTATGTGTACGCACGTGATGTCTATTTATACAAGAACATGTTGTATAAATGTCGGACAAAGTCAGGAAGGATGCAAACTGTATGCATGTAGAGGCACGAATTGGTTTTTTTTAAGCCATTTAAAAAATAACGAGTAAGATAAGCAATGTTTTGATACACAATGTTTCAAATAATAGTCTTTTCAATCTGCCGTTACTGAGCCAGACCCTGAGCTAGGTGCTTGGTTTAATATTTCGCTGAGTCACTGAAACAAAACAGAAAAAAACCCGGAACAAAGACAAAAACATCTTTTTCAAGTGGGAGCTGAGACAAAGACAAGAGAATCGATTTAACTGGAGCTAAATTAGTGGCAAGCTAGGACTAATTATGATTGTAATCCCAGTCGTAATGCAATCATTAACATTCACGAAGTGCACCTGCCAAACATGTCCCGTGCGTCACTCCATTTACCCGATCAGGACCCCCGGGAGAGGGTGTGTCCATCTTAGTTCACAGGCGAGGAGACTGAGGCAGAGAGAGGCCAGGTCTGCTCCCAAGAAGAAAGCTGACTGTGTCTGTATCACTGGGAAATCTAACCCTTGGCTGAGGTGGGTGCCTGCCTGACAGCCAGCCTCCCCTATTCCTTGCCTCCAGAACCCTGAAATTGGCAGCGCCGCGCCCGGATACAGCCAATGAGCTGTGACTGTCTAAGCAAGCTATGACAGCCCTACCCGTTTGCCAGGGATTTGTCCTGTACCCTCCCTGTGACCTGCTGAAGCCAACGGGGAAGTGGCCAGAGGCTTCTGGGAAAGGTTTTCCTCCATGGTCAGAGAAGCACCGGAGAACTCCGTGCTCCTTACTTGCCCTTCCTGTTTGGATGCTGTCATGTTAGTATGTGATGCCTGGAGCTGTGGCAGCCGTTTTGAGATCACGACTCAACTAACCAGAAAAGAAAGAGCCAAAGGTAGAGCAACATCATGGGAAGGGAGGCTTGCTGAATTTCTGACCCACCGCAACAGCCTAGGGCACACCTACTTCTGATCTCGTTAGGTGAACAAGTGTTTTAAGTCCTCAGACCTAGGTTTTCTGCTACCTGCAGCTAAAAGACACTGGGCCTCAAGACAGTCATTGGCCTTAAATTATTTATTAAGTAAACAGACGGTGCTTGATGGACACATGGATGCCCGGAGGGCTTGTGGGGGTGACCCTGCTGCCCTGAGGCACTACGCCCACAGGGTAGAAACCACGCACGTGTCCTTTGGGTTCCGGGGCACATCAAACCCTTAGGAAAGTATCAAGTGCCGAGACCCCAGGGGCAGGGGGAGGGTCTCAATCCTCTGCCCCCTCTTTCTAGCACTGCTCACCCTCACCTTCCTGGTCTACGGGGGACAGAATAATAGTCGCCCAGAGAGATCCGCGTCCTGATCCCTAGAACCTGAGAATATGTGGCCTTACCTGGCAGAAGGGACTTTGCACCTGTGATTAAATAAAGGCTCTCGAGGTGGGGAGATGATCCAGAGGGCAGGGACTTGTCTGACTGTCACCGCTGTGTCCCCAGTGGGGCCTTGTGGGTAGGTGGCAACCACTCTGGGCTCTCACTGGAGTCACAGATCATAAATCCACAGACAAGAAATGAACACGGTATTTTACCTCCCAGAGAGTGTTACAAAGGAAACGGAATGGGAACGGGGAGCAGCTGCGGGGCTCTCGGGGGGAAGGAGCGGCGTGTAAGCGGGCCCCAGAGGACCAGAAGGAGGGAGCGTGCCCCAGAGGACAAGAAGGAGGGAGCGTGCAGACGTGGGGGGTGGTAGTCGAGGCAGGAGATCGCAGGAGCAACCCCCAGGAGGGTGGGAGCTGGGAGCGTCGTGTTCACGGCTGCATCACGGCTCCATCACGGCTCCTGGCACATACTAGGTGCTCAAGGAATATTTGTGGAAGGAAGGAGAGGAGGAAGGGAGGGAGGATGAGAGGGAAGCAAAGTTCTCAATGAACACATTTCTCTCTCTCTCGTTTATAGATGGACTATTAGCTTCTGTTAGAACCAGCCTTTGACATTTAGCAAGTTCTCATTTGCTCAGGGGAAGCAGAATACCATCCACCTTGGGTACCAGATGCCGTCTCTTTAGTGGCTTCCAGTGGTCCTGGCTCCCCTCCCCTCTCCTTGCCTGGCCAAGCCTTCGCTTCTCTACAAGGATGGATCTGGTCGCTGCCCACCAGCCCTGTCCGCCTTTAACGAGTGTAATTCATTTTTCGGGGAGGAAATGAGCAAAGGCGGGAGGGAATGGCTCAGCCGCCCCCTCCCAGGCCCACGGCTCCAGGGCACAGGTGGATTTATCACGCGCGGAGAGGTGGAGACAAATGACCCACTAAAATGGAGATATTAACAACACTGTCAGCCGAAACAGTGGGAGCCCCTCGTCCTGCGGCCACATTTCACGCTGCTCAGGGTCTGGCGGCCGGGCTAATGACTCCCATGCGTCAGGCCAGGAGGGCTGCTGGAGCAGCGTTTCTCACTAATGGGCTGGGCCCAGAGGACTTGGGGGAGGTTGGGTGTGGGGGTGTGCGCCCTCGGCTTCTTTGGTGGACTCCGTTCTCATTGGCCAAGCTCGGGGGTCTAGACTGGCAGTGTTTGAAACGCCTGTGTCTCTGTCTTGCCAGGTGTGCCAAACACACGTTCATTTGCATGGACCGGCTGTGTGACCTTAAGTAAGTTAATGAACCTCTCTGAGTCTCAGATCCGTCTTCTATATAATGAAGTGGGAGGATACCCACTTTGCAGGGAGTTTTGAGGCCGAAATAAAATGACGATGGCAGTAGTAAAGAGTAAGTGGTTACAGCACAGGGATAACTGATTTCCCCTTTATTTCTCCAATAGAATCACTGGATACTGACCTCTTGGACAGTTAGTTACATGTTGTACTATTCATCAGTATTTCATTCCAGGATAATAAAGGGGTCATTTAAAAATATCTGCTTCGTGCCCAGCTGGTGTGGCTCAGTGGCTGAGTGTCAACCCATGCAACCAAGAGGTCACCGGTTCAATTCCCAGTCAGGGCACATGCCCAGGTTGTGGGCCTGATCCCCAGTGGGGGGCATGCAGGAGGCAGCCAACCGATGTTCTCTCTCATCCATGTTTCTCTCTGTCTCTCCCTCTCCCCTCCTCTCTCTGAAATCAATAAAGAAAAAAAAAAGAAACTGCTCCATATCCAGTTGGGGACAAGGCGGGCACATGGCAGTGACTGGTCCATGGGTGTCCCGCATTCCCCAGTGAGACCCAGAGGGCAGGTGTGGGGGCTCGGGCCACAGGCCTACGTAGCTCTCCAGTCCTCTCCGATAGAAGCAAAGGTCGGAGTCGCTGTCACGGGCTCAGGACAGAGCTTTCCACTCTGTCTGAAGTGGGAAGAGGGGAGCGGGGCCCTGGACGCCACCCCGGACCCTGGCAGAGGGCTTCAGGCAGTCTCATCACATAGACCTTGCTCTCCACCTGACACGGTGTTCTGGAACTCCAGTAATTCATGGGAAAACTCACGTGATTCACGCCAATATTTTGGCCATGTCCTTGTGTATCACCTCTATCGCTGTCATTTATTTAATACTTTTCCTTCTAAACCAATTCATTTTTAAAAGTGAAAGCAATCTACTTTAAGAGGAAGTGCTCAGAGTAAAAGCTGAGGTGCCCCCAAGGGTCCTGGTACCTCCTAGATCCACCTCCCAACACTCCCCACTTGCCTGGCCCACCTCTGTGGCCACACTGGCTCCCTGCAGGGAGCTGCAGCCTTCAGACCTTTGAACTTCTTGGTTCCTCTCTTGGAATGCCCTCCCTCTGATATCCACTCCTCCTCTGTCTTTACTCAGATGTCACCTCACAGGGAGGCCTGCCTGGGCTACTGCCTACCCTTCAACCTGCCCCACCCCCAGGGTCCCCTGTTCCCATTCTCTGCTTTCTTTCCCCCCAAGCTCTGCTCACTACCTGACATGTGTGTTACTTACACTTGGGTGTTTATTGCCTGTCCCAGCCTGTGAGCTGAGTGAGGGGTGAGAGGCTGTCTGATCTGCTCACTGCAGGATCCCAACACAGTGGCTGGCACACAGTAGGTGCTCAGCTAATGGAGCTTACACCCTGGCTGGAGGACTTGTGATTAAGCCACCAAATATACAGACTATCCTTTCATGACAAGAGGGGACAGTGTACTGAAGAAAGATTAAGGACAGTGGGGGAGGGAGTCACAGGCAGGCCTGATCTAGCTGGAAGGGTAGAGTGGGAGCCAGTCTGAGACCTGAGGATGTGGGGTGGGCTGGGGAGGAGCCTTCCAGGTGGGTGGAACAGCATATGCAAAGATTCTCAGCTCCCCTCTCCTGAGCCCCTCTCTCAGCACCCGAGGGGCCTTCCCTCTTTTTATGTGTTTCATCCTCTGAGACCCTAAACGTTTCTGCATTTCCTTGGAATTCGTTGCTGGGGAGAAGAGGGGGGGAAACCAGGTCCCCCAAATTAAGCTCTGTGACATTAACAATCCACTTCCCAGGCCTCTGGGTGGGGGTGCAGGCTCCCTGGGATGCTGTTGACAGGTCCAGACCCAGGACTTTGGCAGCTGTTTCTTTTCCAGGAACAGAGCTGCAGCTACCAGAACCCCTCCTCACGGGCCTGAGATCACAAATGCAGGACTTTCTTTTTCATTAGCTTAATGCTGTCTTTATTAACTGGGAAGGGTTCCTGGAACATATGATCAGTGAGTATTAAATAAAACACACACGTGCACCGGCCGCACCGGCCTGCCCTGACAGCGTCTCTGGGCTCGCGAGCAGTTGTCCCAGAAACAATCCAGGGCTACCAGGGGCGGCAGCCAAAGGCACGGGGGGATTTGCAGAAGGAAATTACTCAGGATGCTTCTGCGATGTGCAAATGCGAATGGACGGCCCGCCAGAGCCCGGGAGGGGCCCGGCCAGCACCGGGAGGCGGAGGGGTCGGTGCGCGGAGCCGGGAAACCCAGCGCCGGCTCAGGGGGGAAGAGCGCGAGGCCAAGTACCTTTTTGGCGCCTTGCTCCTCTTCCACGCCGTCGCCAATCACGATGTAGACAGCTTTCCTGCCGAACCTCTGCATGATCCTCTCGAAGCAGCTCTCCTTCCCTGCAGCGGGGGAGCGGAGGGGAGAAGCGGGGTGAGGCCAGAGGGCGGGGGGCAGCGGGCAGCGTTTGCTGCGATTGACCGCGTGTGGATCATTCCACCCTCCGGCAGGCTCAGGGGTGCGCACTGTGACCGGCCCCTGTGAGGGCTGACAGCGGGGGCGCGGGGAGGCTGAGGGCGGAGGGGAGCGCAGGGCTTGGCAGCAGGCGCCGGAGGCATAGCTGTCTGCGGAAGGAGCGATGGACCCATGTTCCAGATGCGCGCAGGAGGCTCAGAGTGGTGAGGCGACTTGCCAGGTATCCCCGAGTTCGGAAGCGGAAGTGCCGGTGTTCACACGTCCGCCTGGGGTGACCGCCTCTCTTAGTCACCTTCTTCCCAGTGCCCGGGCAGCGCTTAAGTCCAGGCACGCTGGATTCGGATCTTGGTTCATCCTGATGTGTCAGCAAGTTTGGTAACCATAACGACCATGAAAACAGCACTACTACTAATAGTAAGAGTCGCTGCCACTCTCTGACCTGACTATATACCAGGCCCTCTGCTGAGTGCTTCCCCTACGTCAGGACTTCTCAGCCTTGGCAACACAGCCATTGGGGCTGGGTGGCTCCTTGCTGTGGGGCATCCAGTGTCAGCAGCGTCCCTGGTCTGTCCCCAGTGGATGCCAGTAGCAACTCTACCAGTTACGAAAATGAAAAATGTCCCCAGATGTCCTCTAGGAGACAACTTGCCCCGTCCCCACCACCTGTTGGGAAACACTGCCTTACATTAATTCATTGAACTAACACAGCAATCCTTACAAAACTGGGATCGACATAATGCCCATTTGAGAGAGAGAGAAACTGAGGTTCAGGGTCGGTGGAGTGCCTTGAGGAGGAGCAGGTAGCAGGAGGAGGAATGATGAAAGAGCTCCTATTTTTGAGCACCCGTGTTCTGCTGGGAACCGCTCAGTGTTTTACACGCACTATTTATCTTGTGCTTAGAGACGTGTGGGCATCCATTTTACAGACCGGGAAGCTGAGGCAGAGAGAGGTGAAGTCACTGGCTGAGGCCAAGCAGGGCCGGGACTGGAGCCCGGGCTGCCGGCTCCAGCACGCGAGCTCTGAACTCCTGTCACACTGGTCTAGTGGGAGTCAAGTCGGCTGCAGAATCCCTCCCTCTGGGCCTGTCTCCTCCTCTGCAGGAGCAAAGCTGGGGTAATGCGATGCATCCCAACTGTCTTCTGAGTTCACAGAATTACTGTGCCTGCCCCTTGGTCACACCAGGGCAGTGCCTCCCACTAGAGGAGGTGGAGCCTGTTTCTCACCCCACTGATGCTGGGTGGGCCACGTGGCTTGCGTTGACCATGGCATGTTAGGGACCTGCCCTGAAAATGAGCGAGGGTGGTTTGCCTTGGCCTCCTGCACTTCTGCCATCTGGCGTGAGAAGAATGTGGCCTGGATGGCCGCTGGTCCCACAGCGGAGATATGCTGAGCGGACCGGAGCCTGGAGCCAGGCCCAGCAGAGCCACGCTGACTCACCAGCCCGGAGCGAGAAATGAACACCAGCGGCTGTGAGCGCCGGCGTGTTTGTTACGCAGCGTTCCCAGAGCCGAACCTGCTCGAAAAATATGATGATTTCTAAGTCAAAACAGGGTGCTGGTGACCAAATTCCTGTCCTGTCTTCACTTTGCTGCCAGTTCTTTGGTCTTCAGGATCCCCAAGTGGGAAACAAGAGTCCCTCTGCCACTTCTCTGGTGGTATCTGATGTCCCCGGCATGGGGGTCCTGCTGTAGGACCCCTAATGGCCATTTGGGGCCTGACTTTCTACGATTTTAATTTATTTTTTTTTATCCTCACCTGAGGACATTTTTCCATTTTTTGTTCAGACAGAGTGGGAGGGAGAGAGAGAGAGAGAAACATCGATGTGAAAGGGACACATTGAGTGGCTGCAACCCGCACGACCAACCAGGGCTGGGGACAAACTGCAACTGAGGTACATGCCCTTAGCGGGACCAAATCCAGGTCTCTCTGGACCGCAGGCCGACACTCTAACCGCTGAGCCAAACTGGCCAGGGCTAATTTTATTTTATTTTATATATATATATTTTTATCCTCACTTGAGGACATTTTTGCATTAATCCTCAGATAGAGAGGGAGGAAGAGAGAGAGAAACATCGATGTGAGAGAGACACATCGAGTGGCTGCCACCCACACAACCCCAACGGGGGCCGGGAACAAACTGCAACCAAGGTACGCGCCCTTCACAGGACCGAACCCGGGTCTCTCTGGTCCACAGGCCGACGCTCTAACCGCAGAGCCAAGCCGGCCAGGGCTCTACGACTTTAAAATCTAAAGGCACTTCTATGTAATATTCAGACCTAGAATTTTAGTAACAGCCAACACTGCTCTAAGAAGATGCTTCTAAAGTATTATACACTGGTTTTTTTGTTCCGGGAAAAAAATAAACAAGGGTAAACATTTCTAATTAAAAACATCTCAGCTACATTTATTTTTGAATTATTTATATTGTATTTCTAATTTTCTTTGTGTGATATAAGAACTAAAAAACCCAGTCCCTCCCCCACAAAAACCCCCAAACAAACCAGTATGACTTTCCCTGATGCCATTAATTGCTAGTTACTAAGTTATCTTATCTCGTAGAAGCTCTGAGCCTAAGGCTTGTTCTCTTCGTTAATAAGTGAGATCACCAAGTGTTAGAGAGGGGCTGGAGCAGGGCTAGCACTGAATGAAGACTCTCTCCTTGAAAGAGAATTCAAAAAACAATACTTTTCTCTCTCTGTGGTTCAAGGTTCCATTCAAGATTATTTGAGCCCTGGCCGGTTTGGCTCAGCAGTTAGAGCATCGGCCTGCGGTCCTGAGAGACCCAGGTTCAGTTCCCGCTAAGGGCACGTACCTCGGTTGCAGTTTGTCCCCAGCCCTGGTCGGTTGTGTGGGTGGCAACCACTCGATGTGTCCTTTCACGTCGATGTTTCTCTCTCTCTCTCTGTTCCTCTCCCTCCCTCCCACTCTACCTGAACAAAGAATGGAAAGGTGTCCTCGGGTGAAGATAAAAAAAAAAAAGATTATTTGATGACTGTACCACCTAAATTACAATCCCGGTATGTACCATGCAGTGGTGGGAAGTGTTTTCCTCTCCTTCCTTAGCAATAGAATTCATGAGTTTTATCTGCACCCTGTCATTTAGCTATGGACTACACTTCCCAGCCTCCCTTGCAACTCGTGGCCAGGGCACTAAGGTGAGCACAAGTAACGTGCACTCCTGAGTCTTGGCTTTAAGATACTGGACGGCGTTACACCTTCTTCTTCGCCACCTTTGCACATGCAGAAATGCCAACGTGGCAGGACCCTGATTTGACCACATATATGAGGATAAAACCATAGGGGATGGTGGAAATAAAATGGGAAGAACCTGGGTTCCTGGGTGAGTATAAGGAGGGGGTCACCCCACCAGCCTGGATCACTGCCCACTGGTCTGTTGATGTGTGAGAGAGAAAAACGCTTCGACTCCGACTAATAGCCCTCGCATTTGGGGTGTTTGTTAGAGTGGCCTTGCCGTTTTCCTAACTACTGGAAAACTGTGTTCCTAACCAGTTTCCCTAGAAACAGAGCTTAATGCAAGGGGGTTGTGAGGGCTGTCTTGGGGATCTGAGTCATGCTCATGGACACGTTCTTTTTTTTTTCTTTGGTACGTGCCCTTAGTGGGAACCGAACCCGGGACTCTCTGGTTCGCAGGCCGATGCTCCAACCACTAAGCCAAACCGGCCAGGGCCACGGACACGTTCTTGAACATCCCCAGGGCCGTCTTCTTGAAGCTTCCCACGCCTGGGATGAACGCGAATCCTACCCCGCATCACCGAGGCCTGGCTTTCCCTCACCTGTCTTGGTCGCACTGTAGATGTTCTCAATAGGAAACACGGAGCCCAGCCCATACAGCAGGACTTTGGCCAGGGCAGGAATCAGTTGGGTGGTGGTGACCAGCACATTGACGCAGTTGGGCCTGCAGACAAAGGCGACGGTAGGTTAGAACCCCACGGGGCACAGGCCAGGCCGAGAGGTCACTGCAGCGGCTTGTCAGCTGTGGCATAAGGTGCCCACGGAGCCTTGTACTGCTCAGCTTCACCAATGTCTGCGAAGCGTGCAGGTGAGAATCTGGAGTCCTAGTCCCCTGATGTGGAAACGGAGGCGCCACCACCCTCGGACGGGACGAAGGACAGTGCGGGCCCCGCTTACCGGGAGTTGATGAGGGTCAGTGCCTTCAGGGAGTGGGTCAGCCAGAGGTCGGTGAGGGCTTCCAGCTCGGCTCTCAGCTGCAGCCAGGTCTCCCTTTTGGGGGCTCCTATCAAGCCTGTGCACAAAGAAAGATGTGGTAGCCATCGTGTTAGAAAGGCCTCCGAGGGGTTTGGTTTGGGGAAGGGGAGTCTAGCTACCTTGAAGTTTCAGATTAGATGACACCCAAGGTCAACTGTAATCCAATGATCTTAATCTTATTTTGAGATTGACTGATTGATCAATCAATCCATTGATTGGTCCATTCATCCATCATCCATTCATCATCCATCCATCCAGCAAAAAATTCAGAAATGCCTTCTGCATGGTCAATATTGTGAGAGGTACCGAACATACGGAGATAAATAAAACATCTCAATTACAGAGCTTACACGGTTACAATGGAGACAAAAATTAATGAAATAAAAAATAATAATGACTAACATTTATTGAGTGCTCTGTGTGCGCAGGGCCCTGTGCTTTTAACATGGCATCTCGGTCTCACAGGGACCCTAGAGGTGGACACTCTTTATTTTTTATTATTATTATTTTTAATCCTCACTTGAGGACATTTTTCCATTTTTTGTTCAGATAGAGTGGGAGGGGGAGAGAGAGAGAGAGAGAAACATCGACGTGAAAGGGACACATCGAGTGGCTGCCTCTTGAATGACCCAACCAGGGCCGGGGACAAACTGCAACCGAGGTACGTGCCCTTAGCGGGAACCGAACCCGGGTCTCTCTGAACCACAGGCCAATGCTCTAACCGCTGAGCCAAACTGGCCAGAGATCTTTCTTTCTTTCTTTCTTTCTTTCTTTCTTTCTTTCTTTCTTTCTTTCTTTCTTTCTTTCTTTCTTTCTTTCTCTCTTTCTCTCTCTCTCTCTCTCTCTCTCTCTCTCCCCCCCTCTCTCTCTTTCTTTCACATTGAGAATTAACAGACATGTAACATTAGGTTAGTCAGGTAAAGAAACCGAGGCTTTGTGACTTGCTCGCAGCGGAGAGGACACAATGGAGGCAGGGTTGGCACCCAGGCAGCTGGCCTCCAGAGCCATGGTGTTCCTAGACTTGTCATCTCTCAGCCATCAGTGCCCTGAAGATCAAGTTCAGACTCTGTAGCCCATGACTCCGCTTTCTCCTCTCTTGACACTGGCCTCGTGTCCTTCCATTCCAGCCCTAGTGGCCTCCTCTTTGTTCCTTGAAACACCAGATATGCTCCTGCCTCAGGACCTTTGCATGCCTCATTTACTAACTTGAAACACTTTTTTGTTTGTTAAATCCTCACCCAAGGACATGGGGTGGGGGTGGGGGGGAGAAATCGATGTGACGCCTATCCTGGTCAGTTCCTTTTATTTTATACTCTTCCAGCACACTGTACCTCTTCTTCAGGGCACTTCTCACAACTATAATTTATTTATTTAATGTTTTACAAAGATTTCTTTTAGAGAGAGAGGAAGGGGGAGAGAGAGAGAGAAACATCAATGAGAAAGCATCAACCAACTGCCTCCTGCATGCTCCCTCGTGGCGACTGAGCCCTGACCTAGGATCAAACAGATGGCCTTTTGGTGCATGGGATGATGCTCAACCCACGGAGCCACACGGCCGGGCCTCACAACTGTAACTTAGTGTCTCTGTGTGATGACGTGTGCGGTGTCTGCCTCGGCACGAGACTGTTGGTGCTCCGCGGGCAGGAACCAAGCCGGTGCTGTCCACTGTCACAGGGCAGCCCCGCAGCAGGCCACTCGTGGCTGGGGGTGAACAGTCTCTGCTGAAGAAAGAATGACTTGCCCTGGCCGGTTTGGCTCAGCGGTTAGAGCGTCGGCCTGCGGTCCGGAGAGACCCGGGTTCGGTTCCCGCTAAGGGCACGTACCTCGGTTGCAGTTTGTCCCCGGCCCTGGTTGGTCGTGCAAGAGGCAGCCACTCGATGTGTCCCTTTCACATCGATGTTTCCCTCTCTCTCTCTCTTCCGTTCTCTCCCTCCCACTCTATCTGTGCAAAAAATGGAAAAATGTCCTCGGGTGAGGATAAAAAAAAAGAAAGAAGGACTTCGTGGGGGCAAAGTGCTGCCTAGGGCCTGTGCTATTTAGACGTCATAGTCTCCGCAGGGGAGACCCCAGCCGTCCACGCTCCTCCCTGTGGCCTGCGAGGCCCTGTGCCATCGGACACGGGCACCCTCGTCCCATCCCTCGCCACGCTGCCCCTCGCGGCAGCCGCATGGGTCTCATCTTCCTGAAAAGCCCCAGCTCCCCTGTTCTTGGGGCTTTCTGTTTGCTATTTGTGGTAGACACTGCTAGCTGCCTTCCAATATCCAGTTTTCTCTTTAGTAATTGATGAAACAAAGCTGTAAAAAATCTCCTTAGTAACGAGAACTGTGACTGTGTAGCTGAGTACCTGGCCGCCAGACTAAAAGGCCACATTCCTCGGCCCCCGCTGCAGCGCTCGCCAGGCTAGTTCTGTGACGCAGGGACAGCTGGGAGGTGGGGGCAGGCGGTAGCAGAGACTGGGGGGCTGCCCACTGGCGCCCTGCCAGCTGTGAGCTCCCAGCCTGCTGACACATCGGGCAATTTCCCCTCAGTTTATGGGAAAGCAAAGCAACCTGACAGAAACCCTGGGTATTTCCTGGAGCTTAACCTGGATGGGGAGCAGATGGCCTCCGCTGGCTGACTCTATCCCTGTCCCCTCCACCCTAAGCACACCTGCTCCCCCCTTTCTCCCTGTAGGGGTGCGTGAGTAAGAAGGGCTGACCCTGAAGCTCTCTGCTTCAGTCCTGTGGTCGATAGACTTGGCTGTGAGAGGCCAGGAGTGTGAGTGGAAGTGGTGGAGCAGCTGGCCTGGAACTCCACTGTGGTTCCCCTGCATGGGCTGTGTGATGCCGGGCAGGTTAACTAACCTCTCTGATCTCAGTTTTCACCTTCACACAACACTGACGATAAAAGCACTTACCTTAGAGGGACGCTGTGAAGAGCAAATAAAGTATTAGATGAAAAGCCCTCAAAACAAAGTCTGCAGCAGAGTAAGTGCTCAGTAATTTCAGTGAGCGCCAGGATGACACTCGTCTGCAGACAGAAAATCTGTCCTGAAGAGCTGACAGTCTCTCGGGGAAAGCTGAGAACCTGAAAACTCCCAAGCAAAACTGGAAGGAACTAGTGATAAAGGCTACCGTTCACGGAGTGTCACAGAGACGTGCCTTTCGTACGCATTAAGAGCAAACCTCTCCATAACCCGGGGAAGCAGAATTATCTTTAGCCCCATTCCATGGACTTAGAAACTGAGGCTCAGAGGGATTATGCATTTTGCCTAAATCGACGTAGCTAGAAAGTATCAGCTCTGGGCTTGGAAGTGGATTCTATCTGGCTGGAGACCCTAAATTCTTCCTGGGACTTGACTCTTTCTAGGGGTGGGGGAGGGAGCCCTCGGAGCTTTTGGGACCAAGGTAGATCCACCATTAGCTGCCGAATCAAACCTTTCCCCTTTATGGGCCGGTAGCTAATTCCAGACACAGGGACAATCAAAACATCTGAAAGGCTGTCTGTTAAGATCCACTAGCTTGGAGAATTCCAGAAACAGTGAGCTGGGTCTGGTGATGCTGAGCCTCCCTGCCTCCAGCCCCTCCGGACTTCTTGTTCAGCCAGTAAAGCCAAGCTCTCCCTGCGAAGCCGGTTAGAACCCCCAGAGGATTTTCCTATCCTGATGCCAGGGATAGGGCGACCAAGAAAACCAAAGCAGGGGGTGCCAATATGAGCCACGTTGGAGAACCAGAGGCTCCCAGAACTTCTGGGGCTGTAATGCTTCCAGATTACCTGGCATCCTAGTCTCTAACAAGCACCCTGCGGCTGACTCTCCTGCGGCTGGTCCACGGACCACAACCTGAGCAGCCAGGGCTGAACTGCTGGTCCCCACGCGGGGGCAGCATCAGAATCACCCGGAGGGGGTGTTATGAACAGATGTCGGGGCCCACCCCAGAGCGTCAGGCTCCACGGGGGTGTGTGAGGCCAGAGAACCTGCATTTCTGACCATCTCCAGGGGATGGGAATGCGGGTCCGAGGACCACACTTGGACCAGCACCGGCTGCTCGCCCCTCCCAAGACGCTTTCTCTATCCCTCAGCTTCTCCCGTCGCAGTGACGGCGCTGGACTCGGGTGCCCTGCTCCGGGGCCGTCCCGAGGGCTGCACCGAGTGAGCGGCCGTCCAGCCCTCTCGGAACAGTGCCTGGCACCAGCAGGTGGGCTTTGGTGCCGGCGGCCCGCCCGGACGGATGCGTCCCCTGGTCCGCGGCCACAGCGCAGGGCCCCGGGCTCACCGCCCACGTTGTTCTTGTAGGCGTTGTACATCTCCTTGACCCGCCGGTAGCGGAAGGCCAGCTTCCTCATCCAGTCCACGCCGCCGTGGACGCCCGAGCCCAGGCACAGGTTGGCTCCCGGGGCCGAGCTGTGGAAGCCGTCGGCGGAGAAGTTGTACGTGCTGGGGAGGGGCGGGGAGAGGAGACAGTGTTAGCGGGGGCTCTTCGCCCAGACCACAGGCCCTGGGAGCTGCGGGTGGGGCCGGGGTGCCCACCCCCCGGATGGGTGAGGTGCTGTGTGAGCGTCCGTCCCTCCGCCCGGCAGGGCCGTGGCTTCCACGACCTTCCCGAAGGACGGGCATCTTCTGCTCGCCTAATCCGCACCCATTTCCTTTCTTGTATGAAATGGCAGGTGCTGTCTTTCGGGGGACCATCCCCACCCCCTGAACGCAGTGGCCACACTGGGGAAAACCTCTCTCTTCCTTTAGAATTTGTGGAAGAGAAAAATGTTGGGTTTGCTTCATCTTGACAGAAGAATCCAGAAGAAAACCCAGTTCCCATCTATTTTTTTAAAAAAAAAAGTACCTTTCTTTTTTGATCCCCAAATCTGCCCTGCGTCCCCTCCCTCGGAACGCCTGCCCGACGACCCTTTCTTCCCGCTCTGCGCCCCTCCGTGTCTTGCTAGGAAACCCCCTACTGTAACCTTGTTTCAAGAGGCGGCGCCCACGGCTGGCACGTGGCGGCTGGCACCCCCCGCCCCCTGCGGCATTGCTGTGCCACCGAGTCCCCCGTGCGGGGCGGGGCGCAGAGCAGCGCACGGGATTAACAGCCCCAGTGGCAGCTGGGAACCAGAGGGGAAAGTGGGGCGGCCCCCCACCCCGGCAGCTAAAGCAAGCGTGGGGACCCCAGCTCTCCAGAAAACACCATTTTCTTCCCCTCTCTCAGAAGCGTGGGGAGTAAATCACAGTGGTGATTATGCTTCAATGTCGCAAGAAAAACCAGAGTAACAAGGGGCGTGTGCACAGTACGCCCGGGAGCTCTGAGACACAGGACGGTCTCCGGTCTCCGCAGAGGGAAAACGACCGGAAGGGAACCTCAGGATGGTAAACGGTTGTCTCAGGGTGTGGGCCGGCTGATTTTTTTTTTCTCTCTGCACAATTTTGCTCTTTCTGGATTTTCTGTGACTTTAAGAGTGAAAAAAGAAAGGTACTTTATTAAAAAAAAAATAGATGCAATGTAACAGAAATGAAACAACACTTGGAAATTGTATCTTCTGAACCTCCCCTTAACGCGCTGCTTTGGCAGAGATCAAAAGGAATCTAGAAAGGTGAGGTGGGTGCCAGGGCCCAGCATGATGGGACATGCCACTGTCACCCACCACGCCTGGGGCTCAGCCTCACTCTGAGCGGAGGCCAGGCCAGATGGAGAACTCTTTCATCTTCTTTAAATCCTTGCCCAGTTACAGACAAGAAGACTCACAGATGCACAGAAGCACGACACACCCATCCCCACACATGCACCTGTGTCGCTTTGCACAGGCACCCGTGTGAGTCTGCAAGAGAGTCCCAGGGTCAGAAAGTGGTTGGTCGGACACGGTGGGGCTCTGGCCGATTTTAGCTGCTTCTCTGCTCTTTACTGAATGACTTAAGTTTAGAAAGACCTGCGGAGACTACAACACGGCCGTTCCAGCAGAGAGACCTCCTCTTTCCCACGAAAGATACTACAGACATGTAGCTTCTTCGTCCTTCTCAGCTCCCACCGGGGGTGGTGGTGACCAGGGGCAGAGAACATCCACTCACGGGCAGACTGCGCTGATCAAGGCCTCACTGTGTGCTGGGTCCTCTTCTAGCACATTCTTAACCCAAAGAGCAGGGGCTACGTGACTTTGTCCCATCACAGCCCCTTGGTTCTGGAACCTACACTTTTAATCACCCTGTGGTCCTTTCTCTCATGTCAAGGTTCCCATCTTGCTAGATAATTTCTTTTTTATCTTCTGTGAACCTTATTTCCGTTTTCTGTTTAAGAGTTTGTGGAGGAGCCCGGCCAGAGTAGCTCGGTTAGTTGAGTGTCATCCCACGCACCAAAAGGTTGCTGGTTCGATTCCCGGTCAGGGCACAGGCCCAGGTTGCAGGCTCGATCCCCAGTGGGGGGCGTGCAGGAGGCAGCTGATCGATGTTTCTCTCTCATATCGATGTTTCTGTCTCTCCCTTCCTCTCTCGGAAATCAATAAAAACATATTAAAAAAAAAATTTGTGAAAGAACAGCTTAAGACCATTCAGTGGCTGTCCCTGCCCATTCGGTGGCCTGCACAGGGGGGCTGGAGTGGTGGAGGGAACCTGTGCCCGCAGGCCAGTCTGCCACCTCGGGTTGAGCAGCAGTGGACTCTGGCTGGCGCAGCCCCTTCACCCTGAAATTCCTCCTGCTCCTTCTCCGCCTCTTCAGGACTCTGTGGAGTAGAGAGCAGGCAGGCCTCCCACGGAGCATCATGGAGACGGTGCCCACGGGTGCAGAACCGCCCGGGCCAGCACCCACATCAGGCCCACCGTGTGAGCTGCCTCGTTGCTCTGCAGGGACGACAATGCCCACACAGCGCAGAGGAGAGGTGTTGCGTGGATGAGGGTGGGCAGGCCCTGGCTCAGTACCACGGGAGGTCTTGGTCCTGGAAGGCTGTGTGGATCCGGTTAGTGAAGGTGCCAGGAGGCAGCAGCGAACCTCAGCACAGCCTGCTGGCTGGCAGTCCTGGGGGCCGGGACACTGGCCGGGGCTTCCGGGGGCAGCCCGCCGACGTTCTCCCAGGTTCTCTTCGGATTTCTGATGTAGGTGCCGTCCTTCTTCCTTTTGTAGAACTGCTCCATTTGGAAGGTCAGGTTTGGTGACACCTAACTGGGTCCCTGCTGCAAGGAATCTGAGGACTTCCTCCTCCTTTTGCAGGGCATCAAAGCTCTAGACATTGTGGACGTTTCCCTTTAAGTTTCAAAGGGAACCCAGAACAAAGCTGTGTGGCCCTCTCCGGGTGGTGCAAAAAAGGCTAGATAATTACTTTTGAAAAAGAACAGTGTGAACTCGGAGGGTACCCTGGGGAGCTGCCTGGATGTTTTGCCAAGAGGTGGAGGGCAGGGCGGGGCTTCCATGAATCCCGCTGCCCCTACTTACCAGCTGTGTGAGGTTGGACAGGTTACCTAACCTCTCTGTGTCTCCCACTCCCCAAATGTACAATGGGGCTGATGCTAAGAGCGTCTGAAGATGCAATGTGTTAATTCGTATAAAACATCTGGAACAGGGCATGATATAAAATTAGGGTGTTACCAAAGTGAGTAACACCTGCAAGAAAAAAAAAAAACCAAGGGACATTTGATGCTTGGTGCCTAGCACATAGTAGGTGCTCAGCAAATATTTCTTGATCGAATAAGTGGGGAATTTGGTTTCTAGGGGGAAAGACACCCTTGGCTCATGAATTCTTGAAGTAGGGAACCAAACATGAAACTTAGCATGAAACAGGGTTCACAGAGACACTGCTCTGAATTCCAAGCCAGCCAGCTACAGGGGAAACAAGAAGACGTAACTGCTGTTGCTCCTTGCTCCAAAGGGAGCGGACTCCCAGCAAGGACTCGGTGGAAAGGGCACAGTTAATCCTGACCTGGGGTTTACTGTCTCCATAAATGGAGACATCCAGGCTGGCACAGGAGCCTTCCCTTGCCAGTCCTGATGGCAGAGGGTTTCTGGATGGCTAATTAAAACGAAGCGCCTGCCGCCCCATCTCTCACTTCTAGTCGGGCCGGGCTTTGGGAAGATGTGCAGGGCTCAGTACCAGAAGGTTGGATTTCTTTTTCTGGAGTAGTCGGAAGACACCCTAGGAAGCAAACACTAAGTGAAGTTACGACTGGCCCCACGAGCAAAACTTAATTTGGTCTAATAATATTTTTGATGGGCCTGGAGGCGTTGAATTGTGATAATTTTGGATAAGCAGAGATTAACTATGGTTCGTTTTTACAAAGTTTCCCCCGGGGCAGGTGTGGAATATTCTAGCTACATTCTTCTGAAAGCTGTCTTGTTTTGAGTGGCTGGGTACCTGATTTCTGGAATCCATCTCTTAGTTTTTTCCCCCTAGAAACCAGATAGACATACCACCTATTTGTTCCAGAGATATTTTTTTCTGAGCATCAATTGTATTGACTTCTATATTATATAATATATGTATGCTAATGAATGCAATCCAACCTTTGGAGAATGTACGCTAAGTGCTTCTAGTTTCTCATTTGTAACTGTTTTATTTTGTTATACCAAACGCTTCATGGTGGTGATTCTGGGAGGCAAGGTCAGGAATGGCTACATTTTTTACTATACGTATATATTACTTTAGTAAGCAGGGAAAATAACCCACAGAGAGATACACATAAGTAGGGTCACAGAGAATTTGTGGAAAGCTCAGCCTCAATGACTCGCGGGGACGTGGAAGAGGCTGTAGGGTGGGGGCATGATTTCTGAGCTCTGAGGCACACAAGTCCCATTTCTGGCTGGAGGTTGGCCTGTCCTGTTCCGACAACCAGCCCGCCCTCCTCTCGGCGTCCTAGCGAAAGGTCAGCTCGGTCCAAAGACGCAGACTGGACTCCACACCGCCCACTCCTACCTTAAATCTTGGCCATTGTCATCGGACGAGACATCATCAACGTGGATCTGGTCACAATCCTATGGAGAATTTGGCAAGAAGAGAAAACGAGGGAGAAATATGACTGGTTGGTCTGGTGTGGCCTTTGAGAGTTGGCTTCATCAGTGAGGGGAAGAGAGAGCACTGGACCCGGAGTCAGCCCTGACTTCTAGTCTGAGCCTTGCCACTTCAGGTCAGTGGCCTCGGGCAAAGTGTCATCCCCTCTTTTACCTTTGGCTTCCTTAGAAACCAACGGGTTGGCTATCAAGGGGGTGTGTGATCATGTAATTTATCATGCAAACCGAGGTAGTTTTGCAAGGAAAAGGAGCTGCTGTTACCATTCCACTGGGAGGCCGGGCGCACAATGGGACCATCCCCAGTACACCAGGACATACACTGGGAATCTTGGTCTTCTTCCAGGTGTTTCCTCTGCCTGGAATGTTCTTCCGCCTTCACCTACTTAGTGAACCTTGCATTCTTTGAACATTAGCTTCTCCCAAGCCCCTCAGTGTCTCATGATCTGTGGTCATCATTTATTGAGCACGTACTATGTGCCAGGCACCATCCCCAGGGCTTACCATTCAATGGACTCCAATTACATGTGGCTTACCACCACCCACAAATCTCTCAGTTCCCTTTGGGGAAACACCTTATCAAATGTGGGTTAAGACCACAGGGAGGGGGATGACAAAGGTGGGCCCATAATCCAGACTCAACCAATCAGAGAGACCCAGCATCCCTCTGGTCAAAGTGATTGCTTCAGGGAGAGTGTGTGGTCTAAGCTGGACCAATGAGAACCAGCCTTGGGATTCTGGCTGGGACTTCTGGGAAAGAGATGCTCTCTGGGAGTTGGAGAGAGGGATCACATTGTTGGATCCCCTGGATCCAGCCATAACGGAAACCAGGCCACCCAGATTGTGGTTGGCTGAATAAAGGTCCCCCAAAGATGTCCACGTCTTAATCCCTGGAAATTTATGTGGCAAAAGGGACTTGGCATATGTGATTAAGTTCAAGATCTTGAGGTGGGAAGATTATCCTGGTGGCCCCAAATGTCATCACAAGGGTCCTGTAAATAAGAGGCAGAGGGATATTTGGTGACAGAGAGGATGAGATTGGAGTGATGTGCTTTGAGGATGGAGAAGAGGCCAGAAGCTAAGAAATACAAGAAGCCAAAGGGGCAAAGGACAGCTCTCCCCTCAGAGGCTCCAGAAGAAACCACCCACCGACACCTGCAGCCCAGTGAAACTGACTTCGATTTTCTGGCTTCCAGAATTGCAAGAGAACACGTGTGTTGTTTTAAGGCACTAAGTGTGCGGTAATTCGTTACAGCAACCACAGGAGACTGATACCTTTGCAGTGTAAGCTAGAGGGGTCGGGTTTCTGTCACTTTGCAACCAGGCATTCAGAGTGATGCTAAGCACCCCACAGAAGCTACATGCAACGCACACCAATCCTGTCCACTCCAACTCCATCAGAGGGTGCATTTGGATACTGACGGGGCAAAATCTGTGAGCATGCGGTGCCCGCCTGCTAGAGCTCAGGCTCCGGAATCTAACCATCTGGGTTTGGATCCTGGCTCCAACTGCTTCCCAGCGGTGTCAACTTGGGCAAACACCATAACCACCCTGAACCTCAGAGGTCAGGCTGGTACATGGAGATAATGATGGAAGCTTTTTCACAGGGTTGACGTGAGGAAAAGTGAGATGCTGCGTTGAAAGCATCTAGTACAGTGCTCGGTACACAACAGGTGTCACATAAATGTGAATTCTTCTTGCAAAGAACGTGGTGGGTGCTAAATGGTGACCCCAGTTGAGAAACTCTTTGGAGAGTGCTGGAAGAAACGGGGGGTGGGAGGCACTGAGGGACCCCTCTTGAGCCGGCAGGTACTGGCGTATACCTAAACCTCTCCTGCTTATTATTTCATATGCTTTCTTTCCATGGACCCAGGATTCTAACTGACGCTTGGTGGTCTCAGCTATAATTTACCTCTTCCCCACAAAGTAGCCAAGCTCTATGGTGCACCCCAAACTTAAAAATAATCTTACAGTGACGTTAATATTGCAGCAATCAGGCACATGTGGTTATCTAGAGTTATATTTAAATTAACTAAAGTTAAATAAACTTCAAAATTCAGTCCCTTAATCCGATTTCTTTCCTGTTTTTTTTTCCTCAACCCGATCTCAAGTGCTCAACAGCCACATGTTGCCATTGGCCGCCGTACTGAATGGTGCATGTATTTCCAGAAAGTACTACTGGGATCTCAAGGGACAGGAACTAGATGGACAAGGTCTCTTCTATGCTGAAGTTCAATTAGGGAAGAGCTTGCTAGCTGTCCTGGAGACACAGCTCGTTTAGCCACAGTGTGCTTCACATTTTTTTTTGGAAACCATACGCAGCATGTGTACCCAGGGAGTCTCCCCCCACCCCCCAAGATTTTCAGCTAGTCCGAGGATTTACACGCCCAGCCAATGCAGGTCTTGCATCCCTGGGCCCAGCAAATCCACAGCTGGGGCATCCAACTCCCAGTTCCCCAGTGTCTATGGCTCCTCTTCACTTGACACCACCTGGTCACTTGGTCCCTGCGGGTATCCCAGTTTGAGACCTGTGACCCACAGCCATCTCACAGAGACGGGAGGATCTCAGGGACAGGGCTCCCGACGCACTAATGAAAACTGTATTTAAAAGCCAATGCTCATTTTACAGACCCAGGGAAACGAAATGAACAGCAGATCGCCCCTCCCCCCCACCCCCCACCCCCGGCCACTGCTTTGCCTGAAATTGGAAAAACACCTCGCTCTGCCCTCTAGTCCTTCGCTCAAGCTCAAAAGCTGCTCTGGGGGTCACACAGGCCCGGGCGCCCCGGGCAGGGCTCCTTGCTCTTTCCCTGATGTCAGGGGAAAGGCATGTGGGCGGCTCTGGTTTTCTCATTTGCGGGGGGATTGTTGGGGGCGCTAAAGTGTGACAACAGTAGCGATCACATTTCGGACTTAGTAAAACACCATGACGCCCAGCGAGACACTACCTCATACTCCACCAGCTGACCTGGATTGAGTTACCTGGAGCCGGGACGAGGGGAGGGGGACACTGTCAAGGACATAAGGACGGTCCTGAGCTCCTGGGGAAGTGAATCCTATGTCTCTCAACTCTGTGGCATGGATGGCAGGCCTCTAGGGCACAGAACACTGGCTTTTCACAGCCCAGGGTGCTAACGGCCTCCCTGGGTCAAAGTGTGATTATCAGGGGGGTGGGAAGGGGTCTGAGCAGGGCCAGCTGGCAAAGACAGAGGAAGGGTCCCATGGGGACGTGGTGAGGCACAGTGCAATCCTGGCCTCAAGGAATCGACGCTTTTCTGACTCAGAGAGACACCTGCCAAGGGCCTGTGCAAGGATGTCCATCATCCCTGTGAAACTGGGGAACACCTGAAGCCCCCCCGATTGGATCACAGCTAAATGAAATATGGTACATCCATTCAGTGGAATCCTACCCAGCAGTCAGAAGAATAAGGTAGATTTTCATGTTAGCACATGGAATTATTTCCGAGACACCCTATCGTGTGAAAACAGCTGGCTGGAGAGAGTAACGGAGCGCGGAGCAGGACCTACCGCAGAGGGTGTCGTGAGGACTCTGTGAACCGGGCAGGTACAGCACTCTGAAAAGTGCCTCTGCCACGGAAAAGGCCACACATGCACTTGGAAAAACGATTGCCATTATTACTATTTTGCATTCTGTAGGCCCAAACTCTGTGCCTGGCACAGTCGTGGTCAAGTTAAACTGAGTTCACCATTGAGAGAGGCTCAGGGATGGCTAACCTGCCGATGAGGCCGTTTGGAAGCAAAGCAGGAAACGGCCTTTCTCGGCGCAGACTCCATGCCCATGTCCGTCTGGATGCTCTGCCTTCGAGCATCTCAGGGAAGCAGGCACACGAGGACTGGGGCGGACGTGCTCAGGTCCACACGTCCTGGACGGTGCCACTGGCGTTCAGCGCCCCTCCCTGGGCTCCAGTCCCTGCCCTACCATTTTCTAGGTGTGTGATTTGGGGCAACTTGCTTAACATCCTGGAATCTTTAGTTGCTGTTGTTTTTAAATAACCTCTTATTTTTAGAATAGTTTTAGATTTACAGAAAAGTTGCGAAGATAGTAGAGAGAGTTCCCGTATATCCAAGCCCAGTTATCCTCATTCTTAACGTCTTATATTCGTACGGTCAATTTGTCACAACTAATAAATAAATTTCACTATATTAACAAATGTCAGTCCTCTGTCCTTAGTTTTTCCACTAGTGTCCTTTTTTCTCTTCTAGGGTCCCACCCAGGGAACCCCTTACAGTTTGCCATGTTGTCTCTAGGCTCCTCTGAGCTGTGATGGTTTCTCACACTCCCCTTGGTTTTGATGACAATTTAAAGGAGTATTAGCATTCCACAGACTGTCTCTCAACTGGGGTGTGTCTGATGTTTTCCTCATGGTTGGACTGGGGTGATGGGTTTTGGGAGGAAGATCACAGAGGTGAGGTGCCATCCTGGTCAGATCCTATCAAGGGTTCATACTATCAACGTGACTCATCGCTGCTGACGCCCTGGACCACCCGGCTCAGGTGTAGCTACCCTCCCCCACCTTTCCAGGTTGCACTCTTGGGAAGGGAGCCACTATGTGAAGCTCACAATGAGGAGTGGAGTTTCTAAATACATTATTTGGAATTTTTCTGTCTGGAAGATATGTCTGTTTTTATCATGCCATGTTTATGGTGTGTCTTCCCTGCCCTGGCCCTAGAATCAGCCATATTTCAAGGAGCCCTGGTTCCTTTGACTGGAAGGTGGTGCTAGAATCCAAGATCTGGGCACCGGGCGAGCTGGTTACTATGGGAGTGTTGTTGCTTCTCAGCCCTCTCGGGCTCCAGAGCAAGGTCTCCAGTTTTGCTTTCTCAAGTAATTATGAAACATGGGGGCCCTGGCCAGGGAGCTCAGTTGGTTAGAGTGTTGTTCCAGTCCTGCAAGGTTGTGGGTTTGATCCCCAGTCAGGGCACATGCAAGAACCAACCAATGAACG